CTTCTGATTGGCAAGTCCTAGGCTTTATGGTTTAACCCACAGCGCCACCCGCGTCCAATTAGTTTCTAGGCCCGATTCAAAGTCCTGGTTTGGACCTCTCAAGTATTTCATGGCTCAAGACTGCAATACCTCAAGAACTGCCTGTCTCCATATGAACTGAACCAGACCCAGCAATCCTCATGCAAGACCCTTCTTCGTGTGCCGCCTTCACAAGAGGTCTGGAGGGTGGCAACATGAAAACGGGCCTTTTCTGCGGTGGCTCCCCATCTGTGGAACGCTCTCCCCAAGTGAAGTTTGTCTGGCATCTTCATCATAAATCTTTAGGTGCCAGATGAAAACATTCCTTTTCAACTAGACCTTGGACTGATTAGCAGTCTACGTCCTTTTAGATGTGTTTGTGGAAGAGGTGGGGTTTATTGCTTTGGTTTGTTCTTGTTTTTATTATGTATTTTGTGTTTTTATTTTGCATTTTTGTGATGATGATAATTTGAGAAGCATTTAATTTGGGCTCAATTTCATTTATTAATGGATTTGGAAACCAGGTCTCTCATGCCTAATGGCCACTATACATATAGCATGATCCTATGTATGTTTACTTGGAAGTAAGGACAGGTGCAGGGATTTTGAAATGGCAGATGCTCCCACCTTGGCTTACCCAATGGTGCCAAGGTCATGGGCCCAGTCAGCAACCCAACTGCTGGGTCAGAGGAGAAGGGTGTAAAAGCATATGGACAACTCTGCCAGATCTGACCAAAGGCCTGTCTAGTCCAGTATTCTGAAGCCTGCCAGACGCTTCAGACGATCAAAGCCATTGTGGTTAGTAACCACTGATGAGGTTTATTTTCATCTGTAATAAACAGGTGAAATAGGACCAAAAGCATTGGCAACAGAAAGAAATCAGGAAATTCAGAAGAGTTGGAATGTGTACTTTAAAAATTGGAGAGCAGTGCCACCTAGTGGCTTTGAGCTGTCACTACCCACATGTTGCAGAAACAATTGGTGGTTATTGATGAAGCCTACAGAAACATTATCATTTCCTATGCATAACTGGTCATGCCATGCCCATGTGTATGTGAAAAGAGATGAATGCAGGATGTTTGAATTTTTTAAAAAAGGAAGGGAGGCAGCATTTGAGCTGCCCTTTAGGTAGCAAATATATATTGGGCTCACATTCCTCATACAGGATTTTTTTAAATTTATTTTTTGCATGTTGTTACAACAGGAAGGGATCCAAATGGTCTGCATCTTCCAGATGTGCCTGCAGTTGTTCAGCGACTACCCGCTCAATTACCTTGCTCAAGAATGGGAGATTTGAGACTGGGTGATACAGTGGTACCTCGGGTTAAGAACTTAATTCATTCTGGAGGTCCGTTCTTAACCTGAAACTGTTCTTAACCTGAAGCACCACTTTAGCTAATGGGGCCTCCTGCTGCTGCCGCACCGCCAGAGCACGATTTCTGTTCTCATCCTTAAGCAAAGTTCTTAACCCAAGGTACTATTTCTGGGTTAGCGGAGTCTGTAACCTGAAGCGTCTGTAACCTGAAGCGTCTGTAACCCGAGGTACCACTGTAATTGGCCATAATGGTCAGGTCCAAAGATGTTCTTTTAAGAAGCGGTTTAATAATCACTTCTTTAAGGGAGTCTGGGAAGACTCCCTCACAGAGGGAAGCATTCACCACCCCACAAAGCCCTTTGCCCAAGCCATACCTGGATCGCTTTTATGAGCCAGGATGGGCAAGGATCAAGAAGACAGGTGGTCGGTTTCACTCATACAAGCAGCCTGTCCACATCCTCAGAGGTAACAGGTTGGAATTGACCCCATACAACCTGGCTAGGCAGAGCTCTGACACTTTCCCATCCCAGCCCTGCCCCCACAGTAAAGTCTACTTTCTTCCAAAGCTGAGCTATTTTATCTGCAAATAACTTTGTAAAGTCATTACAGTAGATTTTGAAGTCCTCACCAGACTACGAACCACCTGAAAGAGTCTCCTGGTACTGTTTGAAAGAGATTTGCCTAGAAATCTTGTGCTGCTGGGCATTGCCACCACAGATATCTTCCTCTTACATCCGCTCCATCTGGCATTTAAACAATACAATTTGGCAGGTGTATAATCTATATTTGAAATTTAATGCCACCTCTCTATTTTTGGAGGAGATAATTTTCCTTGGGGGCTTAGACTATAACAAAATCCATCTATTTTCAGAGATTTCAGCATCTCGTTACTTTTGCATAAAAATTCATTCAGCTCAAAGATGGCTGGAGACACGAGGGCTGTAGACACCTTCAGCTACCAAAAAGAGGGGTGAAGGAATGGAATAATTATGAGATAAAAATAGAAGGATTCACAGTATTGTAAGACACAGCCCCCAGTTTTTCTGGGTATTCCTTTAACCCCCTACAGCTCCAACAATCCTCTCCTCTCTCTCTCTCTCTCTCTCTCTCTCTCTCTCTCTCTCTCTTCCCTTGGCTAAACCAAAGTGTAGCATCACACAATGTGTAATCTGCCTATGGAATCCATTGCCACAAGATGCAGAGTGGCCATCTCTGTGTCTCGTGGCAATGGATTCCACAGATGAATCACACGCCATGTGAATAATGGCTTTTGTTTGTCTGCCCAAATCTACTGTTAGTTTCACTGGGTGAGCTTCAGTTCTGGAATCACGAGAGGATGAAATATGTCCCTCTGTTTACCGGTATTTCTTGTGTTTATTTCTACCTATCTTGTGCCCCACTTGGTCTCTTCTCCTCCCCCCCCCCAAAAAAAACCCCTTAAAAGTCTCAAAGGTTTCAGCCTTTATTTTCAGGGAAGATCCTTGAATCCTCTCATCGTTTGGGCTGCTCTTCTTTGAACAGAGTGATGGCAGACAACTTCAGTATATTTGCTCATTATACAGGTTTACCAGGTGCTCTGTGCAGAGATCTTTCATTACACTAGCACTAGTGCGAAAGAACTTTCCCATATATAAAAGGCTGCTTTGGAGTGCTCTTTGCTCCTGGATATAAGGGTGTATTTTGTTTCCAGAAGTCTTCATCTTTTTTTTCCTACAGAAATTGTGGCACCTGACAGATGAGATGGTAGATTTCTAGAGATACTGGAGGAGGCAGCATGCATTGTACATGACCACAAAGGGAGACTGCCTTGAAAGAGTTTATTGTGTGTTAAAGAGACAGAGAGGTTTCTACATGCCATTTGTGGAGCACATTTCTCTTCCTGCAAGGAGATTCCCTGTTCGGGGCCGGGGGGGGGGGGACTTACATAGAAAGCAACACACTGTGGTTGACAAAATACTACCTGCTCTTCAAGCAGGCATCAAAATATCACACTCCATTATTCTGGATTAGCTAATCAGGGGTGAATATGTTCCTTAGCCCCATATTCATAACCACTAACATGGATTAGAACATATTTATTGTTTGTTGAATTTCTATGCCAAACCCAGATGAAGACAAAAGGGTGTGATTAACTTGGCTGGGAAACAGGGAACTGAATATATCTCTTTTGTTACACTTGATGGGTGTCTGGTGGAGGGCAAGGGGAGGAATGTGGCAGGGTCCAGGATGCTCAGATTACTGCCACCAGACCTCCCCTTTCATGATGTAACCATGATGTATTAGGGATGTAGTTTGGGGGGGTGTAACATGGGGATTAGCAGCTAATGAAATTTTGGGTTCTCTTTTGTACAGGGCTTCCATCTTGTTCCACCTTGTGGCAGGTGGGAGTCCTGTTGTGACAGTCTTCAATAAAGACCAAGCCTACTGGCTGCTGTTTTGCTCTGGTATTCCTGGCTGGTGTCCTTCTTTCTTGTCCAAGGGAGCCCTTCGATTTATCCGTTAACAATGTGGAGATTTGAACCCAGGCCTTCCAGCTCATAGCCCAGCACTCTAACCATTACACCACACTGGCGCTCTTGGACTACAGCTCACAGGAACCCTAGTTGTAGCCCGAAACATCTGGAAGGGCAGCAGGTGTTGAAGGCGGCCCTGTAGATTTGGAGGCTTCCTATATTATTGCTGTGTTCATTTATAACCTGTCTTTTTCCCTGAAAGGGACTCAAGGCATCTTACAGCTAAAATAGAAAAAGATATAATAAAACATTTGGGGGTGGGGGGCGTGGCAGTCATCACCACCTGTCAGGGATGCTTTAGTAGTCATTCTAGGGGGTTGGACTAGATGACCCTTGGTATGCCTCTACAATTCTAGGATTTAAAAGCAAGGAAACATTGGTAGAATGTGTGTGTGTGATTTTTTAATTATTATTAATTAAATTTGTATGTCGCCCTTTATCCATAGATCTCAAGGTAGTTCACATCATAAAAACACAATATTAAAAAAAACACGTGCTTATATGGGCATGAGATTTATTAAAACATACAGATCATTACAACATCATGCCCTATATTCCAGAAGACGCCGGACAGACATCTCTAGGGGCTGCTCTTGCTCCGCATTTCCTGTCTCTTAGCAGGGGGTTGCTATCCCCGCCCCCTCGAGCGCATCTCTCTACGAGCACCGCCCTCTTCCTCTTTTCCCATTCATGATTTTCCCGACTGACGTCACTCCAACGCCCCATCCAATGAGCGAAGCCGTCAGCCTCCCTGCCATTCTCAGCATGGGAAAACTCCTCCCTCTACCTCCCCCTTGAAGGGGAGCAGCTCCTCCTCCTGTCTCCTCTTTTATTTTTTTAACCCCTCCTGGACTAATCCCCTTCCCCCTCCCTTCCCTCCCCGAGGCTCTTATTGGTCGGCGGGGGCGTCTAACCCCGCCTCTTCCCCCCCACATAAATCTCTCGGGGTTTTTCTTTACAAAGTCCCCGCCCCGCAGTCCAGAGCGAGCGAGCTCGACAAAAAAACCCCGACCGGCTTGGAGCGACATACGTCTCTCCCAATGAGAGACTACTTTGCGAGAGATGCTTCTCTCCCATTGAGCTGAGAGAGGGCGTCCGCCCGCCCCCCCCCCCCGCTGCCTCGCCCCGCCCCTCCGCCTGGTGGGCGTGAGGAAGAAAGTGGGCGGGGCGGGCGAGAGTCTGCGGCGGCGGCGGCGGCGAGTCGGGCGGTGGGAGCGAAGGCAGAGCGAGTCGCCCCGCTGTTTGCCCCCCCCGCCCCCTCCCTCCTGAGGGAACACCAACGGCCGGAAAGTGACGGTTGAGGGTGCAGGGGCGCGCGAGGGGCTTCTTTTCCCGCCCTTTTCTGACGGGGGGGGGAGGGAAAAGAAGCCTTTTTCTGAGGGGAATCGCTGAGGCGGCGGCGGCGGCGGCCGGTTCCTCCCTCCGCCAACCGCGGCGGGCCGCGCCCTCAGCTCCGCCGCCGGGTGAGGAGGGGCGATGGGCGGGCCGGTGGTCTCGTAGCTCCGCCGCCGCCGCCGAGGCCCGAGAGCGGCCCCCGCGGCTCCCCTGCCCGACGCCTCCTCAGCCCGCCGCCCTCTGTCGTCGTCGTCCTCCTCCTCTCTCCGCGGCCTGCCATGTCCGGGGTGGTGCGGACCCTGAGCCGCTGCCTCCTGTCGGCCGAGGCGGCGTCGGGCCGGGGCGAGAGGCCGCCGCCGGGCGAAGCGGGGAAGGAAGGCGGGCGGGACGCGGAGCGCGAGGCCCGGCGCCGCAGCCGCGAGATCGACGCGATGCTGGCCCGCGAGCGGCGCTCGGTGCGGCGCCTGGTCAAGATCCTGCTGCTGGGCGCCGGCGAGAGCGGCAAGTCCACCTTCCTCAAGCAGATGCGCATCATCCACGGCCGCGAGTTCGACCAGAAGGCGCTGCTGGAGTTCAGGGCCACCATCTACGAGAACGCCCTCAAGGTGAGCGGGGGGGGGGGGGTAAGCTTCAATAAATGGCATATGCTTAGGAGGGCGTGGCTTTGCTTTTCCTCATCCCTCCTCGCCCCGTTTTTCCTTTCGTGACGTGTCTTAAGCCTTGAGGGTTGGGGGGTCCCTCTGGACACCGCTGGGCCGGCTTGCTTGCTGGCTTGCCTGCCCCCTCTGTATCCCAGCTTCCCTCTCAATGGGGTGTGCAGGGTCCCCTCACATGAACCCCGCGAAGTAGGTTTAGGTTGACCAGGAAGACGGTGACAGGGCCGAGATCACCCAGCGTGCTTCACGGCCGAGTCAGGATTTGAACCCTGGCCTCCCGCGTCCTGGTTGAGAGTCGGGTCAAATTCTTCATGCGACACAGAGGCAGCCTGCAGAACTCACTCCCACTGCAGCCAGAGACGGCCACCAATTTGCCTGGCTTTAAAAGTGGATTAGACAAATTTGTGGAGGAAAGGGCTGTCAGTGGCTCCTGGCCATGATGGCTATGCTCTGGCTGCACAGTCCTTGAGGGAGAAGAGCTTATAAATACCAGTTTCTGGAAAACACAGGAGGGGAGTGGGCTCTTGTGTTCAGGTTCAGGTGTTCAGGTGTTTACCATTGGGGCATCTATGGTTGGCCACTGGGAGAAGAGGATGCTGGACTAGCTGGGCCCTTGGCCTGATGATGATTCAATTTTCAGCAAGGCTTTTCTAATGCCAGCATGGCCAATAGGTATGGATGATAAGAGTTGGAGTCCAGCAACATCTGGAGGTCCAGTGGTTTGCATTGACTTAGGAATGCTGTTTTGAGTGGTGTACAGAATGCCCCGAATAAGTAGGTTGAAATAAAATGGGAGTGTAAGGCATACTGAAACAGATGACTGGGGAAAACAGTGCCAGCACTTCTCATACGAGCCAGACGATGGGTGGAATGAGTGTGGTGAGGCTGTTATGCGTTCTGTTTAGTGTGCATTGATTCTGAGGGAAAGTAGTGTGTTTTGTAAGGTAGGAGATGAGAAACAGGCAACTGGTGGTGGAATTGTGTGTTGCTTTGAATGGTTTGATTAATAGCTAGAAAGCTGTGCCATAAGTATATTTAATAAAATAAACCGGAGGAATATATGGAAGGCAGCCTGTCAAGTCATAATAATAAAATGATTATTACTGTGGTACCTCGGGTTACATACGCTTCAGATTACAGACTCTGCTAACTCAGAAATAGTGCTTCAGGTTAAGAACTTTGCTTCAGGATAAGAACAGAAATCGTGTTCTGGTGGTGCGGCGGCAGCAGGAGGCCCCATTAGCTAAAGTAGTACTTCAGGTTAAGAACAGATTCAGGTTAAGAACGGACCTCCGGAAAGAATTAAGTACTTAACCCGATGTACCACTGTATGCTACTTTCCCTCACACGTCAATGTATGTGCTTCATATACATCCAGTTCAACTTTACAATGATCCTGTAAGGTAGGTGAGCTAGGCGACGGGTGGAGTTGTGTAAGGTGGAGGTGATACCAGTGTGGGTACAAAGAGATGGGCTGTCAGTGTTATGCTAGGTGGTATTATATTGCTTTTCCTAAGTAGTCTGTTTTCTATAATTTATTTGAATGATTCTTGGAACAGTATTCTTGGTACCACTGTACTTGGAATCATAGAATTGTAGAGTTAGAAGGGACCCAAAGAGTAATCTAGTCCATCCCCTGCAATGCTTCATACAACTTTGTATCCATTGGGTTGGTTGTCACAAAAGGATAAGCCAAACCATGTCTTACCAGGACAGCATAAACATATGGACTCCCAGAGAGAAGCTCACAGCTGCTTTACTCCTGTACCTCACAGAGCTAAGCATGTCATCCAAACCGGGACTTATGGTTAAGCTCTCTCATTGCTAGCCATGGTTTCTTGTTGGCTGCAGATCATGGTTAGTGAGAAAGAGAGCATAACCATAAGTCCCAGTTTGGATAACATGGTAAACCAAACCATTACTTAGTTCAGAGTAGGAACAAAAAAGGACTGGGGAAGGAGCAAAGAAACTGTAAGGTCTCTGGAAGGCCATGTATTTGTGCGGTCCCAGTGAGCCACAGTTTAGCTTACTGTGTTGTGCAAACCATTCTTGAAATAGTCCTGTAAGACCAATATTTGGAAGCCAACTTCTCTCAGTGTTCCTGTTCTCATTTCTTCCCTCTTTCTCCTATGCATCCTGAATAGCCCTGTCCCACACCTGGATTATGGCTGTGTGTCAATGTTTTGATTGTCTGTTGTTCAAATGGAATTATGTGGGAGGTGCAGATTACATGATTTCCCTTTGTGGTATGTCCAGGTGTGAGAAGTAATGGTGTTCTCCATTACCTCTTGGTGTAACCTTCCTGCCTAAATTCCCGAGACTGACATGGAGGAGAAAAGGGCCCAGTTCCAGGTTTCTGGAAATGGAGGATGGGATGATAGAAACTTATGCCATCACCAAGTATATAGACTCCCTGGAAAGGAGTTTACGCACCCTTCATCACACAGTTCCAGTGTAGCTTACTACCATATAAGCAAAACATATTCAAATTCAATAAAACAATTTAAAACAAACTGAAGACTGTACCTCAGACAATGCAGATGGTCTCACAAAATTCATACTACTTAAATGTTGAAAGCCAGGATAAGGAAATGTATCTCCCGCAAATGGCTATATAATGACAATTATTGGCATACCTCTATGGGGAAGGAGTTGCATATTTTAGGAGCTGTGACAGTCAGTGTCCTCTTCCAGCATCCGTGTTTCCAAGAGTTACAGAATGTGGAATATTGGCTGCTTTCTTATTCTTTGCTTTGTCATTGACATGGATCAAAATCCACAGGTCACCATTAATGTATGTGTTGAAATGAAATAGATGAAAATTGCCCATCTCTGTTTAGAGTTGAATGAAAATGCATGTGTGTGGCTAAAGTGAGCTAAGGAGTTATTAATCTGGGCAGAGTTACACCTGTGCCAGTCCAGTTTTTAACCATGGCAAAGTAAGCTTATTTCTCTCTCCTCTTATGTGAGAACTCCCTCTCCCTTCTATTTTTTGAGCTTAGCTCTGCTTAGAATTGTATATGTACCAGACTTCTTGCTGATTGTGCAATGCTCTAAATTACAGTTTGCAAACCTGGTTAGAAGGGTCACTGAAGCTGACCTTGGTAATTGCAATGTATTAAAATGACATCTAGAATAACAGGTGTTGAATCTATGGTATGTGGACTCAGTATGTCCACACTGGCCACCTCAGAACAAATTCAACTCAACTCAAACCTAGCCATTTGCACATATTGCTGTCTTAGAATATATACTAATAAGTAAAGAGGGGAGGTGTAGAGTTGGAGGAACAAGGAACTCAGCCAAGATATGCACACCCTGCCAACTGCACAGACTTGTTTTTAGATATTGCTCCCCAGCCTTCAGGGTTAAAAACTTCCCTTTAAAAATACCAGGAATCCACATTTTCTGTTGTACAGACAATATAAACCTGAATATTGCAAGCAGGTTCTAGGCTATTGGTTTTGACAACTATACTGTAATGCTTCTGAAGAGATGCATTATTCGGTAGGTTCACTTAAAAAAAGCTCTGCTGCTGTACACAACCAATTCTTTATAGCATGAGCTTTCATTGCCAAGAACCTCCTTTATCAGATGTTCTTCTCTACAAACTAATACAATAATAAACATGTTAGTTTTTATGGTGTTACAGAAGTTGGTTTTCTTCTTTGCCACAATATTACTAGTATGTTTGTGGTAATGCTCACAGTGTTCTTGAATGTTACACAGCCCTTGAAAAACAAGCCCCTACTTGGAAATAAGGATATAAATTTGCTCTGAAAAATGTGTTCATAATCATATTGTGGGCAAATTGTATCTGAAACCAAGCAATCACAATAAGCTGCAAGATGGGTGGTTCGTTGGCTGCTGTGCTAAAGGAGGTTATAAATGGGAAGAAGACCTTATGAAGGACTGGCATAAACTAGAAATAATACTCAGCTTTTTAAAACCCATCAACATAGTTTAGCTGTAAGAAATAAGAGGATGAGGACTGAACAGTTGAAGAGGAAACAGGGAAAAGGTAAAATGAAAGAAGGTGCATTCATGCTCAGATACAGCAGTGGACTGAAGGGTAGTTTTAAATGAGTGGATTTAGAAACCCTTCAATAGGACAAGGAGGGAGAAGTTGTCATCCTGGAGTTAATGAAGGTGGTACCCTTTGGTACAGGCACATCTTGATCTTCTCACATCACCTTGTATTATTGTCTGCTTGTGACTTAGGCACAGAAATGTGAGGAGCTGTGGGTGTGGCACTGAATTTCTGCTGGTAACATGCAAGTGGATAGGAGTATAGTATCTTTCCACAAGACAATTTGTGTTATAGAAGTCATGTGCAAGAGCATTATCAGGTTGTGAGCTATTGTATTGGTATTATAAAAGCAAAAATTGTGTATTCTGACTTGGTGTGATGTAGTGTTTGCCTTTTAAGACTGTGCTTATGACAATGAACATTGGAGTTCTGTAGTTTCATATCAGAATTGTTATTTTTTTATAAGACCACTGGCTCAAGTGGCAAGTGTGATACATTTTTCAGTTGCTTTTAGAACATACAAGTATGTGCTGACTAATGGGATTTGGATGTGTTCACTGTCCTAAGCGAACATGTAACTGAGCATTTATTGTTATTTTTTAATGGCTCTTTTTAAAAGAAAAGAAAAAACCTATGTGGTTCTGTTGCTGACACTCTGCATTTTTACTGAATTCACTGAACTATTAATCAATATTGTCCCTAACATTAAACCCTAGAAGAGAACCTGTGAAGTATTTCACTTTAGCAAGCAGTACAGTAGCATTTAGGCCTTCTAGGGAAATTTCATTTTCATTTACCTCATTAAGATTAATTACACAATTATTTATTGTGATATTTTAATGACTTTGTGTAAAGAAGAAAGGTGTTTGTATTATGCTCTTCAGGGTTTGAAAATAGTTGCTGTTTCTGTTATAAAAATGCAGCCTTTTTGAATTGAATGGCCATCTGTCATTGTCAAAGAAAATATTGCTGTTCTAGTACTTTCACAGATTTTATATGTGCTTCCATTTGACAGCCAAGAAGAGGGTTTGTAATCTTGAGGTTAGGAAAAGTGATGAAATGTGTATCCATATAGAGAAAACATAACTTAAAAGTGAGTGGATGGATTGATTTAAATCACTAAGAAGAAAAAACCCAGTTTAAATCCAGTTGCCCACTTATAAATTCACACTTCCCTAACAAGCATATGTTTTGCCTGGTTACTGTAACAATTAGACTGTATTAGTTTTTAGCCAAATAGAGCCATTATGTAACCCTTCAGCAAAATTCTTATGTATTATAGAATTATGTTTGCTTACAGATAAGGTGTATGCACATGAAAGAATTCTAAGCAAGAATGCTTACTTGAAAGCTAAGTTTTGAATCATGTGCATCCTTATTTGGCAACCAGTCCCACCAAACAAATTAGAACTCCCTTCCAGGGAAATATGCATAAAATAGGGCTGTAACATGTCTTAGGTGTTAAATACAGATTATAGAAATGCATTCATACACCAAGGTAATACTTGTTGTAGAAGGGAGTGGTGATGGATATGGAACAAAACAGTGTTATTCCACTTTATGGTAAATTAATGTCCATACTACATATAGTTTCAGAACTGAACACAACACAGAGCTCAGGTAACTGAGCACAAAACAGAAATGCAAGATAATTTGCATGAACTCAGTGGATGATCCTGGTGAGATATAAGATATCGTCACCTGAATTCTAGTGCTTAAAATGACTTGCTAATTGATGCACAGTATCAAACCATAATATATGAACTCTTGTACTGTACTTGTACCCTTGTAATGACTAGTAGCACCTTAGAGACCAACTAAGTTTGTTCTTGGTAATTTTTTATTTTTTATTTTTTTAATATATTTCGACTGTTTCATGCCAACACGGCTACCTACCTAAATCTTGTAATGACTGATGAAGATGTTTTCTTCCTCATTCTTTCTCTTCAAAAAAAAGCACTATTTCATGAAGGGATCATAAATTCAGTTTCATGACATTATAAATTTGCATTTAAGTTCATATTAAACCAGGTTTCTTTTTAGAAGAGAAACATAATAAGCTAAGCTTAAAAATTAAATCAAATTCAATTTTTTATGTTACCATTTTAGAACATCATTTTTTATCATGAGTAACCAATTATTGAAACCTTCCCTATTTCTTAGGTGTTAAATACAGATTATAGAAATGCATTCATACGCCAAGGTAATACTTGCAATTGGTAAACAATGGCAATACTTGCATATCATTTAGATTATTTTTGTTTTTGAAACTCTTCTGGTATCATCCTGTCTTTTTAAAATCTTTCTATTACAGAGAAGACACACAGTTAACAAAATGCTGAATGTAAGCCCCTAATCCAAAATTTACTTTTCCATTTAGCACAGGCAATGGTTTAGAGTCGTAGCTTTTCCTAGCATTTTATGGGGCAGGCTTCCCAAACATCAGTTTTGCTTTGGCTTAAGTAAATAGTCATTGGTTAATGATGGTTTTGCTTGTTAACCAAGGCTAAGCTTCAGGGCAGTTTTTTATGAGAAGCGCTAGTGTTGGGAATACACAGACTCTATTAGTTCAGTATATCCACCTGGAATAGAAAAGTATATAAAACACCTAAATTAGCACATCTGACAATCACATGACTCATGCAGTACTATTGTATAAATGGTTAGTTGGAAGTAAATCCCTCTATGTTCAATGGACCTTACTCTCCAGTGCAGTTTTAAAGTTGACTTTAATTTAACTTGCTAGATCAAAGTCATCAGCAAATGCAGCCTTTGGACTAACAAAAGTCAGCTGCTGTTGCTTTGGTGGTCAGCTGGCAGTGTGTAACCTTAGGAGCTGAAATCTGGTTTATTTCCATATGGGTTTATCATCATGTGTGTAGTGTTCTTGGTAAGGACTGCACTGTTCCTCTGAAATGCCTGAACTTGTAGAGCCATAAATTTCAACAAGAATTGCCACAGTCTGAAGAATTCCTCAACTACTTCTGCATACCCAAGAGCCAAGACAATCCTTCTCTATTTTCCTTAGTAGCCCCTTCCTTTCCACCACCACTCTATCCTGCATAATAGTTAGCTTTGAATAATTTCAGTAATTTCCAAAGTGGTTTGTCATGAAACATGAGGAACTTCTATTTTGAAGAGGAAACAGTCAAACCTCACTGTGTGAACATGAGTCATTATTATTATTATTATTATTACTATTCTATTAAAACACAAAATGCACTATGACATATGCTAATGAATACAATCACCATTTAGTAGTAAATAATTCTTTCTTCATAGTAAAATAGCGATTTGTATAAAACATAATTCTTAGCATTCATAGTACTGTAAGAGTTAACTATTGTTACACTCCTTGAAGATACACAATGGGTCTTGATGTCTTCCAGATGAACTCTTGCTTTTAAAGAAATGACTCTTTCCTTGGTAGAGCTATGGTTGTGAGGTGATGCTTAATAATGCTTTCCTCTGATGTTCTGGGATAGAGGCTAGGCTGGAAAACCTGTAAGATCCTGACTTGTTCCTTGCATCCTTTCTTTAAAAAAGATGCTACCTTGGCAGGTACAGTCTTCTAGTAATCTGGTAATGAGGTTGATGTTTTTGTTTGCAGGTTATAGCTCTCTTAGTTAACTAGAATTGATTTTTTAATTGCAAATTTATTAAAGAAAGGGGGGACAAAAGAAGAAAAAACAGCTCACATTCACAATACAGCAAACATCAATACATCCATCTTAATCTATACTTGCAGATTGATATATGTCCAAATAGGTATCCCAATGTTAATGTTTGTAGAAAAGTTTCCCACCCCTGCTGCCAGGTGTTTAAGAGTAAGAAGTGTAACTCTAACCTGGGAAAGTTTAATATGCTTTGGAAGCTAAATATTCAGTGTTTTTTCTCTCTTAAAGTAAGGCATTTCTAAGGTTTTTTCTAGTCCTGCAATTTCAGTCTGAACACTTTAACAACTATTGCACAAATTCTGCGTTGGATCTATTCAGTTGTAATACAATGTAATATTGATTATAATCCTGATCATGGATGTTTGGGGCACTCCCAATAAGTAGCTCTAATCAGTTTGCATCTCCCAGAGTCCAACCATCATTTTTGTTTGCATTAAGACAACTCTCAAAATCCCTTCTCCCTTTCATTGGATTTACTTGGAGACAGAGAGTCGTATTATAGTTTACAGACATAACTGCAGTTACAAATACAAAGATTGGGTTGTTAAGTTCCTGTAGGCTAAGTAAAGGGCATTGTATTTTGTTCATGTGTTTAGTCTTTTAACTCTGTATACAAATCTTGATGTTTACACTACTCACCTGGGGAATAGCAGCATTTGAATGAATGATGAAATATATGGAAATATTTAAGATTCTTTGCTTTGATTTTGTGTTTGCAAGACTCATAAAGGCCAGATAATGTACGTTTGAAGTGTGTTGGACAGGTTTCCTCAGGCAGCAAAATGGAACCATTTTAGTTACTTTTCTCCCATGCCAATAAGGTTAAGAATTTCTACTGGCCTCCTAAAAATCATAGTAGAACATGCATCCTGGATGCTGCGATATGACAATCTTTTCATTAACGGTATTAATGCATCCAGGCTGCTGCCCAGCACTAAATATAGGGTTTGTAATATATAAACACTATATTCTCCTGTGTTCCAAATCTCTAGGCTCTTCTTCCCATAATCTTGTCAAATGTGATGCACATGTTTAGGAGAAACTGTTAGCATATTTTAAAAGGTCTGTATTTTTAAAATATTCATGTTATTTACTTAATATTTAGTGCTGAAGTTGGTGGTGACTTTGGAGCTCAAGAGTAGCACATGAAATAATCTGCCATGAGAGTATTATGCTGATAAAATGCATGTTTTTAGAGAAGCAGTTGGGTGGGTTTTTTCTATAATACCTGCAGTTGGCATCTGTCTTGAGAGATAATGGAAGAGTGTGCCATCAGGGGTAAAGTCAAACCATTGAAGAGTTACAGCAGCTGCTGCAGCTGTAGAGACCAATATAGACGAGACATGCTTTATTGCAGCTGGGGCAGATGAAGGTACAGTAGAACCTCTACTTACAACCGCCTCAGGTTACAAAAACTTCAGGTTACTCCGCTAACCTGGAAGAGTTACTTCGAGTTGAGAACTTTGCCCCAGGATGAGAACAAAAATCGTGTGCCGGTGGCGTAGCAGCAGCAAGAGGCCCCATTAGCGAAAGCACGCCTCTAGTTAAGAACAGTTTCAGGTTAAGAATGGACCTCCAGAACGAATTAAGTTTGTATCCAGTTTCATTGGTACAGATGCACCATGGGATTCCTTCACTCCTCCCAATGGTCATTTCTCCACTGGTCATTTTTGTGGATACACAACCTGACTGACTTGTCTCCAGGCACTGTGGTTGTCTGCAATGGACTCCCACATGGCGGGATTAATGTTGCCAGCCTTCATGTCAAGTTTGCAGACATCTTCTTAATACAAAGTTTGCAGATATTTTCTTAATACCTAGTTACTAGTTCTTTTTTCTGCCTATTCCAAAGGTCAGGTTGAGTTATGGAATCTTACCCTATTTTTAATCCCCATATTGGCTCTGAAGCATGAGAGTCAGAGAAAGTGGTTTGCTTTTAAATGAGCAGAAATTCTAACTAAAATTGGTCACTGTACACATATAACAGTTTACTGTATTATTATTTACTAAAAAAAATATGCTGCTGTTCAATCAAGGATCACATCCAAGGATATTTACAATATAAAAACACAAAAATGTATACACAACATAGTTACAAACACACACACCCTAGTTTAAAATACTGTTGATTGTTTAATTAGCCAAAGGCCTGAGACAGAAGGAATGTTTGCCTGGAGCATAAAGATATGTAACAAAGGCATCAGGCAAGCATTCCAAAAATGGGGAGCCACGACAGAAAAGGCCCATTCTTGTGTTGTCACTCTCCAGACCTTTTGTGGAGGTTCAGGGCAGCCAAAGTTGTTGAGCTTCTTTGAGGGGAGCCAGTGATCTACCATTCACCTTAAACTGGATTTGCTTGTCATTCACTTTTTGGTACATGACCATAAACACTACAGAGTATGCATCAACAGAAGAACAACTTATTATATATATTTCTATATCCTGCCTTTCTGTCTGATAGCAGACCGACCCCAAGACAACTTACAGTAAGGGAAAAATAATTTATTTATTTTTTAAAGACACTGATGACTTACAAATGTTATGGGCAGCAGAATGAGAAACTTTAGCCACTGTCCAGTCCTTATGTTTATGTGAATGTGATTTTTAATCTACTGTATATTTAGAAAGTGGTTTCTATGTCTGTCTGTTCTATACATTGGGACACCTCAGGAGATACCTTTGCCAAACACAGCATTAGGGTTTTTTAGGTGGGGGCAGCAGTCTTCAGTGATGTTTGGATGCCAGGTGCCATTTTGAATCAAGTTGGCAGACCAAAACATAACACTAGATTGTCTTTCCCCAGTTTTTGGCATAACAGGTCCAAAGTCACAGATTCCACTTTTTTAAATTTTAATACAAAAGCTTTATTTTTGTTTCTATAAATACCTAGACAGTGCTGGGTACTCCCCACTAGTACTATATCAAACTTTTAAATCTGCCAGTACAGATTTGTGTAGGCAAGTTGTGAACAAGTTGCCAGAATATTAGCAGTGGTTGCTCAGGAAAGCTTTGATTTAGGGACTAGGATTATTTTTGTGTGAAATGTAAGGCAACAGGTAGGTGTTGAATGCACGTCATTCTCTTGTTCTGTGTACACATTCATAAAATTTAGGAATTGCTGATTTATGGGCACTGGATTTATATCCCCAAAGTAATATTGTAACTCTTAGAAGCACTATTTATAGCATTGTAAAATAAGTCAAAATACCATTATTCCCTATCGGTCGTAAAATGACTACCTGGGAGCTATACTTCTCTTTACCACTTATTGGAAATAATTTTGAAGAGGGGTGAAATAAAAAAGAGCAGCCACTCCATGAGAACAAGCACCACAGAAGAAGAGAACGAGTATGGTTCTGATAGGAAACTATTATGATCTCATTCCCCAGTGTAGGAAATCTTTCAGGCAAGGGCTGCAGCTGTGCAGTGGTAACCATTTGAAAGCTGCTGGATTGAACAAGACTGCATCTAGATGAGTTTAAAGAACTTTAGAACACTGGAGCCTTAGCAGGTGAAAGGTCAGAGCTAGCTTGTATGGGCAGGGATGACGCATACATATTTGCAACCCAATTTAAGAGGCGAGTGGAAGATAATAGGCTGTAGCAAGCACAATATGGCTACAATATTAATAGCTTTCTTGCAATTGTTCTGTTGTTTTACATACCATTCTACAAACTGGATACAAATGTACGTAATTCAAAATATCTTCAGATACTCATTTGTACTGTTCATTAACATTGTAGCAAAGAATGCTCTAGAAGAGTAAAATGGGAGTTTCATAGCTTGATTAGCCTTTTAACATTGGTTTTAAATCTCTTTCATTCTGGTAATGCATCTTACCCATAATAGAAACTTCTATGCGGTGGGCATTGGGATAAGGTTTAACTCCTTAAAATGACCTCACAATTTAAAATTGCTTTTTGTCTGTATCATTTCACCTTTGATTTATTCTTAAATGGAAAACCCCAGCTAAAGCAGTAAACATTGTTGTTGGCAAACCAAATACTTGAGAATGGGAGCAGGTTTTTAAAACTCTTAGTTGCAGTTCAGTGAAAAAGAATGTTAACTGCATTCCTTGAGTTCATAGCTTCCTTTTTACAGGCTTTTAATAATTGTACTATGCTTTGTGTTGAATGCATGCTCTTTGAACAGTTTATCTGAAGGATTAAATTGTATGGAGATGAAGTAATAGTCATTCAGGGTGGCTCAGTGTTTACATTAGAGAAACTGCATTAGAAAGAGTCCAACCTGATAATGGATAGTTGAAAAATTTTAATTAGCTGCCCTTTTGCTGGAATACTGGAGAAGCTGCAACTCTCCTACGTTGCTAAATCTAGCAGCCTTGAACCTGCTTCTTCATGATATTTTACTGCTAAATCTTGCACTGAAGCTTGTTTCTTATCCTTGATCTTCAGCATTAAAGTTCTTGGGTGTACTCCTTAACTGTAGGAATGAATCCTGAGGTTGATGCTTGGCGGGTGGGATAAAAGAGCTCCTGAATGAGTATCATCATGTAAAATTTTAAAAAGTAAATATGGGTAGGGCAATGCTTACTGTTATAATCCTTGTGTGGTTACAGCAGACAAGCCTACATTTTAGAAAATGACATTAGTCATAATGAACAGAAGTTGCAACTAAGGATTCTATAGTTGGGCTTCCTTTGTCTCCCTGCTTTCCAAAAGCAAAGAAATTGGGAGAAAATTAATACCTGTGAAGCTTGGATAAAAAGAAAATATTTAGTTAAAGCTTTCTAATCAGCCCCCTTATTCAATCTTCTTTAGAAGATTGAAGTCTGGTATGGATGTTTGAAATCTGAGGTTAAATGTGCTTAATGCAAGTCTTCTATAGATAGAAGGCAACAAAACAAATTTTGATGTTAACTGATCATATCAACTCAGATCTGTGATAAGTACTGTGCTCTTTGACTAAGGGTCCATAATGAAAGTATTTTTAAGGAATTGCACAGTATGAAAGAATTGCATTGTTTCTAGGGGATACTAAATGAGGATGCTTTGCCTCTGTATACAAAATCGTTCATTGCATGTTCTAGCAAGTTGACAGTGTTTCTCATGGTTTTTATTTTCATGGCTTGATCTATTACAAGGAGAAATAGATTGGTTTCGGGACTTGTGAACTCTTACTCCTTGGAATGCTATTACTGTATGTGATCCAAATACATTTTATTGGGGGTTGCATTTACGGTAACTAGTAAAGAAGAAAAACTTATTGAAGTGACTGGTCAGAAATCACATAACTGCACACTGCTAGAAGATTCCATAATTCAGACCTTTCCTGAAGCTTGCCAGAACACCACAGAGGCCTCTTCCCTCTATCCTCAGCAAAAGCTAAGGTCTTGGTTAGAGTCCTGACTCAAGAGTTTGTATAACCTATGTAAGGGGCCGTTTATTTTTCACAAAATTCTGGCACCTAATGTGAGTATGCACAGAGTTTTTCCTTTTCAGGGATGCCAATAGTTGAAAAATGGCTAGTAGGACAGGCTAGGGTGTGTAGATAAACTGGAAAAGAGGGTAGAAGCTGAAGGTGAAGCAGATAGCGATGCTTCTAAATGTTCCTGACTCCTCCTGCAAGATGAGCAGGTAAGGAGCCCTCACTTCTGCCATTACTATTAGCTAATGCCATGATACAGCACAAAGACAGACTGCCACTTACATAAAGGTGTTTTAACTTCATCTCATATTTTGTCACAGCCAGATATATATATTAAAAAATTGATTGGTTTTAAGTGTCATTTCAATTCTTCATTTTATATAGTTCTTTCCTTCAATGTAATAGTTTTTTCTTTGGTCACTAAGTGTATTTATCTGTTCCTCTAGGGCTGCAGGGTTCTAGTCGATGCACGGGACAAACTAGGGATCCCTTGGCAGTATACAGAGAATGAGAAGCATGGAATGTTTCTAATGGCCTTTGAAAATAAAGCTGGGGTGCCCATTGAGCCTTCTACATTCCAGTTGTATGTACCTGCCCTGACTTGCCTGTGGAAGGATGCTGGGATCAAGGAGGCGTTTAGCCGTCGAAGTGAATATCAGCTGGTGAGTATGCCAAACAGAACCTTGTTACCAGTTCATGGTGAAAGTGGGCTAGAGTATTATTGCCACCATCCATTTTCAACTCTCAGCTCCACCCAACATGACAATTGATATGGATTCATTTCTATCATTTAGCATGAGCATAATTTGGCCATAAAGCAGTGGTAGTAGCCTAGTGAGTATCTTTAGTTTTAGAGGGCTTTCTAGAATTTTATGTAGCAAATATTCAGTAGAATGGTAGGTCTGACTTAGAGCAAGTTTTAAGTTTATCCAAAGCAGTGGTTTTCAAACTTTTTTCTCTGCACCACACTTTCAGAATAAAAATTTGCTCACACCACACCATTTTTTAAATAAGAAATACATTGGAAAACAAAAAGAAACAACACCTAACAGTGGTTGATTTAGAACATAGAACACAACTACTTCATAATATGATCATGGGACATCCAGAAACTATAAAACTATGTAGCCACATAAGAACAGGAATCATTCTCAAAATATAATATTGTCTGTCACTGAATCTTCCCACCACACACGCCATCCTCTCCTGCCACAAGAGTTTTAGTTACTCTGCCAAAGATGACACAGACCTGACAATGTAGCTGATACACACAATGAAGCTTTTGTCACCCTTTTAAGAACCACTGGTCTAAAGGTAAGAATTGAAGCACAGGTTATTTAACCAAAGGCATAGTTCACACATCCCAGTAAGCTCTAGTTAATAGTTTACTGTGGTCACAGCTTTATGGTCTGTTTCACTGTTCTCCCCTAGCAGGAGGATGAGACAAATGCAATCTCTGGCTTTGTGTTGTGTCTCATCCATGAATTCTGGTTTGTTTGGCTCACAACAAACTACAGTTTGTAGCCAAGGTTTGCTCTTGGCTTACTGATTGGGGCTTTTTGAAGTGAAGCAAATTGCAATCCCTTGTTCTAATATAATGCTAAATTGGGGGTTGTGAACTTGTGTGTGCTAATGATAGGGAAACAAACAGCTCAGGAGGCACATCATGGCAGCCATGAATTATGGTTTACTGTGACTTGTGAATTGAGGCAAAGTGCAAAGTTTCATTAACAGCATCAAGTTTATGGTGACAGTCCATTGCTCTCTCAGAACCTCCTCCTAATCCAAATTGGGAAGTATCCTGGCAATAATATGAATTAGTATGACTTTATTGAATTGAATTAATGGTTTTGATGAATTTGTAGCTTTCCTTATATGCTATTGTGTTTGATATAGTGATTGCAATATTTGTTGTTTTTTAATGCTACTGTGATTATTGTGAGCTACTTTGAGCTCAGCGTTTTTGTTGTTGGAAAAGCAGGATGCAAATATTAAACAAATCAAATTGCCTAATGGAAAGAGTCTAGGACCACAGGAGCGCTGTCTAAGCGCTTGAGGCACTCTACTTTTATAGACAGTGCATCAAGTTTCTGGCTGTGAATCCTTGCCTGGGACCTTGAGCCTTTAGCACTGTGTGGGTGGATTGTACAATAGCGGTATTTTCTCTGCTTCCCTCTTTCTCCCTTAAAGCACACTAAGTAGCTTCCTCCCATCTGTGTCTCATGGTAAGTCCCACTGTCTGTATTATGGAAGCAAGTCTTTGGGTGACAAAAGCTTCATTGTGTATATCAGCTACATTGTCAGGTCTGTGTCATCTTTGGCAGAGTAACTACAGAATAAGAATTCTTTGATAATTGGTATGTGCCCCCCCCCTTTGGATATGAAAGGAATATATTGCTTTCTCTGGAGATCCTGTAATTTCTACTTTCTTTGGCATTTTTTGTCTCAACCCAAATGGTAGAGGCTTAGGAGTAGAGGGTTTGTAAGAAGTTGGGACCAAATTTCATGTTTGTTAGTACTGCTAATAGTTACCGGTATTTCCATTCTAAGCAATCAAAAGCTTTGAGGATATCTAGGGACATAATTGTCAGTGGGAGTTTAGTTGCCTTGCTGTGTTCAATCAGATTCAGTAGTTCCTGATGGGATCTGTTATATTGCGACCAGGGATGAAGCCAGTCTGGTCTGGGGCTAATAATTTGTGTAGGAAAATTTTTAGGTGGTTTGTCAAGATTGATGTGCATATCTTGTAGTCTTGGTTTATTAATGAGATTGGGTGGTATGATTCTACTTTGAGGCTGTCTTTGAGTGGTTTTGGGATAGAGACTATCTTGGAGGAGGTCCAGGTTTTAGGAATGGGGCCCCCTTTTATGATGTCATTGAATAGGCGGGTGATGTAAGGCATTAGGGGTTCTTTGAATTTCTTATAGAATTCTGCTGTAAAGCCCTCTGGGCCTGGGGCTTTGTGTGGTTTCAGGTTTTTGAGGACCATATCTATTTCTTCCAGGGTGATAGGACTGTCCATTAATTCCTGTTCCTCATCTTGTAGGTGTTTTCTGGTATAGTAGGTCATTTCCCTATTGTGCAGATAAATGAGAGCATTAGTGCATGAACACAACTCTGCTTCCCTAAAAAGTGGTATTGTTCAGGCTGGCAAGAAAGCAGTTTATAAACCACCTCAGTAATATTTTCTGGGACAAGTGTGACGTTTATTCAAGTGGGGGTCATAGTTAGTTTTTGAAGTGTAGCAGTGGGGGGAGAGATGAAGGGGTTGGGGGAGAGAGACCCAAGCCTTAAAAAACACTTCGACATCAGCATCAACTGTTCAGCTCCCCAGGCAGTCAAAATCTACAAGTTTTTCACTCTGTTGAGTCCCAAACTTCTAACTCCAGTAACCAAACCAGGGAAACCTTCTTATCTAAACTCTGAAGAGCCACTGTTCTGTTGAAGGTGACAGAAGATGGACCACTGATGTGAATTGGTGCATGTGAAACTTCAGTCTTTTTCAGTTAAAGGGGAAAAAAGGCTTTATGTGAAAATGTCTGTAGTCACGTTTCACAACTAAAAAATCTACACCTATGAATCCATTTTTTCACCTAGACTGTGTATTATAAAAGGAAGATTTTTTTTTTCTAGTTGGCAGTTATGTTTAAAGAAAAGAGGCTGTGTGAAGTAGCTGGCTTGACTATTTGTTTTAATGTCTCTCTCTCTCTCCTCCTTCCATAAAAAAAAGTTTCCGGAAACAATCTTCAAGGTGTTCTTTTTGAGAATATGGAAAGTGTTGCTTTGAGTAGTAATTTACTGACACCTTTCAAATGTTTTCTCTGTTTCAAACATTGACCTCTGCAGTTCAGACTATGGCAGACTTGTGCTTCATTTGGCTTGACTCCTGAACAAACTTCAGGCATGTGTCCTGAGAGGGTAACTTGCCCTACCACATCACTAAAAGAAGCTGCTTAACTGAGCTCTATTTATTCATTTAAGTCAGGCAAAAAAGCTTAGAAAACGTCTACCAGGAAGAAATGGTTTTTAATAGATTGCCATTGCTTTACGTAACATGTTTTGTGCTGGAATGCTAATGATTTGCATCCCTCTTCAGTAACGCTAACAGTAGCATCCCAGTCCAAGGAATGCTGCAGCTTGGGTGCTGATGTTTTGCCAGTCTTCAGTGCCATTTTTTAAAGGGACATCTTGCGTTGCATTGTCTGGACAGCTGTACTATTTTGATGGGCAAGTATTTTCCTGCTGCAAGTCTCTATGCTGCAAAACAGTGTAGCCTTCAAGCCTGTAAGCCTTCAAGCTTGTCTAGCTCCCAGTATTCCAGCTGAGGTGGCCTCTCACTTCCACAGTGGAGGACTGTCTTGCTCATAGGGGAAAGGGCAAGGCAGAGCAGCCTGAAGAGCTGTCAATCATATATATATATTGGGGGGGGGATCCCCTTTGTGTGGCTTATTCTAGTTTTTTCATGGTGCAGTTTTACGTGATGCTTATTATTTTAAAAACTATTTGTATGTGAAACAAACAATATGTTAGTTAATGAATAAACAATAAACAAACAAACATTGGAACTATCTTCACATCATGACCCTCAATATATTTTTCTTGGTAGGTCATCCTTAGTTCATACCCCATTAGTGTGCATGCGATTAAAATCCCAATGTGTATCACTTCACACATTCTTACATTGCATAGTCTTTGCCATTTTAATGCTCTTTCATTCGGTTTGAAGGATATTTTTGGAGCTTCTAGCCATCACTTTGTGTTTTCACTGCTCTGAACAATCTGATGTCATCAACTAACTTGCTGATCACACTGTTCACTTGCAAGTTCAGGTCATTTATGAATAAATTTAAAAGCATCAGGCCCAATATCATTCATTGGAAGATCCCATTTCCTACAACTTTCTGTTGTGAGAATTGTCCCAATCTCTTTTTCCTGTTCTTTAACCATATACTGTTTTAATAAATAGCAAGATGATATAATATATATATATATATATATATATATAGTCCAAAAAGAACTCCCTTAAGAGAATCAGGTCTTTTTGTCTTAAGATAGTCTTTAAAAGAATCTTTTTTTAAAAAAATTCCAGTAGCACCTTAAAGACCAGCTTTCGTGTGTATACACACTTCTTCAGAATACTGTTTCTTCATATACTGTTTCATTAACTTGATTGTTGTGTTTTTAGTTGTCACCTAGAGACATTTGCCTAGAGTGGCAAATGGAATAATAGGATATATTTCTTATCCCATGACTAGTTCTGATATATTGTGATTATTGAATCACTATAGTCCAGTGCAGTACCATATTTCTGATGTTCGTTGTATCTCTTGTTGAACAGTCTCTTCTGAGACTTGCCAGTTACCTGTATATCTGTGAGACAGGCAAATGAGCTTTGAACTTAGTAGATATATATGTGTGTGTTTTCTGTGTAGCTAAGATGTGGTCTGTTCAGCTCCTGCCACTGGTAATGGAAAAGGATTAGTTTACTGTTTTTAACACTTCTACTGAAACAGCAATCTCTCAGCGACCTTTTAAATCTCTGATATAGATCCCTTGGAGAACCTGCAAGAAGAGTCTATTGTTGGATGCTTTACTTTTAGTTCAACTGAGAGAAATGGGTTCATGGGTTTATCAGCCAAAATGTTCCCTTCTTTATTTTGAAAATAACTCAACTGAATAAAAATGTCAAAATGCTGAGAAATAACTGATTCCAGAGGATTATCTCTTTTCCCACAAGAACAGCAATTATCAAGCTTATTTTTACCTTTGATTTCTAGGCATACCTTATGCATCAAGGTTGGCTACACTATGTGTTAACATTGTGACAGCTTATCTTACTTATGGCTTGGCTGCTCAAAATACTACTTCAGAGGTATTAGTAGAAGTCTAAAATGAATTTTTTGGCATTATTATTATTATTTATTCAAATTATATACCATGCTTTATCAGAAGATCTCAGGGTGATGTACAATATTAGAAACACATTACGAAACATCAAGGATAAAAACAAAAATATAGCAAAAAGCATACTGACAGACAATACCAATAGCATGCAATTTTTTGAGTACTCCAGAACTCTTAATCAGATCTGATGAAGACATTAGATGAACACAATAATGGAGGGACTTGGCTGGTGGTAATGCCATGAAACTGCATATAGTCTACCAGATCTAAGAATGTACTATGAGGCGGCCTGTCTCACCTGGTTAAAGGAGTGGTGCACACTAAAAAATCCAGAATTGCTGGACCTGGAGGGGTACAACAACAGATTCGGCTGACATGCATACCTGGGCTACGGAAAGGTTAAAGTTCATAATAATTTTTTGAATCATGTCATCAGGAATATACGTTGTTTAGGGAAAATATAAGGACCTTCTTGAGCCTAAGGTGCCATGGTGGATCTCGCCAACTGAAGCTCTTGCCGTTAAAAGGAAAAACACAAATGGAAATTGGCCTGTCTATAAATCATTATTAATAGAGGAAGAGAACCAGTTAAAATTTTTAAAAATCGAAGCAATAAGAGATCAAGTCTCAGCCTGGTTCCAATATTAACAATTATTTGAAACCTTCAAATGTGATTTAAAAAAGAGGATTTCCGGCGGAGATTTCCAGATTTGAATCAGGTCTAATAAATTCTAAAACTAAAACCCTCTCCAAAACATGCTGATTCCTCCTTGACTGGGAAGTCAAGGAGGAGGAGGTTAAGTCCTCTATGATCTATTGGGCCTAAGACTTTGGTTACAACAAAGATGAGCCAATGGGAACACCTCTGGAAAGTAAATTGGAACTTTATGGCATGTTGTACATTAAAGGAGAACCTTCAAAAGATGTTATACCACTGGTATTTAACCCCTTCTAAACTCTCCAATATGTACAGAAGTGTTCCTAATATATGTTGGAGATGTGGAGAATCAAGTGGAGCCATGCTCCGTATGCGGTGGGTTTGTAAAAAGATCAAAACTATCTGGAATGACATACATACTCAGCTTCAAATAATGTTAAATGCATCCTTCCCCCCCAAAAAACCAGAATCATTTTTATTGGGTATTACAGGACCAGATCTATATAGGATGATAAGGAAAGTCTTTCTGTATGCCACCACTTCTGCGAGAGTACTTACAGCAAAACATTGGAAGAGTGACCAAATCCCCATCAGATCAGAATGGTTACTAAAACTGGTAGAATATGCTGAACTAGATAGTCTCTTGGAAAAGATTAAAGATAAGCAAAAACAGGAGTTCATTGATAACTGGAAACCTCTAAAGAGTTACTTAAAAAATAAATGTTACAATCTGAATTCGGTAGCAGCTTTTGAATAAGCTCTGTAAATAAAGGTTAAATGGGTTAAAATAGAGAGAGAGAGAGAGAGAGATGCATATCAATATTTTATTATGATTTTGCTGATAAATTTAGGCAATAGGTTTATTAAAGTGAAAAGATGTTTGAGAAGGACGGGTTGTCAAATTTATGAAGATATATACTTTGTTGGAATTTTTATTTTGATAAGTTTGATCTACAGACTATAAAATATCTTTGATGTATGGATGTAACTACGATTAATAAAGCATAAAAGAAGAAGAAGAAGAAAGAAAGAAACTGCATATAGTCTTAAGGTAGAATATGGAAGGAGGTGGGCATTCACATGGAACTCTACTAGGTTTCATGCAGACATCAGGTTGCACAAGAGCCTTCAGGGGAAAGAAGTATAACAATAGCTAACAGAGGCAAAATCTGAAGCTATTTATAGTTAAGGTATTCCAAGATTTGGTTGTTACCTTAGAGGTACAAATTCTTCAGTATACAGTACTCCTGACTTTTAGGGAAAGCTCCAGGTGAAAGCTTTTAGCCTTCTGAGAACAGGGCTATTGTTCTCAATCCTAAAGACTATAACTGCAGTCCTAGACTAATCCATATGTGATTGTGCAGTTCAGTATCTAAGTCATAGAGTAATAGCTGTATTATGTGGCTTAGTTGCATGCTAGGGCTTTATTTTGAAGGGAGTCCTTTTATCTCAGTTAATGATGTTATGGGCTCCAGAGCAAGTTGTTTACTATTCTATTAACTTCAACTTGTCCTAGCCTGTTTCCATTACGTCCCATTGGCTCTTTCAGTACCTGTACATGGATGTAGTCATCAAAATTTAGCAACATATCATTGAAGTGAATTAAGCAAGTTCATACACCTAAACCATTATGTATGACCACTTGTGAATTTATCTTACATTTTTGGTAGAGTATTTGAAGAGAACAATGCACTACTTCACTGAACTGCATTGATGCTACTAGGATTGTCATTCTAGCAAAATGATGTTTGCCTTACTCTCCTTTTTTAAAGATGCCATTGCTATATTAATAAAATTCTAGCTCCTTTTACAAAGGTGCTATCACTTATAAACTGTTATAAAGTTTCCTGGCCTTCTGTTCATCTGTATACAGTAATCCCGACTATTTTTCAGAGGCATTGAGACAGTTTAAAGTTTGTATTTCCATTATTGTGCAGCGGTTTCTAGATTAGTACTTCCACTAAAATATCACTTAACACATATGAAGCATACTGTGTTAACTACTTGGTTTTTAATGCGAGTGTTAATACTGTGAATCTTATGAGACAACAGTGTGAAACTGATGTTATATCTTCTTAACTCTACACTTACAAATTCGTAAGAATCGGCTCAATTATCTGATGCAACCCAAACTTAAAACATTCCAGATCAATGTCTCCTTTTGGGGTGGGGGGAATGAACTGAACGTAGGATTTATACTCTTGCCCAACTTGCGGAATTGGATGGGGAATATTTGCTTTTATCAGAGTTACAAATATTGCCATTGGACTGTAATTCACAGGCTGTATCTATAACAGGGGTTGGGAATCTGTGCCCCACCCCTGATGTTGCTGGGCTATAACTCCCATCTTTACTGGCCATTGGCCATGCTGGCTAGGGCTACTGGAAATTGGAGTCCAACAGTTCTAGAGAATCACAGGTTCCATGCCCCTGGTTTTACAATTATAAAACTCTTTAATATCAATCTATGCCTGTCACTACAGTGGTACCTCGGGTTAAGAACTTAATTCATTCCAGAGGTCTGCTCTTAACCTGAAACGGTTCTTAACCTGAGGCGTGCTTTTGCTAATGGGGCCTCCTGCTGTCACTGGCGCGCGATTTCCGTTCTTATCCTGGGGCAAAGTTCTTAACCTGGAGCAACCACTTCCTGGTTAGCGGAGTTTGTAACCTGAAGTGTTTGTAACACAAGGTACCACTGTACTTAGTGTTTCAAAACACCCTAAATCTTGAAATACTTGCTCACCTTAGGACATATTATTATATCCACACTCTGTTTATATGATAAATGATTGCTTGGCAACATTAAACTTATTAGAGATAACTTGAAATTGAAGCACCTCGTATACAAACAGTGAAGTTCACACATACATTGTTTCACTTGACTAGAAATTAATTCAGCAATAGTTATTGATTTGAAGATATTGGACACTCATCTCTCACTTGTCCTAGGTGCTAGTGCTGTGGTATTGATTTTGTGTCACTGTCATTTATATTACAGGCATATCATTGTGTCAGGAGTGAGGAATCTCCAGCCTTGGGCCACATTTGGCCCATCAGGCCTCCCCATTTGTAAGGGAGGAGGTTTTCCAAAATCCACATCCACTTGTTGGCATGTGTGGCATCAGGTGTGCAGCAGACAGAGTTGTAGCTGGTTGTACAGCAGATCACTGCAGAAAGCAGGATTAAACTCCCCAGGTGATATGTGGGGAGTGGAGTTCTGATCTGGCCCGTTGGGTCAAAAAGGTTCTCCATCTCTGCTTTAGGTAGAGGTCTGCCTGCATATTAAATTTGATTTAGCAGCATTGGTGTTGAGAGTCCCACATACAGTGGTACCTTGTGTCACATACTGCCCCCCTTACGAATGCTTCCAGTTACGCACGCCACTAACCCGGAAGTAGATGCCCCTTGTTGCGAACTTTGCCCCAGGGTGCGAGCAGAAGACGTGCTCCGGCAGCACAGCAGCAGCGGGAGGCGCTATTAGCAAAAGTGCACCTCATGTTACGAGCAGTTTCCAGTTACGAACAGACCTCCGGAACAGATTTAGTATGTAACACAAGGTACCACTGTACTCATAAGCCAGTGGCTCTGAAAGGATGGCACTTGAAGATAGCAAGTATGGCAGAAATATTCAAGAAACATTTAAACATTTCAGTGTAGTATAATGTAGTATAGCTTACTATCAAAATAATATTTTAATTTGCAGAATATGGAAAAATATCAAGCAATGATAGGTGTTGTTTCTTTTTGTTTTCCAGTGTTTTTCTTATCAATAAAAAAAATGGGGTGTGTTGCAAGCAAATTTTTATTCTGAAAGTGTGGTGCAGAGAAAAAGACACTTGAGGACCACTGTCATAAACTATATTTCTGTACTTTGGGAACTGTGAGGCAGCCAGTGAAAATGAAGCTCTTGTTCCTGCAAGATTAGAAAGAAAATATCCCACTGTCACAGCTAACACAGCGGTTTGACTTCACCCCTGGAGGCGCTTCAGACAGAAGGATGCTTTAAAAATTGTTGGTTTTAGCTTATATTTTTGTACTAATGGATATTATTTTTATATTGTATATATATATTGTAGACTATTTAGAGATTTTTTTAAAAGATGGAGTGGTTACAAATGCTTTTTTAAATAAAATACATGTATCTGGAACTTTTACAGATGCTCTTTTTTGTAATTCCTGGTCTGGATTTAACCTTAAACTGTGAACTAAATTTAGGAGCTGGGCTTCATAGAACCATAATCAGGAAGGCTAAATTAATCCTTTGTCCTGGGAAAAGCAAAAGGTTAATGTGCTAGCAAATGTAGACCAAATGATCTAATTTCTTATCTTGTATTAGAATAAATTAACTAGAGGGAAGCTTTTAGATTACTTGTAGAAAAATATCAGAACTGTTAACACTTTTTTTTAAAAAAGAAAAAGGTTGCTGAAGACCTAGCTAAAGCTTCAAGTGTGAAATTTCTTCAGTTTGTGCCTGTGCTTCATCTGACAACAACAAATTAAGTTGGCTTTGTCCCTGGGAGACCTCATATAGAGTTCATATCTCATGAGTGCTAAATCCATGAAGAAACGAAGTCCTACTGATGCCAATTTCTTTATACACAACTAAAAATTGTGTATACATTACATCAGAGCTTTCAAAACTTTTCATGTTGGTGACACGTTGCACAGTAATTCAGTTTTACTATCAAATTAAGGAGCATTTGTGCAACACACATACACACTGCAGCCGACTCACAAACGTGTCATGACACACAGTTTGGTAAGCCCTGCATCGTATCATATCTTAACATCAAACGTCTTAACACCAAACAAGTTGTTGTCTAGGTGCTTTTGCGTGCAGACTCTTTCCAAAGTGGCTGCTCCAAATGTCAATGCACTAAGCAAGGCCCTCTGTTTCTTGTTAACTTGTTAAGTGTCACAAATGAAAATGACACAGGAGTCCCCACAGTCCTCTCTTTTAAGACCAAAGCAGGAAGAAGCTCTACAATATAAGCCAGAAATATCCAAAGAACAAGATATGAAGCTCAAAGTAATGTTGAAATGTGGGACCTGGCCTATTTCAGGCCCTGCTGCTCATAGTTTTGGATTTTCCAATTCCCAGTTGTGCAGTGACTCATGGCTGCTGCTCAACAATGGGAACAGCACCTCCTATGTGGTCCCAGTTGGCAAGATTGAGTCAGAGGATATACAGCATAGGATATATAGCAGTGCAAAAAGTAATCACCCAACCTTTTGTGTTTAACTCTTTGGGTAGGAGGAACAGGAATATTAATGAGAATATAATATTGTGTACCACAAAGCAAACACTATTGATAATTGAGCAGCTTAATTCTTTAAAATAGAATAATAAAAATTAAGTTTTGGGGACTTTTTTTTTAAAAAAAAGACTGTTGAACTAGGGCTTCCTTTCTCTCTAGCCAGCATTCATTGCTGCTATTAGCTTAGAGTCAGAAACATTTTGTATCTCAAGGGTGAAAGGAAACTTGCTAGATTGTCCAAGTCCCAGTTGCTCTGAAGCAGCAGGTTTTGACATGCCATCCCTGTTCTTACACTTCCTGTATGGTTGCTTCAGAGTAATCTGGAAGGTATTTCCTGGAGGACCTGCTTCTGGACATGTAGGAAGTAGATCAGGATTTTCAGATGCATGTGATGGCCTTAACTGGAAACCATGTAAAGGCTGTATACCCTTTTCAGATTGGAAATGACTGGACTGAGCTATATTTTGTTGGAAGGCTACGCTACTTGGCATTATGTGTTTCCACATGCTAGTCTTTTCAAACTTGTTTTCAAAGATTATCAAGGATAATACAATATATTGCTTCTGTACAGTGAAGGTTTTTCCCCCTCTTTAAACATGGTTTTGGCTTTGTAAACCCCAGTTCCAGAAATTAGCTGCAAATGTCCTCTTCTCTCAACAGGGTGAATCGGTGAAATATTTTCTGGATAATTTGGACCGGATTGGCCAATTGGTGAGATTTACTTTTTCTTTGCCCCATTCTGTCCTCCAGTACTTAATGCATTGTGCCTTTTTATGTTCTTTGTCTGATATGCTCAAACCATATGGCCTTGAAGAAAACCAAAAACTGTACAAATTCACAGTGTAGAAAATGCAGAACTAAATGGAGAATCACCGAGCAGAACTAAACTCTGCTTACTGTCTTCCTCAACCACCCTTTAACTCAGTGGTTCCCAAATTCCCCCCACCCCAGGAGGATTTGAAAATTGCAGGTGTTTGTGAACTACTTAATTATTTTTCTGCCTGTGGTAGCAAATTAATTCCATAGAATTCAAATAGTAATACAGTAAAATAAATAAAAATGCAATTAAAAATAATATGAATATTCAGTGCAATTGATGTGCCATCTCCCATTTCAACCACAAATCTAGATAACTGAATGAAGCTCACCTAACACTGGTAAATTCACTGACCACAGTTTGGGAACAGTCACTGTTTCCAGGTCTGTCTACTCTGTGGTGAAAGGCAACCCACCCCGCAAAAAAGAATATTGTACATAAAGTAGTTAGTACAATTCATATCCCATTTGGGAATTATGCAATTGCTTATATTCATATACTGTCACACAAACAACCTTTTTTTCTTAATACTTTCAATATGAAGTATTAAGACAAAAAGGTTGTTTGTGTGACAGTATGTGAATATAGGCAACTGAATAATTCCCAAATGGGATATGAATCGTATGGAACTGTCAGCAAGTCAGACTTACATTAAAGTACACACAGCACTCTTAATGCACATAGGCACGAGGTGAATCCTTTGTCTGGCAAAATGTGATTCTAACAATTTCTTAGATAATAATGACCTCCGCAGTATCATTTCTTTTTCAGGGAAGAGGGATGCTTCCCTCTACCCACTGTTCATATCAGAGGTGCCAACTTGAATAAAATATTTGGGGCAGGTAAGTCCCGCTCTCCCTGATCAGTCACATGGTGCAGTGCAGGGGGGCCAACATGACCTTGGCCCCTAGGAATTGGCTCTATGTTTGAGACAGAGAGAGGTGGAACAAAGATAGGTCTGCATTGTTGCTCAATTCGTTGCAAAATTGTTAAACATACCATATCATTTTACTTTGGATGTAGTGGCAGTGAGACTTGGCCAGGGCCAGCAACAGTGAAACTTGCATGTTGTAGGCTGTCAGAAACCCCAGTTTTTATTGAATATGTTGTAAGGGTGGTACACAGAATTTCAAAGGATATGTTCATGATACTGAGGAGGCTTGTAAACTATTCAGTTTGTTACTTCAGATTGAGTTGGTTTACAGCCAGTTCATGCAACCAAGTAGACATAAGGAAAATAGCTTAAGTGAAGGTGAGCAGTTCATGTAGCAGAGTGGTCTTGTGATTCACTTACAGAACTTGATTCAACTCACATTTTCAGCTGAGCAGGTTTCTTAGGATTGATCATTAGTTTCTTCTCTCCTTCCTTTACCCCTCTGGTCACTACCCTGACTCAGTGTATCTGTACCCTCTTTCAATGGAAGCAGCTGTTGATCCATTTTGATATTTTCCCTGCCTCCATGTCTCTTTCTGCAGAATTATTTTCCCAGTAAGCAAGACATCTTGCTGGCTAGAAAAGCTACCAAGGGGATTGTGGAGCATGACTTTATCATCAAGAAGATTCCTTTCAAAATGGTTGATGTGGGTGGACAGCGGTCTCAACGCCAAAAATGGTTTCAGTGTTTTGATGGGATAACATCTATACTATTCATGGTCTCCTCAAGTGAATATGATCAGGTCCTTATGGAAGATAGACGCACAAATAGACTAGTTGAATCTATGAACATCTTTGAAACCATTGTCAACAACAAGCTCTTTTTTAATGTCTCCATCATTCTCTTCCTTAACAAAATGGACCTACTTGTGGAGAAAGTGAAGAATGTCAGCATTAAGAAGTACTTCTCAGACTTCAGGGGTGATCCTCACCGGCTGGAAGATGTTCAGCGTTACCTGGTACAGTGTTTTGACAGAAAGCGGCGTAATCGCAGTAAACCCCTCTTCCATCATTTCACCACAGCCATAGACACTGAAAACATCCGCTTTGTGTTCCATGCTGTGAAGGATACAATCCTTCAGGAAAACCTTAAGGATATTATGTTGCAGTGAAGAAAAACTGAAGAAAAACTGTCTGTTCAAACCTAGCCTAGTTGAAGGCCCAACCTTTATAGCCTATACGATGGATTTTTTAAAAAAAGATCCATGCTGTTACTTGGCTCAAGGAAGCTGCAAAATAGCCAGTCCCAATGGAGGAGCAACAAGCAGAAGGATTGTGAGAGCTCAAGCTAGCTACTGTATCACTTAACTAAACAAAAAACTACTGAAAGTAGTAAATTGCAAGTGCAGTGCCTTCTTTTGAACTCTGAATAACATTATTGCCTTCTGCCTTTTGAAAAGATAATTCTAAGTTTGAAAAATGACGTAAAGACATTTTGTGTTTTTTAATCCACTGTCATTGTGCAAGAGAGTTTGTTGGTTGTAAAGCCTGTCTGCCTCACTTGTTTTGGGTGCTGAATTAACAAATCCAGTAAGTTCATTGATACTTCTATTTGGAGAATACATTGCAATATGTCAATATCTAGGTTTGGTGTACGCAAAATTGTTTGCCAGTAGCCAGACTGTGCTTGCCAAAATGATTATCCAGCTCTTCTTTGAGACTCTACAGTTTCCCTCTTGTCGAAGTTTACAACTGTAAATTGAACTTGGCTGGCCACACTAGTGAATTTCATTTTAGCAATTGGCCTGAAAGGGGGCAGAAATCCAAGACCTGGGTTGGTGCAACATAGGGCTGTACTTTGCACTACATGTTACAGTGTTTATTGCATCATGGAAAATAAGACCTTTATTTTCTTTTTATTTTACTTTTCATATAGCATGAGTGCTGGAGCTCACACAGATGCTCTGCTGAGACATTAACTCTGTTCTCAAACCTATAGTTGGAACTATATGAAAACTTTGTCTTGACAGAATATTATGTATGAGACATATTATGGGTGTTCTCATAAAAGGGAAGCTAATGTTATTCCTTAGCCAAATGTTTGGTAAGCAGAGGCTGCTCATAGCACTAAAGCCAAATGCTCTTGAGGTTTCTACTTTACAGCTGCACTGAGTTTGGAAAGAAGAGCTCTGCTTTGAACTAATCCTTAATTGTTGCTGTATGAATTTACTAGGTTATATAATATACACTTAAAATGTTGTAAACGCTCAAGTTTAAAGTTGCCCCTTTAAGGCTACTACAGAGTACATGTGAATTTGCAGGAGGCTGTGAATAATGTTGATGTGAACTTCCTTTTTAATTCTAAAGTGTTGAATTTAACTATGGGTGCCTATTTTGTGTGTACTGATGTTTCACACTCTGTCTGATATGAGGTATGTATTAACTACACTAAACCCTACATTTTCAGTGCTATAGACTTTATTCAGGGATCTTCTTAAACATAAGAAATGTTTACCATACTTTTGGTACCATACTTGTCATATCAAATTATAAAGGGCTTATTCTTTCCTGTATCATGATATCAGAATGCTGTAGCTTATGCCCCTCTGGGACAATCATGTCTTACACAGTAGGCAAAACTCCAGGTATAAATGCCACCAATAACAGCAAACTAAAACAAATCTCTCATGACTTCTGCTTGGACAAATTCCAGGATTTTTTTTTCCCTGTGGGGATTACTCACATTTATATAAGCATGTTTTTGTGTGGTGTACCCGACTTTGAACCAGAAATTTTCCACTCTTATAGTGATGTTTGTGCAAAATCAAGCTCAGTTTTGGAAATTAAGAAAGAGTTTGTCTCCTACTTTTTATCTAAAACTAAAATTTCAGTAAGACAACAACCACATAGTGACTGCAGACATTTCAACCTTTTGAGATGAAATTACATTTGGAGACATTCTAGTGACACTTGTCTTACTTTCTAGGACCAATTATTTTACTATTTTCATATCTGCTTCTAGAAAAGAAAACAATATTGCAATTTTGCCATGAGTACGCTAAAGTGTTGAATAATTTTGCAGGCTATGAATGGCTATTCAAGGGTTAAGGGGAATGCATCTCAGCTACGATTGCCAATTTCTATTCATTGGGTTTCTTCATTGATGTCTCTTTTGAAAATTGAAATTCCACATGCCTAAAAAGATGTTTGATTTGTGTTTTTCAAATAGCTATCTTGAAATGAGAAGTTTCAAGAGCAGTTTGTGATGTGGAATATGCACCTGCTTTTAAAGGAGAAAATTCTCATTAGACATGTTCACAACCCATGGCATTCATAAGTAGCTCTTATGTATTCTGGTCACAGTATTTTAATTTGCATCCTCAGCAGTAATATACAATCTAGAAGGAGCCTTGACTATTCAATTAAAAAATTGAACTTTATGTATTTTCTACCCAAAAGTGCCTCGGTTTTACCTATTAACTTTTCTTTGCCCTTAAGTGGCAGGGAGTAGCACAAACCCATTTATAACAATCTGAACTATGCCACCACTTGCGTTTTAAAATAAAAACTTAGAAATAATATGCTGCAGTTCTCAAATTGTTCTTTTTCTTACAACTCTGCCTAGTCGTGTACTGTATTTCTTTTTCTGTATGGCTACCGTAGTATTTGCATGTAAAATGTATTATATTACTGTGTTCCTTTGGTATCAGATAGTCATCTTTTGGTATGATGGAAGCCCCTTGCTGGGGCAAACTTACCTTAAAGATTTTGGTAGCCAGATTAAGACTGCAATCCTAAACTATGTCTACCTAGCAGTAAACCCAATTGAATTCAGTGGGACTTGCCTCCCGGTAAATGGAGATTAGGATTGCAGTCAAAATCAAGTTCAACCTAATCTATTTTTCAGCCAATTTATTTTGCCATTTAAGATGCTGTTAGCTCTAGTTCTCCAGCTTCTCATCCCTTCAGCTGCAGGCCTTGGTCATGATCACACACTGATACAATTCTTGTGATTAACATTGTAGTAGAAGCTTAGCATCTAACAAGCAGGATGTTTTAACAATTTCAGGATTACAGTGCAGTCTGGTTTAAATAACTAGTTGGAATCCTAAAAGTATCTTTTAACAGTATAGCTTCACACAGATAAGGGAAACCTCTTTTCTAATCCTAGCACTGCTCATATACTGTGTTTCAATAGTTTGCTTTGAATTCAAAATCTTTTTTTGCAATCCAGTACAGTAGTATTGGGTGCTCTGCAACCATTGAATTACCCGCTCTTTCTTCCTCTTGCCAAAGCCACAAGACATTTGCCTTTAATTGTAACCCTTGAGAACATTTTGTCCTAAGTACAATTAGCAGGGAGAGGAAAGATTTGTTGTTGGAATACTTGATGTAATGATACTTTTAAGCTGGGAAATGGGTTACACATCAGACAGTCTATTACAGGCCTTGAACTTATGCTTTGGCATATTACATACCAAACAGGCTTCAACTTCAGCTTCTCATTTGTCAGAGGACGTTTTGCTGTAAATAATGTATATTGTGCATTTGGTGTTTTTAGCCATGGACAAAGAGGATCACCCCCTCATGTCTTTAACAGGGTGTGTGTGCATATATATGTATTTACATCCATGTGCACACACAGGTGGAAGTAGACTTTCCGCTGAAAATCTGCTTGTTTTTATATAAACTCTCCAAGAGCAAGGACTTGCCAGGGAGGGAAATCATTTTTCATGAAATGGAAGCTGCAAGTTGGCATGAGTTCACAGTTCCTATGTTAATACTATGCACACACTGCATATTCAAGTGGACTTTACACATGAGCAGAATTTACCATGTTAGCATAACAGAATATTGTTGAAACTGACTCTTGAGTTTATCAACTTAGCAGATGTGTTATCCAAAATAAAGAGTAGCATTCTGCCATTCACAAAAATTTATAAGGGATGAACAGAGATTACCATACTTGGCAAGTTTGAGGCCCATTAAAAAAGGCTTTCTGTGGCCTCTGGGATAGTGACTAAAATACCGCCACTGCTGTGGATATGGTAGATGTTCCTACTTCTGCCACCAATTCATTTCACTGATTTAAAGAACCCTTATCAATGGGCCAGCAAGTTACCTAGGATTTAGCAAACCTCCCATAGTTTTATACCGACCCTTGAGGGTTGGGGGTTTTTTTATGAGCTCTTTTTTGATGGGTTTTTTTGTTGGGAGGGAGAGATTTGGAGAAGGATCTAGTTTCTAGACTTTCAAACAGTGCTGCTTAAGCATTAACGGTTGTGTGTATTAAAACAAAATGCATTGAAACAATAGCCACCAATGAAGAGCCTATATGCTTTCCCCCAGAATAAGGATTTGGCAGCATATTAAAACAACTTATTGGCACTACTGTAGCTGTTGGCACACACATAAATCTTTTTTTTTTCCTAGCCTGCCTGTTTGTTTATAACTGGGACATGCAAATTGAGGTTTCTTGCAGTGTGCTCTTGAGAGGCTTTGGCTATGCAGAAGGTCTGATAAATGTTCTAAAAGGCAAGCAACTATCCTCTTCAAAACCAACAAAATCAAGCCTTTAGCATTTGGGGCCCTCATACCTTAAAAGACTGTTCCTTATTTTACTCTATTGTGTACTTTCAGATCAACCAAGACTATTCTCATGATTTATGTGCCAAATTCAAACTGCAAAGACACACAGAATGGTATTTTCAGTGGTTGTTCCACAATGGTAAAATTCCATTCCCTTGTCAAAATACAACCTGAATACATTCTTGGAAGCATTCAAAAATATAGGTAGCTGTGTTCGTACACTAGGTTAAAAAACAACAACACAGAAGCAACAGTATGACAAAACCCTTATTAGGACCAACCTAAACATTACAAAATCTACTTTCTAGAAGCACTGTAAGAGCTGAAACAGATGCATAGTTTGTACTACCAGGGATGTGGGCAGGGTAATCAAATGTTGGAATGATTTCCACATAAAAGTCTACCTGCACACACAAGCCTAACATGCTGGAGAGGCGAGGGAGGCTGGTCCTGGCTTGCTTGATTAGTACTTCCAGGATCTCTCGTGGGCCCAAACATCTGTTCTACCAACCCGGATGATTTAGCCCAGCAACAGCTACATCACATGGGAGTTCTTCCCCAGACTACCTCAAAAGTTCTCCAAAGATTTTCCTTAGCACACCTGGCCCATAGCATGTTATTGGGTTCTTATTGGTAGAGATCATACATAAGAGCAATACAGAGTGGCCATGCTGCAACTGATATGCTTGGGGACAATTTCATCTGGTTCCTTTCCCTGGTTGGTGGCTGAAGAAAGCAGCATAAATCCAAGTTTGTGTTTGTTTTCTGTTCACTATCTTGGAGGCTTTAGGCCAAAAGTTGGGAGCAGAATAATTGAAAAAATTAAATAGGGAACTGACAAAAATGCTGCCTAGTGTTGACATTATACCTGAAAAGTGATTTCAGAAATGTCTTCCTTTTCAAGTGGTGCTTCATCTATATTCCACATATTTGCACGAGTGGGCTAGTTTTATACCCATATTGCAGACATAGTAGTGGTTTGCCTACAGCTACTAGTGAAGCACAACTGACATGATGAATGCTTGGTTTCTTGCTCACAATTGGCCACTGCACCATACCAGCCCTGGGGCAGTATTCCATGCTCACTGGTGCATATAGAATACTGCCCTAGAGCTCGTATATTGTAGTGAATCATCAGAAAATTGAGTATTGTGGACAGAAAAGGCCTGTGCTTGCCTTAATCTTTAACTTGAGCAAAAAAAGCTTAATTATTGTTGAAAGGTGACAAATTTAAAAATAAGTTGTGATGAAAGTGCCATAATTCATACTGGTAATATTTTTTAATTGTGTGCTTAAAAACAACCCTGGTCTTTTGTAAGCACTAAAAGAGTATAATTCTTTGTGACCTATTTTGCTGTGATAGCAGCAGCTTATGAAAGCTGTGTATTAGATTTTTAAAATGTGGTGTAAAAATGTGTATTATAGCGTTGAATTAGCTTACTGTTTTGTATATATGAATTTTGTAAATCTATTAAAATGTGACTTGTTACTGTACTTTCTAGTGAAGTGTCTGTAAAATAATTTAAGTTCTGTTAGAGAACAGCGGTGGTCATGTACGCTATAATACGGGGTCAGCAACCAGCAGTCCCTGAGCCGTATCTTATTTCCTCAGAAACTGGCAGGCATCACTGCGTCTTAAGACACCTCCTTTTGCCAGAAGCAGATGTGTGAGGCAGCCAAAAAATGAAGTGGGTTCAGGGCGAAAGAGGAAGGATGAGGCCATTTAGGCAATGGTTAAAGGAGGTTTGGCTTAGCTGGTTATTTTTGAGGAAGTAGAAGAGCTGGCCTGTTGCTACGGCTTTGTTACTGTTGGCTCCTTCATAAATCTAGTTGCTGCTTTAAAGAATTCCAGAAGAGCAACAGTTCATTACAGCAGTAACTTTCTGTATATGGTATCTCAAAGTTTCATATCTTGTGGTATGAGATTTTGTAGCAATAGTCTACTTCATCAGATGCAATAAATAGGCAGTGATTTCTTGGAATTATATACAGACAACTCTCAACGCTGGGGTTACTAACGCATAAGGCCAAACTTATGTATAGCCAAACATACTAGGATCAATGGTGGGTGGGATTGGTTGGCATCCATCTGTCTTGGGAGACAATGGAAGTGTGCACCTTCAGGAGGAAGTCAAAGAATTGGAGAGTTACAGTGCCTGCTGTGGCTGTAGAGAAGGATGCGGGAGAGACATGTTTTCTTGCATCTGGGGCAGATGAAGGCATCCAGTTGTGCTACTGCAGGTATACCATGGTGTTTCTTCTTACCGCACTCCTCCCAGTGCTCATTCCCAGAGAGTGGGATTACCAAAGTCTTCTTTCCCAGATGTCCACCCCCTTTTCACCACCTTTAATAAAATTTAATGTTTGTTGCCAAGTGCATAAAGCTGAATGCACACAAGTTAAATGAGTGCAAGTTGTGAGTTACCTGCACACTTATTCATCTTTCGGAGGCAAAATGTTGTTTTCAAAGGGCATATTTTAAAAATGCAATGCAGAGATACTGTTGTATGTCACTGGTATTCAACAGGGGTTTCCAGGAGCTCATTGAAGATGTGCTGCAGCCGTGACACTTTCTCTTAAAAATAGAGAAGGTAAAAGACTTTAACACGTGCAGTAAATTGGGACTCCCTTTTGGGCTTGGTTTGGGGAAGCACATTTAGAAATCTAAAATGGTTGTGGGTACCACAAAATATCCATTGCACGTATGAAGAAGTTGTTGGTGCTCATGGCCTCCACAAAAGACAAAGCACCACCCAAATACACAGAAACAGACAAAACACTCCCTAAAACAACAGCAACAACAAAGTTTAAGCACTTTCAAAATGTAGTGAGTGGACAGGGGACCTCAGCAGATTCAAGGAGGGTAGCCAGAAGCCCTTCCTCTTTTCTCATTCCTCATTTCATGCTCTGCCATGGATTTAAGGCTGCAGTTGCACTTAGTTGATGGCACCTGTTAAGTCATTTCTCTTCCGCTGCACAGCATCCAATAATAGCAACATGACTTACATCTGCCTCCCTTTCCCTGATGTCAGTCATGGCTTTTCACTGTACACTGTACGGTTCTTCATACATTACTCCTTGCTCTGTTCATGACACTTTTGTGGAGGAAAATGTTCGGAAATTGTAGAATCTTAAAGTTGGAAGGGACCCAAGGAAACTCAGCTAAAGCAGCTAAAAACGTTTTCCAAATGAGTAGCTGGAATTTTCACATTACCTGTTGCACATATTGGGGGGGAAATCACTTGATGGTGACATGAACACAGTAGTGCAGATTCCACCTTATTCTACCGCCTGAGTTTTCCTCACCGTGAACAAGCTGTGCCATCTGATTGCAGGGTGAGTAGGTTCTTTGTGTACAGCTGAATGTATTCACTGGGATCCGAAAGGACTGGGAGACTTGAGAAACTTTTTACCTTGCCATCTCACTTTCTTTTTCAGTGTTAGCTCTGAACAAAGAAAGTTTGGCCAAGGCTAGGACTGATGCCGCCACATAGAGGATGTAGCACAACCTACTTAACCAAAGTGATGGGAGAGAAAGGGTGAGGAAGCCAGTCAATCCAGACCAGCAACATTGGAACAGGATTTCCAGGGTGCTTTAGGCCTCTACTCAGCAACAAGCATTAAAACAAGGGTGGCTCTCCAAATGTTACTGGTTACAACTCTTATTATCCCTGGCTATTGGGCATGCGGAGGAGAGTCTGTTCTTTTGCGGGGATATTCTGCCTTTCTGATTCCAAAAGATCAAGAAATAGGAAAATCAGATAATCCAGCAGCAATGTATCTTACTAGGCAGAGGGCCTTCTCGGTAGTAGTGCCCACCCTGTGGAACGCCCTCCCATCAGATGTCAAAGAAATAAACAACAATCTGACGTTTAGAAGACATCTGAAGGCAGCCCTGTTTAGGGAAGTTTTAATGACTGATGTTTTAATGTATTTTTAATCTTTTGTTGGAAGCTGCCCAGAGTGGCTGGGGAAACCCAACCAGATGGGCAGGGTATAAATAAATACTAATAATAATTACGGTATTATTATTATTCATAAGCCAGGGGAAATGAATAGGTCTAACATGATGCCTAAGAACAGACAGTGTGGGGATCAGCTGAATCTTTAAGGACAGGGACTTACAGATCCAATGTGCCACAAAAGAGAAGCCCTGTTGTGCCTTGTTGCACCATGAGTTGCAGATGTTGATACAGCTGTGACCAGAGCCTCTCCTGCAGATCTTAAGGTGTGCAGGGTGGCAGGTAATGGGAGAGGGGAACGTTCAGATACTTGAGACCTAGGCCAGGTAGAACTAGGAGAGCCAAAACTAGGAGACCCTGTATTAAGAGCAGGCCATTAAATTCCGCCGCTGCAGCCATTACGCCTCTTCTCGACCTTCACTTGGCCCTTGTGTGCCAGCTGGTGGCACTTGGGTCAGATGTGGCTTCTAGTTGTCGTTCCATTTTAGACAATGACCTGAAAAGCAGGAACAGAGCGGTTTCTGCATCCCACTTGCTGAATGCTTCCTGTCAGCCTTCACACTCTCCGTCTAGCTGTTTGAGAGCCTACAAATGGTTGCATGAACGCACAGAGTGGATTATTGTGAAGCACCTCATTTCCCAATGCTTGAAATTGTCAAAAGCCATCTGCAGCAGGGATGCCAGCAGAATGAGCTTTGCCTGGCAAGGACTGGATAGCTGCCACTGATGTATAACTCTTAGTTGTGTGGTTCTTGGATTCAAGGCTGCTGAGGTGCAAGTGGACCTTTTTCACTTTGAAGCCATTTACAAAGTGCCCCCCACCCCCCGTGAGTGGGCTGTGACTCGGCAGCATTGCCATAATTCAGCAGGCAGGCTCCCAATTCAGGATAGAGGGGCCTCTTCCCTATTATGCTGAATAACAATAGACCCCTGTGTGTGCACAGCTTGTATTTCTAAGTGGCCCAACCAGTGAAAGAACTGGAACTCTTTCCTGCTCCCAGCATGCAGTGTAGCCTAGCATTTGGTATTCACCTCATGCTTCCTTGCAGATGGACTCAGCTGTTTGACTCAGGAACCTGAACTCTAAATAAATAAAAGAAAATTAAAGCCAGAAAACCTTACCATGTAATGCAGAGAGTTTGTTTCCCACACACACACACACATCCCTTCAGGTTCATGAGTTTAAAAGTTGTGACGTGCAGAGACTGCAGCCATATAGTTATCAAAGTGGCTGCGATGTTTGACTCTGGGGTCCTCCCCAACTTACTTTGTAGTGCAAGGTCCCAAGTTTGATTCCCAGGTAGGGCTGGGAATATTCCATGACTGAAAGCCTGGTGAGAGGCTGCCAGTCAGGGTTGACAATTGTAGGAATGATCGCTGGGTGAAGAGCACACTCCCCCTCACAGATAAAGCCACAGCTGTCTGAACATCTTGCCCTCTGTCTGACCTTTTGCGGTCTCAGTAGTCTGCGGTGTCCTGTCTGTAACCTTTGTCTCTGAGACCTTTGTCTCCTTCGTCATAGAAGAGTTTGGATTTGATATCCTGTTTTATCACTACCCGAAGGAGCCTCAAAGCGGCTAACCATCTCCTTTCCCTTCCTCCCCCACAACAAACACTCTGTGAGGTGAGTGGGGCTGAGAGACGTCAGAGAAGTGTGACTACCCCAAGGTCACCCAGCAGCTGCATGTGGAGGAGCGGAGACGCGAACCCGGTTCATTAGATTACGAGTCTACCGCTCTTAACCACTACACCACACTGGCTCTCAATACACTGTGCAAGGGGGAAATGACGCGGTGGAAACAGGTGCCAAAATAGCTTTGTACCACCCCACGATCTCAGGAGTGGAAGATGTGTAAAGGTCACAGCCCAAAATGTATTTGCCTGGGTTTGCATATTGTGTCAATAAAAGGAGCCTCCACAGAGCTGGCCAGCAGCTTGCTTGCAGCTCACCTGTGCACAGTTCACCTGCATTATCAACTCCTGCCTCATGTCCTTCACTTCAGACAATACTGAGTTGGATTAGGCCTCTTCCTATGTTCATAAACAAAAGTCAATGAGAACCTGAGACCTCCACTCTAACCAAGGGGGCTGTCCTGCCCACCTGCCTGTGCCTCTGTTGGCTTGTAAAAGACCCTTATTGTCTCTTCTTCCTAATTGCCATCCTAGTCTTCCTTCTGTGTTGCCCCTTTGACCTGATGGTGGGCTTTAGGCAAATTCATGGGGAATAAGGCTCTCAATGGCTACATACTGATGGCTATGTACACACACACACACACACACACACACACACACACACACAGAGTGTTGGAGGCAGTAGGCCTCTAAATGCTAATTGCTGGGAATCAGAAGTGGGGAGTGCTGTCCCACTCCAGTCCTACTTGTGGGCTTTCCATAGGCATCTGGTTGACCTCTGTGAGATGCTGGACGAGATGGGCCTCTGGTCTGAACCATCAGCCAGTCTCTTCTTATGTCCTTATAAGGGTCACCTAGTCATGTTCAGTGACACTTCTGCTATCCATTAGAAACCTAACTGCTGTCTATTAGAAAGCTAACACCTAAGGGAGACAAGGCCTTGTCCCATCTGCTCACAAGTGATACAGATCCCAACAAAGTCACATCATGTGGGGTTGTTAACCCTGTGTGTTTTGCTTCACCCTTCAGAGCTGACCTGCAGTGGGCATAGGAAAAACACATTGGCTCTTAATACACAATAGGCTCTTGATACAAACAGCACCGGCCCTGCCATTACATGGAGTGAGGCATCTGCTTCAGGCAGGAGATGTTGAGGGGCAGGGAGCACGTGGCCTGCCCTGTGCCCAGGCTAGCCTTGTACTCTTACATGCAGTGGAGGAACTGTCCTGTTGAAGTGAGATTCAACTGCCAACCCGGGCATCTTCTGTATATGGAAGGAGTGGAGGAACCACCTTGCCCTTGACACAGCAAAATGTCCTGGGCTTGCCTGGGATACAAACTCTCCTGTTCTTCTTGCATTTGTATTGAATCCACAGATTGCTTGAGCAACGGGGAAAATTTCCAGTGTGCCAAGTTAAGCCCTGGGATAACATGGTGTGAAATTGTGTGTGCACCTATTCAGCCTAAGTTTTACTCAAGATTAGACCCAGTGAAATTAAAGAACGTGGCTAAGTTACATCGACTCTGCGTGAAACTGTGTTGAATACCAGCCATACACACAGAGAGATTATACACACACACACACACACACACACACACACACACACAATATTGCACGCTCTCCAACACTCCTGCATACCACTTCTTGCTTAAAGAGGTGCTAGATAGATTCTCTCAGCCTGGTGAAGCAGTTGTCATAGCAACAGCAAGAGCGCTGCAAACACTTTTGCTGGCTGACGGAGGAGATGCAGACACATCTTTGCTTTTGCTTCTCGTTTATCACTTGCTGATAAAAATGAAAGAATCTAATCTAAATGTTTACTTTGAAACATTCCCTGCCTCCCTCCCTCCCTCTCCCTGTCCTTCTCCCCCCCACCTCCCTTAGTGTCGTTCCCATTTTTTACATATAGCTGCTGTTTTATTTTTAAGTGCCAAAAAGGAATATATAATGTTTATATTTTGAGTGGCTGTTTTCCACAAACCAGAACGGATGTTTCCCGAGCATTGAAACAGCAGTATTTAAGCAACCAGCAGGTGGCAGCAACTTGGTTTACTCTCAATGCACCATTTTCAGATGTAAATGTTTTTTTGGTGGGGAGGGATTGTTTTCACCCAGGAATCAACAGCACTCGCCTTCCCGTGTTCACACACCACTGGATTCCATATTTTCCTTTTGAGCGATTCATTTTTCTTTTAACGTCTACTATGATTACACAATCTGAATGTAGAAAACACTATTACTCAGCCCTTGGTTTTGTCTTGGTCTAATGTGCTAAGATGCACATTATTACAGCAGTGGCTTTTCAACCGTGTTCCAGCAAATGCTCCACTTATTTGGATGATTCACAGCAGTCCTAAGAACATCAGAAAGGGTCCTGCTGGATGAGACCCAAGGCCCATCGAGTCTAGCATCCTGTTCTCACAGTGGCCGGCCAGTTAGCTGTAGGGAGTCCCTAAGCAGGGCCTGAGCGCAACAGCACTCTCCCGATTTGTAATTCCCTGAAGCTGCAGAAAAGGCCAATAAAAATGGCCGAATAGCTACCCCGAAAGAGAGCTTGCCTACCACCACGAATCTTAAGGTCCTATGGCACCGCCTCTCCTGGTATGTCCCACAGAGGACCTTAAGGTCCACAAATGACAACACTTTGGAGGTCCCAAGTCGCAAGGTGGTTAGATTGGTCTCAGCTAGGGCCAGGGCCTTTTCAGTACTGGCCCCGACTCGGTGGAACGCTCTGTCACAAGAGACTAGGGTCCTGCAGGATTTGACATCTTTCCGCAGGGCCTGCAAGACAGAGCTGTTCCGCCTGGCCTTTGGTTTGGACTCAGTCTGACCCTTATGTTTCCCTCCCCTTACGGTTTTGATCTATGGGCTACTATTAAAATGAGGCTGCGTTTTAAATTGTATTTTTAACTTGTATTTTAAATTGGGTCCCCCCCCATTATGTTTTTATTGTAATTTTACTGGTGTTAGCCGCCCTGACCCCGGCTCTGGCCGGGGAGGGCAGGGTATAAATAAAAAATTATTATTATTTTTACTTATTATTATTATCATCATTATCATCATCATCATACACTGCAATGTGTGGAGAGCTTGCCAGAGAGTGCTGGGTGCGCTCAAAGTCATGTTCTCTCAGTTCAGCCAGCCTGTGTCTTGCATGTCATGAAGATCAGAACAATATCTTCCAGAATCATTTGCATGTGCTGGGACCATGGTGCAAGAAGTTAGCACAACAGCTGAAATTTATTTAGCATGGTTGCAAGTTCTTTTTTTTCTGGTATAACAACTTCATGGTGAGTACCAGCACTTTCTCTTATTTATTTTTTTAAAAAGCAGTGCTTGCAAGATTATGCTTTTTTAAATTTTAAATTGCATTTGTTTGGAAGAACTACATCCTGGCTTCCTGTTTCTAAAGGAACACTTGCAGATACTTTTCAAACTTTGTGTACATGGAGGGACAATTTCCACACCAGCTCCTCTTCTCCTTGGTTGAAAAGGCCCAAGTGTCTCTAGAGACTGCCAGGAAAGCATGCATTCCTCTCAACTGCTTTATTATGCAGCAAAGGAGCTCAAGTTATTTATAGCTGGATCCTTAAAAAGGTGACATTATTGGGGGGGTGTCAATGCTTTAGCCTTGGAATTCGAGTGCAGCTATATAGAACAAAGTTCATGACTTGGTGGGAGGTGGGAGAGAGGAGAATCTGCTTGTCTTAAAATACATTTAACTCTCAAAGCCCTAAAAGAAAAATGCTAAGTTTGGACCAAATAGTCTACCTGGGTCGATTTTCAGGCCCAATTTAAAGTGCTGGTTAAAACTTTTAAAGCTCTCTATATATGACTTAACAACGGTTACCTGAAAGACTCTTCTGATCATATTTGCGTATTTGGATACAACAAACCAAAGAGTTGCATCAGGAAGGACAAGGAAATACTTCAGTAGAAGATTTTTTTTAATTGCACTAGCAGAGTTCTTGATTCTTTCTCTGATAAATCAACGAGAACTTGCAGTGGAAAGGACGAGAGGCATAACAAGAAGAAAGGGATCTAACAAAACCCACAATTAATGAATATGAGAAACGGGCAGTGTGTCTCAGTGGGGCTAGCTGTCCTCCCATCTCCAGCGACAAGGGGAAGATTCACCCCTGGCTGCTTTCCTGGAGCTCAGTTTCCTTCTCAAGGAGGAGAATTTGTCTCCAAGGACCTTCCGCAGCCCCGCAGTGTCACTGGCAAAAGGCAGGTCCCTCCGGACGCTGGGCAGCTCCCCCGTGAACATTTCCCAGCGGGCCAGGGCATCCACCGCCTTGTCTACTTGCAAGAGATCCTCCTCAGAGACGTCCTTCTCGAGAGCAGCAATGCACATCTCCAGCCACAGCGTGTACTCCTTAATTATGTCCGAGGGCTTGGGAGCACCGCCCAGTCGCTCCTGGCTGGGAGCATCGGCCAGAGAACAGGACGGCTCGTCGAGGTCAAGATCCTGCAACGTGGAAACCGCCTGGCTGCAAGTATCTGGGGTCAGGGGCTCCGAGAGGGACGTCACCGCTTCGGAATCGTTCTCGCCACCCATCCCAGAGTCAGCGCTGTATGGCAAAACGTCTTCCGATACGGACAAGTCTGCCGGGTCTTGGCTGGGCCAGGTAGACAAAAGAGTTTGCATCCAGGCATAGAGTTTCTGCACCAGAGAACATAAAACAGGGTGACTGCTTCTGTTGCCATTTCAGATCAGGGCACTGATAATCAGGGAGCACAGAAACAGAGGGCGCTGCCTTGTTCAAAGTGAGACCCATTGGTCTACCCAGCTCGGGGTTGTCTACATGGACTGCCAGCAGCTCCCCAGGCAGAAGTCCCTACCTGGACTTTCTCTGAACCTTCTCTGACACTCCTGATTTGGGCAGGTTGGAGGATGGATGGCGGCTGACAGATTGAGGTTGAATCCTGACAAGACAGAAGTACTGTCTTTGGAGGACAGGGGGCGGGCAGATGTGGGGGACTCCCTGGTCCTGAATGGGGTAACTGTGCCCCTGAAGGACCAGGTCCGCAGCCTGGGAGCCATTTTGGACTCACAGCTGTCCATGGAGGTGCAGGTCAGTTCTGTGTCTGTCTACCAGCTCCATCTGGTACACTGGCTGAGACCCTACCTGCCCACAGACTGTCTCGCCAGAATGGTGCATGCTCTGGTTATCTCCCGCTTGGACTACTGCAATGCGCTCTGCTTGGGGCTACCTTTGAAGGTGACTCAGAAACTGCAAATAATCCACAATGCAGCAGCTAGACTGATGACTGAGAGCGGCCGCCGGGACCATATAACACCAGTCCTGAGAGACCTGCATTGGCTCCCAGTACATTTCCGAGCACAATTCAAGGTGTTGGTGCTGGCCTTTAAAGTTCTAAATGGCCTTGGTCCTGTATACCTGAAGGAGCATCTCCACCCCCATAGTTCAGCCTGGACATTGAGGTCCAGCACCGAGGGCCTTCTGGCAGTTCCCTCCCTGCGAGAAGTGAGGTTACAGGGAACCAGGCAGAGGGCCTTCTCGGTGGTGGCGTCTGCCCTGTGGAACGCCCTCCCATCAGATGTCAAGGCAATAAGCAACTATCCTATTTTCAAAAGACATCTGAAGGCAGCCCTGTTTAGGGAAGTTTTTAATGTTTAATGCTGTATTGTGCTTTTAATATTCTGTTGGGAGCTGCCCAGAGTGGCTGGGGAAACCCAGCCAGATGGGCAGGGTATAAATAATAAATTAATATTATAGGTCTTATTTGCTATTGAAGCATTTGCTTCAGCTCAGATTAAAGCAGCCTTTGTCAACTAGATCTTTTGGATTACAACCCAATTATTGGCCCCAACAAGCACAAGCTGAGAATGATGAGAACAACAGTCCAAAGTATATGGAGAGCTGAACTAAAGCATCAAGCATTTCCCTTGAGTGTGGTCACAGATCCTGCAGAGCCCCTGCACAGCATCTGGAACCAGCACCTGCTCCATGGCCAGTCCTCTCTCAGCCTTATCCTGTGCCTTAGGGGTGCATAACCTGGCCAGAATGAGGACCTTTATGAGGAGAGCCACACAGGGACACAGACAGGCTAATCCCTTGCTTTTCCTACACGGCAAATGGCTTGAGACTCTCTTGAGCCGCCTGTAGGTTTCTGCTCTCCAGACAACTTCTCTGCTTCCTTCTCCCTCTGATGGGGATTGTAAGATGAGCAGCCTGGAGCTGGTGACCAGATGAACCCCCGCCTTGCAGAAAGGAGGGGAAAGAGCCACCTTGCTCTCTGAGTCTCTTACCTTGTAGCGCTCGATGAGTTTGAAACCCACCACGTACTGCAGCTTCCGGAGGCATATTGGGCAGGGCTCCAGCGGCCGCAGCAGAACTTCATCCAAACTTAGAGCTCCCTGCATGATGCACTGGAGCCAACGGCAATTCCCCAAGCCAATCAGGTGGCAGATCTCATGGCATGTGACCTTTCATGGGGGGGGGGGACCAAGAGCAGATTAAGCTGAACTTTCACTGTTGAGTTTCCTTTCCTGCCTTGAACTGGTTCTCCTTTCCTCCACCATCACCAGGGCCAGATTTAGGTTTGATGAGGCCCTAAGCTATTGAAGGTAATGGGGCCCTTTATATGTCCAGCTGTCCTTTGTCCACAACAAATTGTCACTGTTTTTTGCATTGAATATATGCTATATGGTAATTTATGGACCTAATAGGTATCTAAAGCCATTTGCACATAACAGATAGGAGCCTACACAACACAAAACACGGTTGCTGTATGTAGATTTTATTTTATTTGTTTTTTATCTTATATTTTGGGAATGTACACCCAGTTTTTCTTTTCCTTTACATTTTTTTGGGGTTCCCAAGAGAGTGGGCCATAAGCTATAGCTTGTTTAGCTTGTTTAGTCAACAACAAATTGTCACTGTTTTTTGTGTTGAATATATGCTCATACCCTTAGTCTACACTGCCTGATCATCATTCTACAAGCACTCTTTAATATTAGATAACAGGTACAACAGCTTGACCTACATTCAACTGTGCTGCACTGCAGTCTGCAGCTGCCTGCTACATGTTGCCCTGCAACCAGTCCATGCAGAATGTAGGCACCCTATATATAAAGGTAAAGGTAAAGGTACCCCTGCCCGTGCGGGCCAGTCGTGTCCGACTCTAGGGTTGTGTGCTCATCTCACTTAAGAGGCCGGGAGCCAGTGCTGTCCGGAGACACTTCCAGGTCACGTGGCCAGCGTGACAAGCTGCATCTGGCGAGCCGGCGCAGCACACGGAAAGCCGTTTACCTTCCCGCTATAAAGCAGTACCTATTTATCTACTTGCACTTAGGGGTGCTTTCGAACTGCTAGGTGGGCAGGAGCTGGGACCGAAAGACGGGAGCTCACCCCGCCGCAGGGATTCGAACCGCCGACCATACGATCGGCAAGTCCTAGGCACTGAGGTTTTTACCCACAGTGCCACCTGCGTCCCGGCACCCTATATATAGAGATGAGCAAACCAGTGATATTTGAGGGAGCAGGCTAGCAGGTGGGACCCATTACTAGGAACCTACACAACACAAAACACTGTTGCTGTATGTAGGTTTTATTTTATCTGTTTTTTATCTTATATTTTGGAAATGTGCAACCAGTTTTTTTCCTTTAATTTTTTGGGGGAGGCCCCAAGAGAGTGGGGCCCTAAGCTATAGCTTCTTTAGCTTATATGTAAATCCAGAACCATACCAGATCCTTTTGTGTGTTTTTTTAATTGCTGGGCACTTAACCTGGGGCCTTCTGCATGCAACGCAGGTGCTCCACTGTTGGGGAAATATTGCACGCCTCACCTTGCAACATTGGAGCATCTCCAGCATGTTGAACAGCAACGCCTGATGTCTGGCGTGCTCCATAACTTCGTCATGAACCTCTTGTCTCCATGGCGCTGGGTTTAATGTGGTGCAACCCATCTGGGGGAAGTCGCCCGTGAACCTGGCAAAGCTGCAGACCCCCACCTCTGCGGAGGCAGGAAACAAGAGGGGAGAGAGAGGTCAGCCTCGTTTCCTCAAACGCCCAGGCATCCCACTCAGATAGGAAAACCACCCTTACACATCTGGGTACAGAGATATCTGTTATATAATGAAGTCTGTTGAAATATATAGAGAAGATGGACAGATGTCAGTCTGATCCCAGCATTGTTTTATCTTCTAAAAATTAAGCATTAAGCAAGAGAGAGATGGAGCTGAGGATGACTGTGGCTTGGTTTCATTATGCACACAGCAAACCAGTGTTATGCCTCTATAGAATAGTGAGGGGTTAAGTACCAATTTATAGGAGGTTTTGTTGCTGGAGAGTGTGTGGTAAACGTGTACTTGAGGAGCCTTGCTGCCTCAGAATGCATTAAGCAAATTGTGCAGAACTTTGCATGCAGAATAATGCTCAGTAGTATATCTTATTGACTTCTTTTTTTAAAAAAAAATAGTTCATTAAATTTATAAAAGACTGACAAGCAGAAAAATAAAACTTCATAATTACTCAATTTTTAATACGCTACTGTACGCAACTTTAATATTCAGATAAATCCATTATAGCAGGAGTTGGGCGTCTCTGGCCTCTGGGCCAATCTTGGCCTGCCAGGGGGGTCCAGTTTTGCCCGCAAGGCCATTTCTCCAAAACCAGGCCCAGCTATCAATCAGCTGACATAAGCTGATGGGTGCGGGAATAGGGATCAATTCTGCACTGGCTGTGCCCATTCAGCCAAAGTAGTAGCATTTAACTGATGAAAAGAGAATTCAGCCCTGCTAGTGATGTATGGAAGTGAGAGCTGGACCATAAAGAAGGCTGATCGCCAAAGAATGGATGCTTTTGAATTATGGTGCTGGAGGAGACTCTTGAAAATCCCATGGACTGCAAGAAGATCAAATCTTTCCATTCTGAAGGAAATCAGCCCTGAGTGCTCACTGGAAGGACAGATCCTGAAGCTGAGGCTCCAATACTTTGGCCACCTCATGAGAAGAGAAGACTCCCTGGAAAAGACCCTGATGTTGGGAAAGATGGAGGGCACAAGGAGAAGAGGACGGCAGAGGACAAGATGGTTGGACAGTGTTCTTGAGGCTACCAGCATGAGTTTGACCAAACTGCGGGAGGCAGTGGAAGACAGGAGTGCCTGGCGTTCTCTGGTCCAGGGGGTGACAAAGAGTCAGACACGACTAAATGACTAAACAACAACAAGATGCTGCTTTGCCACTGTGTTCCCTATGGGGCATAAGAGCCAACTCCAGGGGGCTGTGGGTGCTTGGGCACCCACAAAGTCAATGAGAAAAGCTGCCGGTAGGCTGTGGTGCTGCCTCTAGAGAGAAACAGTTCAGTTCCACCCTCCACAGCCAACCAGCAACACACCCTTTTCGGGGGGAGAGCTTGGACACAGAGTCCCTCCATCGTGGAAAAGGGTGCGTCGCTGGCTGAGGAGGAAGAGGAGCTGCCAGCCACCGCAACTTCCATGTTGCTGCGGCGGGCATCCACAATCCAGAGGGCGAGATGGAACCCCTGCTATGGGGAACGTGCTGGTGGAACAACCCCTCCCTGACCCCGTGGGTCAACTTTGATGTCATTATAACACCAGATGATTGACAAGTGGGTGGACTCACCTACCTGCCCACGGAGGGACCGAAAGATCTGGCCTACTGAGCCGCAGAATTTGTACAGCCCCACCCAGGCACCTGGGACTTGACTGCACAAGCCAAAAAGATGCTCTGCTATAGGAAGCTTTACCTAGTGTACCCTCACAGGCGTTTCGTTAGTAATTATTTTATTATTTCAGATCAATTCCCAGGCAGCTTAAAATATAGAATTCCAGATTACTAAACTGCAAGAAAACCCAATTTTTAAAAGCAAAAAACAAGCAGTTGGAAAAGCAGCAGGACTGATAACTGTGCTGCAAAAAAAAAGCGCTGGTAGAGCTAAATGAATTAAATTACAATTAATCTGGTAGGATCCTTTGTTTGTTTTATTTTTGAAGAAAACTGCCTAATGTCCATCTGGTTGGTTTACCAGGGTTCCTCTATATCAGAAAGTGGGGTGGAGGCTGTCCAACTAATTAACCACCCAATGAACCTCATTGATATCCCTGCCACATTAAACGCTTGGCAACTATTAATGAAACGGGAACAACAAGTTATAGAAAACTGCAGAATAGAGGAAGAACTGGCAGGATTTCAGGAGGAGAAGACCACAATCGATCATTGTTCCACTCTTAAATTAATCCAGTCAAAAATATACAGGGAGGGGCAAACGCATTAAGAACTTGAGAAGAACCTGCTGCACCAGACCAGTGGCTCTGCTGGTCCAGCATCCTCCTCTCCCAGCTGCCTGTGAGGAACAACAAGCAGGATCCGAGCACAAGAGCGGTTTCTAGCAACCAGTATTCAGAAGCACAGAAGAGAGCCAGTGTGGTGTAGTGGTTAAGAGCGGTGGACTCATAATCTGGTGAACCAGGTTCGCTTCCCTGCTCCTCCACATGCAGCTGCTGGGTGAGCTTGGGCCAGTCACACTTCTTTGAAGTCTCTCAGCCCCACTCACCTCACAGAGTGTTTGTTGTGGAGGAGGAAGGGAAAAGGAGATTGTTAGCTGCTTTGAGACTCCTTAAGGGGAGTGAATTGGCCACCTCATGAGAAGAGAAGACTCCCTGGAAAAGACCCTGATGTTGGAAAAGATTGAGGGCACAAGGAAAAGGGGACGGCAGAGGACGAGATGGTTGGACAGTGTTCTCAAAGCTACCAGCATGTGTTTGACCAAACTGCGGGAGGCAGTGGAAGACAGGGGTGCCTGGCGTGCTCTGGTCCATGGGGTCACGAAGAGTCGGACACGACTAAATGACTAAACAACAACAAAAAGGGGAGTGGAAGGCAGGATATCAAGTCCAAACTCTTCTTCTTCTGCCTCCCAACTGTAGAGGCAGAGCAGAGCCATTGTGCCTAGTAGCCACTTATAGCCATGAATTCCCCCACCTGTGTGCATCTGGCTTCAGCATCACACCCCACACTCCAGGGAGCTCACAGTCCCAAATGGGAGTGGTCAACCTGTGACTGCAACTCCTGCCATCCCTGGGATAGCAAACGGAGGTGAGAGCCAAGGGCAACAGGTGATTGATGTGAGCAGATGCAGCCAGAGGTGCTTATTCTGGGAATGAAGACTGGAGTGTGGATGTTAAGGAAGTGCTTCATGGAAAAGGTGGGCTTGGGTGTGGTAAGTTGAAAGAAGAGCACAGGAACATAGGCAACAAAGTCAGACCAACAGTTGGTCCATCTAAATCAGTACTGTCAACATTGATTGGCAGCTCTGCAGGGTTTTAGAGAGGTGTCTCTCTCAGCCCTGTCAGGAGATGTTGGGGGTTGAACCTGGGACCTTTAGCTTGCAAGTCAGATGCTGTGCCCATTGAACTATGGTCCTTTCCTGTAGAGAGGGAGATGATACTACATTTATGCTGTTAGACTGGTGGGTTCCAGAGACAGAGCCTTTTTACTGGTGGCTCCACATCTTTGGAGCTCCCTCCCCAGAGGGCATACGGTAGGGTTACCAGATGTCCCTGGTTCCTGGGGACAGTCCCCGGATTTGCAAATCTGTCCCCGGACAAATTTTGTCCCCGGAATGTCCCCAGATTTGCAAATTTGTCCCCGGGAAACGTGGCAGTGGCAGCCTCAGCAGCCTGGAGCCAGCCTGGTAGCCCAGTTAGCTCTGGCTGGCTTCAGGAGCTGCTCACTGATGCCTCCACTGCTGAAGGGCAACCAGAAATGTCCGGCGGTACAGATCTCCTTCCCCCTTCCCCCTTTGTTTTGACAGATCTGGAGAGGCCCGGGAGTCACGGGCGGGCGGGCATTGCCCAGGAAGGGTGCAAGGCACATGGTTTCTCTGCCAGGCAAGGCGGAAAGCCCTTCTTTTGCACCCTGTGAAATATAAATGCGCAGAGTTTTTTAAAAAACTGGGCAACAGCCGCCCGCCTGTGACTCCCAATCCGTCAAACCAAAGGAGGAAGGGAGCAGGAGATTGAGGAAGGCTCAGGAGTCACGGGCGTGTGGCGTGTCGTTGCCCAGTTTTTAAAAAAACTGTGCATTTATGTTTCACAGGGTGCGAAAGAAGGGCTTTGCACCTTTATACAATATGCATGTGTTCTTTTGCCTCACCATCCCCACTACTGACTCCCTGTTGCTACTCAGCTTCAAAAAAAAAAAAAGTGTCACCGGATTCATTGAAAAAAATCTGGTAACCATAGCATACGGCCTCATCACTACTAGTTTTTAAGAGAACTATGAATGTGTTTTCCTCCCCATCCCTAGACAAACCTTGGCCAGGCAAGAACTTGCTGAAGGTGAAGCTCCATGTTTCACAGGGGTAGAGGTCAGCAAGGGTGAGACCCAAGACGCAGAGGGCATCCATGGGCTTGTTGTTCTTCAGAAAGGTCAGGATCCCATCTATGGGGGGAAGGAAGATGCCAAAACAAAAGACACAATCCAGTGAAACATGTCAATCTTGTCAATCTTTCAATTCCCTTGGTAGAAAATTTAGAAACCTATTCCCTGCCCTTCAGCAGCAAGTACAGCCTACCCTGTTTCAGGCTTTTGTTTGTCTGTTTATGTACTGTATTTATTTCCTGCCTTTCTCCCAAGATGGGATTCAAGGCAGCTTACAGCATTTAAAAACACTATTGGAAAATACAAAGCAATAAAACTAGCCAATGGAAAAACACAGTTAAAATACATGAGAAACACAGTTGGAACTAGCATTAAAGTATTTTTTAAAATAATAATAATAATAATAAATTTATATACTGCCCTTCATCTGAAGATCTCAGGGAGGTTCACAAGATAAAGTAAAGGGAGCCAGTCTGATCTCTCTTGGGAAGGTATCCCACAGTATGGGAGCAGCCACAGAAAAGGCCCTGTCTCTCCCATGTCACCACCAACTGTGCCTCTTATATTGATGAGGCCAGGAGAAGATGCTCATTCGAGGATCTTAATACCTGGATGGGTTTGTATAGGGAAATAGGAGCTTTCAGGTAGCTTGGACCAAAACTATTATATTCTGTAATGACTTGTTATTCCAATGAGATTTTTTAGCGTTTATTTTCAAGCCTTAGTTTAAATATATTGCAACCTTTCCTGAGTAGCTGGGGTGGAACAGAATGAACAGAACACATCCACAGGGTATCAGTCTAATCAGGAATCCATTATGAACACACCCAATTTGGGTTAGCACCTTTTTCCATGAAAACAAAGGGATGGAAATATCTTTGTGTGGTGGGGGGAGGGGTCCCAAAAGGAAAATGTGGTTCCAGTCCTCCATTTGGTTGGTTACTGTTGCAGCTGCTAATCATGGAATGATTTTCCATGGAAATATTATTCTCCCACCCCCTGCCTCACACCTTTCCTCCTCTACTGTGCAGGCAAAAGGCAAACATCGCCTAAATCAGGGTGGGAAAGCTGTGCGACCTTCCAGAGACTGCTGGGCTCCCAGCAGCTCCACCAGCACAGCCAGTGGCAAGGATGATGGGAACTGGAGTCCAACAACCTCTGGAGGGCCATACTGCTTCTCTATCCCTGGCCTAAGAGGGTTGAGGGGGCCAAGGACATACTCAAGGGAGAAGAGGGCAAGGATGACCTCAAGTTCCCGGTAACTGTCAAAGGCACTTCCCAGCCAAAGGAATGCACATGGGAGGTAGCTAGCTCTTAATTGTCAAAGATAACACTTAAAGTCACCTCTACAGCTCTGAATACCCACACACAGCAGTCTAGCATCTACTATGCTCTTCCCAGGTCTGCCCTCTATGGAGCAATTGCAGAAACAGGGGACCACTTCCCCTCCACCAGTTTATGTACTTTCTCCCGTCGGGATTTGGGCACGCAGCCGGAGACTGCGCCTGCGTGGAAACTTCCTCTGCTCCTCCCTTTTCACTCCCCTTCTGGTTCTGAGAGACAGTGGTGCAGGGGAGGGTGAGGAAGCACCTGGCCCTTCATTTGCCTACCCTGCCTCCTCCTCTTCCAACCCATCCTGTGCTCCACCCTCCAGCCGTGAAGGATCCCCTGCCTCTGACTCTTGCCTCTGGGCTGGCAAAATTCTCCACTTACCCCCTTCTCCCGAGTCAGACTTGAGCCCCATTTCCTAGTAACACGCCTCGCCGTCCCCCAACTTGCTCTCCTGTCGGCTTACCTGTATGAAGCTGCACTCTGTCCGAATCCTGGCTGTGACGGTAACAGCAGTGGATGGAAGAGACTGGGACGGAAGGAAGGCACTTGACTCGGAGACCCCAAAAGAAAGACTCGACGCAGCCACAGAGGGAGTCCAGCAGTGAGATCCCAGCAGGGCCGTCACTTAGATCTAAGAGCAGAAGCATCAAGTCAGTTCCTCTGGGGCTCTTTCTGAGGGGGGGGGGACTATGCCCTACAGCAATGCAAGAAAGGAGGAAAATCCCAAGGAAGGAGAAAAATCCCAAGAGCACAAAGCTCCAGTGTTATTATTTGTATATTATTTATGTTTTGTAAGAGCCTGGCACTTGCACTTTTTGAGCAGTCATTGCCTTCCTCAGAGAAGAACATCACTAATAAGGGAGAGGGCGCTTTGTATGTGAAGATTTACTGCAAGCGAAAACAATTTGCTTGTCTACCAAGGAGGATCCAGCATCTTCAGAATGTGGGAAGAAATGAAGCAAAACACACCCAGGGTCTTCAACTACATCCAAAGCCACATGCGAGACTGGCCCTAGGGGATTTTGGACAAGGTCCATTGTAAAACTAGAGATGGGTACTGGCTCTGGTGAAGTCCCTATGGGAAGGACTCCAAAGACAAGAGTGGCCTCTCAATCTGTTTCCTAAGGGATTTCAGGTGAAGATTCGGTCACCACCAAGCCCTGGTCGAAGAAAGGAACTACAGGGAAATCAGTCAGACTATCATGTACTGTTGTGGTCAGAGCCACTACTGTTGCTGCTGTAATAATAATAATAATAATAATAATAATAATAATAATAATAATATATTATTATTTGTACCCCACCCATCTGGCTGGGTTTCTCCAGCCACTCTGGGCAGCTTCCAAAGATTAAAAATACATTAAAATGTCACACATTAAAAACTTCCCTGAACAGGGCTGCCTTCAGATGTCTTCTAAATGTCAGGTAGTTGTTTATCTCTTTGACATCTGATGGGAGGGCTGGCACCCTTCTAAAGAAGATAGGAAGCTGCCTTATACAGAGTTCAGACCATTGGTCCATCTAACTCAGCATTGGTTACACTGACTGGCAGCAGCTGACCAGGGTTTCAGGCAGGGGTCTCCCCCAGCCCTACCTTGAGATCTTCTGCATGCAAAGCAGGTGCCCTGACCAAAAGGCATGAAAGCCACGAACTATGGCACAGATCCCTCTTTCCCTGTCTCCTTTGCAAAGCTCTGCCATCACAACCTCAATTCCACACATGGCATCCTTGTCTCCTTTGTTAGTTGGTGCCAAAGACCCAGCAGGCGCATTACCTATAGGCTGCAGGTATATGTGCTTGCGGTAGACTCTCTGCTTCCTCCTCAGCAGGGAGTAGTAGAAGGTTTCAAAGTCCTCGGGGGCATCAGGGTGGCTGAGGAGCCAGTCGAAAGCCGTCCGGATGAACAGGCTGCAGAAAAGTGTCCTGTGCGGGTTGTACGCTTCGGAGAGGAAGAGCTTTTCGGCGCTGGAGAAGGCCTTGGCGTAGAGCTCCTGCAGCGCAGGGTTCGTGGAGATCAGAGCGTCCTTCAGCGCTCGGGGCCCAAAGCTGAACTCTTGGGCATGTCTGCACTGCAACATCGCTGACGGCAGACCCCGCTTCAGTGGTGCCGCCCTCTGCCAGGAGAAGAGACCATGGTCAGCATCTAACTAGACTCTGCTCACAGCGGAGCTTGCCAGGGGAGCCAGCAAGCCCTGAGGATCGCCTGAAACATCTCAAGGTGTTGTAGGATGGCGGTTCAGAAGAGATCAAAGCTGGGAGCCCAGAACCCAGGGGGCACCATTTCACATTTGTTTTGTTGTCTATTAAATAATCAGATCCCAGAAAGATGTGAGTATTTAATCATCGCTCCCGCAATCCTTGGCACAATGGGTCAGTGCATCTGGCTGTTAACCAGAAGGTTGGTGGTTCGAGCCCAACCAGGGACGACTGTCAGCAGGATTCCTGCATTGCAAAGGGTTGGACTTGCCAGCCATTTCCCCCTGCTCTCCCGCCTACTTTTTCTCTGTATTATTTATTTATTTATTTGGCAGTGATCCACGCAAGTCTGCAATCATGTAAGTGAAATTGGTGTAAGACGCTATCTACCTGCCTGTTTTAAAAAATAGTGATTATTTCTCCATCCCCTGGGAAAACTCAACCCCAATCTGCCGTTGCAGAATGGTTTGGTTTAGCGTTTCCATCCAAAATGATGCTCCGTGGAACTTCCTTCCTGTAATACAATGCATTGCTTACGGCTGCCATCATGCCAGGAACCCCTAAATTACACCACGTGCAATTTTCAATGATCTCTTCATAAATGATTCCCTTTGTAAGTCAGCTACTAGCAAGTGACTCCCCGACAAGCAACCATGAATTATTCTCTTTGAAAGTTCAGCTCCATCCTTCTCATTCTGAGCTTTGCTCTGCCACCCCCCTCCTCGGATAAGACGTATTCTGGAGCAACGGCAGCAAACACGAGCAGCATAATAAAATAGGGCACAACTGTGTGGCAGAACGAGAGTTTAACCGTGGGACGTCAAAAGGTTTTGCACCCTACTGCTTTAAACCAGAAGTGCCTACAAGGAAGACTGGGGTCTACTGGTGAATCTCCAGGTGATTTCCAAAGCTGTCTGGCGTCCAATGATTTAACAGTGGTACAAGTCCCTGTACAACTCTGGATCAGGTTTCCTGCGAGATCCCCTTTATCTCTTATATACTCAGTAGCCCCGTGTGGTCTGTGGGAAAGTTTCTCCTGCAAGTTCCAAAGATCTCAGAAGCCTCCTCCGGAGTAACTCGGAACAGGGCTTTTAGTGTGGCTATCCCTGTTCTGTGGAATAGCATCCCTGCAGGATCCCACATTCTGGAAGCAACTGAAGGCATTTTTGTTCTGACTGCTTCCCAACGGGATAAATGGCTCTTCACCACAAATGTCTGCTTTGTATGGCTTAAGGTTCATTTTAAAAGTTTTTGCTTTTTTTGTCTTTTTAATTATCGCTAGCATACATCAGCTTGAGATGGTTGCTTAGAAAGCAATTAAGAAATACAGTGGTACCTCGGGTTAAGTACTTAATTCGTTCCGGAGGTCTGTACTTAACCTGGAACTGTTCTTAACCGGAAGCACCACTTTAGCTAATGGGGCCTCCCGCTGCGCCGCCAGAGCACGATTTCTGTTCTCATCCTGAAGCAAAGTTCTTAACCCAAGGTAATATTTCTGGGTTAGTGGAGTCTGTAACCTGAAGTGTATCTAACCTGAAGCATATGTACCCTGAGGTACCACTGTAAATGATAATAAAATATCCCGTTTCTTTTATTGTTGTAGTATTGCATTTATATCCTACCTTTCACCCAAAGAGCTCAAGGGCATTCTCCCCCTCCCCTTTTGTCCTCACAGCTAACCTGTGAGGTAGGCTATGCTGAGAGACTCTCACCCAGTGAGCTTCATGGCTGAGGGGGGTGGTTTAAACCCGGGTCTCCTAAGCCCCAGTCCAACACTCTGGGCTGCTACACTAGGAGCAGGGGGAGTTGGCAACCTATTCCATATGAAAAGGCAGCAGCAAGTGAATGGCTCAAGGGAGTGAGAAAGAGGCTGTGGATTCTGGGACTCTGGCTTAGCAGCATCTTGCCAGTGGCCCATCTAGTCCAGCATCCTGTTCTCACAGTGGTTTAATGAATAAGAATAAGAATATGTATACCCCAACCATCTGGCTGGGTTTCCCCAGCCACTCTGGGCATCTCCCAACAGAATATTTTAAAAAATCTAACATTAAAAACTTCCCTAAAGAGGGTTGCCTTCAGTTGTCTTCTAAAAGTCAGACAGGGCGGGTGCCACTACCAAGAAGGCCCTCTGCCTGGTTCCCTGTAACACCACTTCTTGCAGGGAGGCAACCACCAGAAGGCCCTCAGAGCTGGACCTCAGTGTCCGGGCAGAACGATGGAGGTGGAGACGCTCCTTCAGGTCTACTGGGCCAAGGCCGTTGCCCAGATAGGAAACCCGCAAGCAGGATTTGGGCATATGAGCAGCACTCTCCCCTCCCACGGTTTGCATCAGGTGGGATTCAGAATCATGGCTGCCTCCAACTGTGGAAGGCAGAGTATAGCCCTTGTGGCTAGCAGACACTGAGAGCCCTCTCCTCTGTCAATAAATGCATCTCATCCTCTTTTCAAGCCATCCAGGTTAGTAGCCATCACTGCCTCCTGGTGGAGCGAGTTCCATCATTTGACCACGTGCTGCGTGAAGAAGGACTTTCTCTTATCTGTCCCAAGTCTTCCAACTTGGTGATTCTATCTGGATCTAAGCTGTGTTATATAATAATAATAATAATAATAATAATAATAATAATAATAATTTATTATTTATACCCTGCCCATTTGGCTGAGTTTCCCAAGCCACTCTGGGCAGCTCCCAATCGAGTGTTAAAAACAATACAGCATTAAATATTAAAAACTTCCCTAAACAGGGCTGCCTTCAGATGTCTTTTAAAGATAAGATAGCTGCTTATTTCCTTCACATCTGAAGAGCGGGCATTCCACATGGCGGGCACCACCACCAAGAAGGCCCTCTGCCTGGTTCCCTGTAACCTCACTTCTCGCAGTGAGGGAACTGCCAGAAGGCCCTCGGTTCAGGATCTCAGTGTCCTGGCAGAACGATGGGGTGGAGACGCTCCTTCAGGTATCCTGGACCGAGGCCGTTTAGGGCTTTCAAGGTCAGCACCAACACTTTGAATTGTGCTCAGAAGCGTACTGGGAGCCAACGCAGATCTCTTATGTGGTCCCGGCAGCCGCTCCCAGTCACCAGTCTAGCTGCCGCATTCAGCCGTGTTCTGGCTGAACCCTTTGAAAACGAGGAGCACTAAATGCAGTTTAGCATCACTTGTTGCTAAAGGTGTTGGGCAAAGCCACCTGTTCGGTCCTCATTTTCCATTTGTAAATCAGAGAGTGCAATGAGTGGGACATTATGAACTGAAGTTCATAATGATGCTCTGCTAAAGCAAGCCGTAATTGGCTCACAGGTTCACGTGGCTTTTGCAACTCTGCCAAGGGCTCCCCTCCCCCCCCCCTCTGTCGCTCTGTTTCAAAGCTGCATATTCCACTTGGCCGTTCATTTTAGTGATCTCTCCGTTCTGTTTGTCCCCCCCAGCCCTGGCAGACATTCAGGAGTCTCCTTCTCCTGCCATTTCCCATGTGCCCAGAACAGAGGACAAGGAAATGCACACAGACCGTGACCATGCAGAGCTTCTCAGAATAAAAACCATGTCATGAAGGCGCCCACGGGCGAACGGCAGCTTTTCCACACTGCTCAGGGGCACCTTGTTCACACTTCTTCGGAGAGACCGGATACTTTGCATAAATGGGCCTTGTTTTTAAGGCAAGACCAGTTTTAAAAAAGCAAAACAGGAGCCACCAGAGGCCCGTGTTCACATGACAGGCAACTAAAAAGAGGCGTAGGAAGATGGGAGCACTGTGACATAGCTGAGCATGGATCTACCCTAAGGTTTTACCAGATTTTTTCAATTAATCCGGCAGACACTTTTCAACTTCAATGGATTTTATATGGGTAAGGTAAAGGTAAAGGGACCCCTGACCATTAGGTCCAGTCGTGGCCGACTCTGGGGTTGCGGCGCTCATCTCGCTTTATTGGCCGAGGGAGCCGGCGTACAGCTTCTGGGTCATGTGGCCAGCATGATTAAGCCACTTCTGGTGAACCAGAGCAGCACACGGAAATGCCGTTTACCTTCCCGCTGGAGCAGTACCTATTTATCTACTTGCACTTTGACGTGCTTTTGAACTGCTAGGTTGGCAGGAGCAGGGACAGAGCAACGGGAGCTCACCCTGTCGTGGGGACTCAAACCGCCGACCTTCTGATCGGCAAGCCCTAGGCTCTGTGGTTTAACCCACAGCGCCACCTGCATTTATATGGGTACTGATTTGTAAATCCGGGGACTGTCCCTGGGAAACGGAGATGACTGGTAACGTTAATCTACCTCACCGTTGGATGTGTGTGGCTCCTAGGAATTGTGCTGTGATGAGGAGCAGTAAGAGTCTACCTACACACAGTTTGCACAGGCTCCTTCCTGTTTCCTGGAGAAGCAACCCAAACTGTCTCTCCTCCCAGCGCCAGCATCACAGGAGAAGAGCTGGAGAAGAGTGCCAGCAAGGCAGCTACGGCCACAGCTTGCCTCTCCAAAAGGCTTTGGGGAAAGGTGATGCTAAAATCCAGTACCAAGACGAAGGTCTCCCAGGCTTGCCTGTTGAGCATGCTGCTTTACGGAAGTGGGTCGTGGGCAGTTAGAGCCACCAGGAGTGACACCTCAACACTTTCCATATGCGCTGCGTCAGGAAGATTTGGGGTTTCACATGGCAGGGCAGAGTCTCAAACCAAGATGTGTTCTCAAGCCCACATTCCCAGTGTGTTCACACTCCTATCCTGGCTCAGCCATGTCCACAGAATGAAAGATGGCAGGATCCCCAGGGGCATCCTCTACGGCAGGGGTCAGCAAACTTTTTCAGCAGGGGGCCGGTCCACTGTCCCTCAGACCTTGTGGGGGGCTGGACTATATTTTGAAGAAGAAAAAATATGAACAAATTCCTATGTCCCACAAATAACCCAGAGATGCATTTTAAATAAAAGCACACATTCTACTTATGTAAAAACACACTGATTCCCAGACCGTCCATGGGCCGGATTTAGAAGGCGATTGGGCCGGATCCAGCCCCCGGGCCTTAGTTTGCCAACCCATGCTCTATGGGGAGCTGGCTTCGGGCACCAAGCCCATCGGCAGACCAACTCTGTGTTACAAAAATGTCTGCAAATGTGACATGAAGTCTGGCAACGTTAACACTGCCGTATAGGAATGCTTTGCAGACAGTCACAGTGCAATGTGGCCGTCTGGCCGTCCATCCATAGCAGTGACCAGAGACGAATGATGGCTGCGAGTGTGCTGCAGCAACAAAAAGTACAAATGCTATTCTAGGCTGCATCAACAGAAGCATCATGCCCCGATCAAGGGAAGTCATAGTATTGCTCTATTCTGCCTTGGTCAGACCACAACTGAAGTACTGTGTCCAGTTCTTGGTGTCGCAATTTAAGAAGGATGTTGACAAGCTGGAACGTGTGCAAAGGAGGGCAACCAAGATGATCAAGGGTCCGGAAACCAAGCCTGATGAGGAACGGTTGAAGGAGCTGGGTATGTTTAGCCTAGAAAAGAGGAGGATTTGATGGCTATCCTAAAGGGCTGCCACATGGAAGATGGAGCAAGCTTGTTTTTTCCTGCTCTGGAGGGTAGGACCCAAACCAGTGGATTCAAGTCAGAAGAAAGCAGCTTCAGATTAAACATCTGGAAGAGCTAGAACTGTTCAGCTGTAGAACAAACTCCCTCAGAAGATGGCAGACTTCCTTTCCCTGGAGGTTTTTAAGCAGACCTTGGATGCTTTAGTTGTGATTTCTGCATTGCAGGAGGTTGGACACTAGATTACCTGTGGGGTCGCTTCCACCGCTACAATCCTGATTCTATATCACTTTTTGGGTGGGACAGTATTTTTGTTTAATGATGCCCTAGGGAACGGCTGTAGATTACCGCTAAAGAACCTGCTTTGCATGCAACAGGTCCAAGCATTTCCGTCTAGGGCTGGCAATGCCTCCTCTGAACCCCTGGAGTGCTGCTGCCGGCCAGTGCTGGCAACACTAGCTAGATCGGCAACGCAGCTTCCTATGCTCCTAAACCATGCTGCCTGCTTCAGAAGCGCTCCCTCCATCTATTAAAAAGGCGGGGCGGGCGGGATTTACATGAATGTAAAGGTTAACGGAAGGGCCTCCAGGGCGGGCGGCGGTATTATTTTGCAGAACACCAGCCACTCTCGACGCATCCTGCGAGTTTAGAGATAACCCTGGCGCCGATCGCACCCCTTCCCCTTGGGACCCCTTTCCCTTTTCGGCCCGGCACTGTGGACGCGGGTGCCCGCCCGTCACGCTCTCCCGACCCGCGTGCGCGCCGGACCCCGGAACGCGACTCCCGGGCTCATTCTCACGTTCACTCACACCCCGCTGCAGCACCTCCCGATCCGCAACGCCTCTGCCCCCGAGCCTGTCGCAAGTTGCTCGACGCCTGTCCTTCTTCCCGTCCGATGACAGGCGAAGGGCAACGGGAGCCCCAGGCAACTGAATTCTCCCGGTCGAGCGGCGGCAGCGAAGCCGGGAAACGGATCTCCCGCGTCAACGCGGATATGAGCGAAGCCCCTTCCTAAGACGGCGCTTGGCTGAGCCTGAGCAACGACGTGGCTCGCCAGCATTTCTTGCAGTTGTGCGCGACGCACCTGCCCTTTTCTCCCCAGGGAGTGGGGAGTCCCCAAACTCCTCCCGCCACCTCCCCGGATCTGGAGAAGCCACTTTGCAAAGGCGCGTTTCCTCCTCCTGCTGCTCGATTTGCAACGGGGATCCTCCCCGCTCGCTCGCCTCTCTTGCAAATCTGCAGCGCTCGGCGGCGGCGAAGCGGCCGTCACTTACCTCGCTCTCCCTCCAAACGCAGCTGGGATTGCGCCGGGATCTCCCTTCCTGCAGACGGAGAGGGAGGGAGGCCGGCTGGGGCGAGCGGGAGACGGAGCGGGGGCAGCTGGCGAAGCCGTGACGCGCCGGGAGGATGGGGTTTGCGCGCCGCCGGCTGGAGAGGCGGGGTGGGGACTGGGGAGAGCAGGCGAGGCAGGAGGAAGGGGGGGCTCCGATGAGGAAGGGGGGGCAGTGTTGGGGAAAGTGGGGGCGTGATAGGAAAACAAACCGCAGGACAAACAAACCACCCCGGTTGCAATTTGACTGGCCCTTCCTCAGAACATATTGGCAAGTCTTGCGCGTTCCAGCCTTTGCATCCCTGCCATCCGGAAAATGCTTTTAACAAGCCTTTTCCTCGCAAGAGCGTTCAAGGTTAGGAGCCAAGTCTGTTATTCCTGCTGCCGGGAAGGACGTTAGGAGAGCCCTGGGGCCGGATCAGGCCAGGGGTCCCCCTAGTCCAGCATCCTCACAGTGGCCAAGGAGATGGAGACAAGCCCGTGAGCAAGACCAGAACACCCTCCCCTCCGGGGTTTCCAGCAACTGGTACCCAAATGCACTGAAAACGTACGAGGATCCTGGCTGCTGGATCAGGCCCATGGCTCATCTAGTCCAGCAGGCTGTTCTCACAGCGGCCAACCGGATACCTGTAGGGCAGTGGTTTTGTACTCTGGACGCTCAGATTTAATTCATTATGTATCTATTAAGATACAGGTAAACCACCCTTCCATCAAAGTTATTGGAGTGAACAATAAATGGAACCAAACAGGGTCATGCAGCCATGAAATTCACCCGTTAAAAGACAGTGAGGATGGAGTAAGAGAAAGTGACCAACCAAAAATGCCCAGAGTAGGGTTACCAGACGTCCCTGGTTCCCGGGGACAGTCCCCAGATTTGCAAATCTGTCTCTGGGAAACGTGGCGGCGGCAGCCTCAGCAGCCCAGAGCCAGCCTGGGAGCGCAGTTGGCTCTAGCTGGCTTCAGGAGCTACTTGCTGCCGCCACCACTGCCGAAGGTGAAGAAGGTGAACCGGGGACTTCTGGCGGTACAGATTCCCCCTTTGTTTTGACAGATTGGGTGAGGCTCAGGAGTTGCTGGTGGGCAGTCGTTGCCCAGGAGGGGCGCAAGGCACACGGTTTCTCTGCCAGGCAAGGTGCAAAGCCCTTCTTTTGCCCCCTGCGAAACATAAATGAACAGAGTTTTTTTTAAAACTGGGCAATGGCCGGCCACCTGCGACTCCCAAGCCTGTCCCGATCTGTCAAAACAAAGGGAGAAGGGGGCAAGAGATCAGGGAAGGCTTGGAAGTCATGGGCAACTGGCACGCCGTTGCCCAGTTTTTAAAAAACTGCGCATTTATGTTTTACAGGGTGTGAAAGAAGGGCTTTGCACCTTTATGCAATATGCATGTGTGCTTGGGCCCAGGGTCTTTTGCCTCACCATCCCCACTACTGACTCCCTGTTGCTACTCAGCTTAATAAAAAAAAAAGTGTCCCCGGATTCATTGAAAAAAATCTGGTAACCATAGCCCAGAGTAAACAGGAATATTTTGACTGGGGGCCAAAAGCTAGTCTCACCATTATGCCAAGGAGTCTCCCACAGCCAGGGTGCCAGAACCAGAAAGTTTGTTCCCTGGTCTTTGGATCTTGGACCCTATACAAATTGCATCTTCCTCTTGTGCTAGAACTTCCATTGTCAGAGGCAGTCTGTCTCTGAAAACCAGATGCTCAAGGAAAGCTACAGTGGGGGACAGGGCAGGATTGCGGTCATCATGTTTTGCTTCTGAGCTTCCTAAAGGCACCTACTGTATGTGGGGAGTGCAGTTCTGATCTGGCCTATTGGGTCAAAAAGGTTTTGCTTTAGGTAGAGGTCTGCCTGCAGATTAATTTTGATTTAGCGGCATCAGTGTTGAGAGTCCCACATACTCATAAGCCAGTGGCTCTGAAAGGATGGCACTTGAAGATAGCAAGTATGGCAGAAATATTCAAGAAACATTTAAACATTTCAGTGTAGTATAATGTAGTATAGCTTACTATCAAAATAATATTTTAATTTGCAGAATATGGAAAAATATCAAGCAATGATAGGTGTTGTTTTGTTTTCCAGTGTTTTTCTTATCAATTAAAAAATGGGGTGTGGTGCAAGCAAATTTTTATTCTGAAAGTGTGGTGCAGAGAAGAAGAAAGTTGAGGACCACTGTCATAAACTATATATCTGTACTTTGGGAACTGTGAGGCAGCCAGTGAAAATGAAGCTCTTGTTCCTGCAAGATTAGAAAGAAAATATCCCACTGTCACAGCTAACACAGCGGTTTGACTTCACCCCTGGAGGCGCTTAAGACAGAAGGATGCTTTTAAAATTGTTGGTTTTAGCTTATATTTTTGTATTAATTAATTTGTAACTAACTGCTATTGGAAACAGAATATTGGACTTAGATGGACTTTTGGTCTGGTCCAGCAGGACTCTAGTGTTAGGTTTGGGTGTTAGCTGTTGTGGGGGCTTGGAATCTGTCCCTTAGGGAGTGTTGAGCTGCTTCCTCCCTTCCGGCCTTTGAAAGTAGGCAGTTAAGTGGCTATGTCTCTCTGCTTTGAATCATCTCCTCCTGCCCAGTTAATAATCTCTGCCTGAATGAAAGCCTGTGGAGATCCAAGTCTTCCTCTTCTGGTCAGAAAATGATTCCTTAATTAAACACTGCTTATTAAGAGTCTGAGGGAAGGGTTGCCTACTGGATGGAGAAGAGAAAGGAGTTTGTTGATCTACGTGTTGCTGCCTCGGAAAAGGAAGCTCAGTTCTGGAAACCAGTCTAGAGTTGCCAGGTCAGGAACATCCCAGATCCTGAGATTTCAGAACCCAAACCTGAGAGCTGGGGGCATACCACTGGCGCTGTCACAGGGCAGGCACTGGAGATGGAGGTTAATTGGGAGTTGAGGAAAGTAGCCCCCCCTAGTGTCTATGCTGTAATTTGCACCCAGCTCCTGCCAGGCTGAAGTTTCCAAGCTGCATGCACAGTCTTCTCTCTCTCTCTCTCTCTCTCTCTCTCTCTATATATATATATATCACAAGTGGGAAGAGGGTTTTGGGCACTCAGGTCTTGCTTGTGGGTTTCCTGGGAGGGCATCTGGTTGGCCACCATGAAAACAAGATTTTGGACTAGAGTAAGGTTACCAGATTTTTTTCAATGAATCCGGGGACACTTTTCAACTTCAATGGATTTTGTGTGGGGACTGATTTGTAAATCTGGGGACTGTCCCCAGGAAACGGCGATGTCTGGTAACCTTAGGCTAGAGTGACCATTGCCCTAATCCAGCCACAGGACTTTTACTACCCTCTTAAGAGCAACCTGAAACTGCCTTTACCTGGTGGAATCTCAGAAAACATTGTATGCGTGTGATCAGTAGGATAACCTGTGATGTGGCTTGTTCCTCCCTGTTAGCAAAAGCTAAATAAAGATAGAAGATAAGCAAACATGAACATTTGCTTAGTGGGCTTACTGTACAGACTGCAGAATCCAGCTCTTCTTGGTAGATATATACGTAGATAGAATCTGGAAGGGGCATGCAATTAATTTTTATCCACAGTACTCATTTTTGAAAACTGAGTATTTTGGAGCCTATTATTTGACTAAACCCAAGCCTTTCTTTGTAAGAAATGCTTTTGTTGAGATGTGAATTCCGTTGATGCCTTCTGCAGTCTTGGATGGCTGCTTTCGTAAGGTCCCATACGATGGCAGGTTTTGTATTCGTGGTCAGCTACAGGCGGAATACATTGTGCATTATTTGGTTAATTTGCCCCTTATACAGGGATCCAAGAGATCAATTTCCGGAATCTCTGCTTGTACATGGCAGTAGGTACAATTCAGTGCAAATGGTTCAGTTTCTCTTGAGTGTCACTAATAGCTCAGTGACACATGAAGGCCTTCTTAGGCACTGCCCACAAAAAAAGATTTGTAACAGAAGGTTGGATAACATTGCTGCAAGTTGTTCTGGGGACTTGGAGCTGTGATCTGAAGCTGAGCTAGCTTTGAGCTAGCTGACGGTTTTTCTGACCTCTCTTCTTATCACTGGTGTTTGTTTTATAATATTTGTGTATGTTTTTACTATGGTTGCAGTTTGGTAATTATGAAATTGCCATGGCCTTTGGCTAGCACAATGAACTTATGGATGGTTATGATAGTATATGAATGGACTCAGAGTAGAGAGACCCAATTTCAAGCTCAGCCATGAAGCTCACTGGAAGTCTGTGACCAGTCAGTGTCTCCTAACCTACCTCACAGGGTTGCTGTGAGGGATAAAACAGGATTGGGGTGGGATAGCCACATATGATAGCCTTGAATGAAGAGTAGGATAGAAATGCTACAAATAAATAGTCATAGCACTATTATTATTATTATTATTATTATTACTATTCTCCTGCCTCTGCTTCCTGCGGTTTAAGAGATGCAGTCGTTCTCAGTCTCTGGGACTGCTTGTTATTGGCTTAGCTTTTGCCCTTTCAGAATTAAACTGCACCTTGCAGCAGGGTTCATCTCTCTGGGTATTAATTCATGCCTCGTGGCTGTTCCCGTGCCTGGGGAATCCTGGCAGCGTGAGCAGACACTGTTATCATTTTGCGCTTCACGATTTCTTAATGTGATTTTACGTAGAATTTGCATTAGTAACGAGGAGCCAGGCCCAGCTCTTGTTGAAGTGGGCTGCAAAAGCCCCGCAGACTCGAGCGGGGGCAGGATCTGGCCTCTAAGGGCGGTGCGAGCCCAAATCCCCCGCTGGCTTTTTTCTCTGCTGGCGTCTTATTAAATGCACCAGCAAAGTGCGCAGACTGGAGGTTGAGGGGATTCTTTGCCGACAGTCAAAATGCTTGATCTTTTCTGCTCGGCTGCGATTTTGAGGAGGCGCGTTTTCAAAATGTAGGTCTTGTTAGGAAATGATCTAATCCAGCCCACTCCCTTTCCAAAACAACCACCTGCATTACGGAAAGAGGCTGCTTACTGCTAGAGCATCTGTCTTGCATGCAGATGTGCCCATATTCCGTCACCATGAACTCTAGCGAGGGCTAGGAATGTCCAGTCGCAAACCCTGGAGAAGCTTACTCATTTTGTGAGCGAGTTTATTTGGGTGCCTGACCTAGGCTGTAGTCTAACTGGGGAGGGCTGTAGCCCAGTGAAGAGAACATCATTCTTGCAAGCAGAAGGCCCCAGAGTTAATTCCACAGTCAACACTAGAACCTTTAGAAGAGGATTGGACCAATTTGTGGTGGAGAGGGCTATCGTGGTGGCTACTATCCACAATGACTGTGCTGGAAGGCAGCAAGGCTTCTGAAAGACAGGTGCTGGAAGCCACAGGAGGAGACTGTTGCTCTAGTGCTCAGGTCATGTTTGCGGGTTTCCGAGCACAATTCAAAGTGTTGGTGCTGACCTTTAAAGCCCTAAACGGCCTCAGTCCAGTATCCCTGAAGGAGCGTCTCCACCCCCATCGTTCTGCCCAGACACTGAGGTCCAGCACAGAGGGCCTTCTGGCAGTTACCTCCCTGCGAGAAGCCAAGTTACAGGGAACCAGGCAGAGGGCCTTCTCGGTGGTGGCGCCCACCCTGTGGAACGCCCTCCCACCAGATGTCAAAGAGAACAACAACTACCAGTCTTTTAGAAGTCATCTGAAGGCAGCCCTGTTTAGGGAAGCTTTTAATGTTTGATGCATTACGGTATTTTAATATTTTGTTGGAAGCTGTCCAGAGTGGCTGGGGAAGCCCAGCGAGATGGGAAGGTTAAAATAATAAATTATTATTCTTATCTGGTTGGCCACTGTGAGAACAGGATGCTGGACTAGACGGGCCATTGGCCTGATCCAGCTGCAGGCTCCTCTCATGCTCTTAAAGGATTGAAGAGGGAAAACCCTTTTGGACAGCTGTTGCTGGTTGCAATGCTGGGCTGCATGGATGCTGTAAGGCAACACTCCTCCATCCTAGTGTCCTCTAGATGCTTTGAACTCCCAGCACCCAAACTGAGATTTCCTCAGGTCAGGCTGGCATGTGGGATCTACATGCCCCAACGGCCTTCGGCCCAGTATACCTGAAGGAGCGCCTTCACCCCCGACTGCTCTGCCCTGACGCTGAGCGCCCAGCCGAGGGCCTCTGGCGGTTCCCTCAGGAGCAGCGTGGCTCACAGGAACCAGGCAGAGAGGGCTCCTCTCGGCAGGGCATGCCTGGGTGGAACGCTTCTCCACTGATGCTGTGCGAGAATCGCCCGAGAAGGATTCTGGTAGCCTCTGTTCAGGGAAGCGTGACCTGTGATATTTACTGCACTGTTTACCAGAGGAGTTGGTAAGTTCCAGCCAGATGTGGGCGGGGTGTAATAAAATTATTACATATTATTGTGTTGTCATGCACGTGTTTGCAAGCTAATTAAGATATGACAGAGCCGGCTGGAGGCATTTCCCTAGGCGCCCCTCACCGAAATCCAGCGGAGCTTTGGAAAAGCATTGCCCGACCGTCCCCACGTTTGATTCTGCAAAAGAAACTAGCTGGCGACTTGTGCTCCTTGGAGGATCAAGATGTGGCTTCTGCTCTTCCAGTGCAAGCATAAACAGGTTTACTCAGGAGCAAGCCCCACTGAGTGCAACGGGGCCTGCTCCCTAGAGAGTGTGTTGAAGGTTTCAGGCTTAGCATCATTCAAACCCCCAAAACTCTTGGTAAGCTGGCTTCCAAACCATGGGCATAGGCCAGGAATTTTGGGGGGTGGGGGGCAGGCTTCATGTTAGGTGGCAAGAACCTGCTAATTTAAGTATTTTTATTGATTTACTTGATTTATGTGGGGCAGCTGCCCCCTTGCCTCTCCTTGGTTACGCCCATGGTCCAAACTCAAAATGCATCCACATCTTAGCAATTTAAGAAGCTTATAGCAAGGGGGACCATTATCGATCCAGCCCACTGCTGTCTATACTGAATGACAGATGCTATCCAAGGTTGTCAGAAGGGTCTCTCCAAGCCCTACCTGGAGATGCCAAAGATTGACAGACACCTGCATGCCTTCTGCATTCAAAGCTGGCCCTCCCCAAAAACTCTTCTTGAAAGAACTTACTATCTTAGCCGCAGAAAGCAAGGTTTGGAACACGCACAGACAAGCCATCCAGTCTGAGCTTGACAAAAACTTTTGTTTTTTTTAAAACAAACTTTAATTGGTAATAAAACAAATCCTTCCTCGCCAACCTGTTCCCTTGCTCTGCAAAGGCAACAGCCAGCAAGTAACGAGCCTCAAACTCAATTGGACCAACCTGGCTGCGATGCTTTCAAAAGGGAGGACTGAGCTATAAAGGTACAAAGCTGCTCGGCCAAAGGGAACACTTGGAAGCCCGTGTGCAATTCTGCCTGAAGTCTGAAAGGTACACGCAGGGCCTCTAGACTTGAACTTGGTAGTCAAACGCTGCTTACGCACGGCTCTGTGCATCGAAAGGAGATGTCAGGAACTCTCACTGCGCACAAGTACAAAATCCAGTCATGTCGTTTGCAGATCCACCCTGAAACTTCTCAGTATCTGCGCGGAATAGTTTGTTCATTAGAAATTGCAAGCTTTTGGCAGTATGGGCTCCCGAAGACTTTATTAATTGTGTGGTGCTGGCTTAAAATGCGACGCAGTTTCCTTATTTCAAGGCGGATCCACCTGGGTTTGACTGAGTTTTGCATTTTAAACCAGGGGTGGAGAGCCAGTGCCCCGCCAAAAGCTGGACTCCCGACTACCATAAGATTCAGCCAGCATGGCCAGTGGTGAGAGATGATGGGAGTTGCAGTCCAGCAACATCTGGAGGGCCACAACTTCCTCACCTGACTTTGGTGATGTTCTACAAATCAACAATCATACGCTTGTCATAATCTCGTCAGTCGCTCCTGGCTTGGGCATCTCTTGATTTTCTTGTGTGAGTTTTAGCTCCGCTTTGATTCCCGCCCCCCCTCTCAGATTTGCATCAGAGCTGTCTTCCTCCAGATGGGTTTCATACTAATCCCTACATGACGGTGCCCGTTGAGCAGGAAGACATGGGGTTTTTTTGCAAAGTGGTCTTTTAAGTTTTTGGGGTCAGGGGAGGGTCGTCAGGGTCTAGCCCTCCCCAAGGATCAACTCCGTTTTGGAAAGCTGTCAGTAGCAATCTGCTTCATTATCTTCCGTATTCCCTGCAGCGGAGAGGATATCCTGCAAGAGCGACTGGGGGCTCTTTTCCAGGTGATCGCTGCTCCTGTCTAAAGATCTCTGCAAACCCTCCAGGTCCGTCGTCTCTAAGAAAAGGATCAGGCACTCTGGATCCTGGGAAATCCTTTTAGCCGACTCTCCAACAGGAAGGATCAGTTCTTCCCTCTGTTTCTCCTCCCGCTGCTGAGACGTGCTGCCCAGTTCCAAGCTGCTCTCCTCCAGGCGGCTGTCTTTGCAAATCTTGGATTTCACGGCTAAAAGGATCTCGCAGGCTTTCAGCGCCACTGGCCTGTCGCAGTCATACAGGGCTCCAAAGAGGAACTCAAAGAGCTTCACTCGGCAAAACGCCTCCAGCGATTTGAGGCGACGGGCAGCCTGGCTGGCAGGTGATGAGTCAGCGGCGTACGGGCAGTCGGAGAGCCCAAGACATTTGGCAGCAAAAACCTTGGCCAGTTCCAAGCCGCTGACCTTGACTTCCCAGTCCAAGTCTCTGTCCACGGCTTGGATCGCTCTGGAAACAAACTGCTCAGGGTCAGCCAGGACTTCCGGGTGGCCGTCCCGTAGCCAGTCAATGAAGACGCGGATCACAGCTCTGCGGGGGAAGCCTTCGGAGTCAGCGGATAGGATTTCCTGCAAGCGAGCCCCAACGCTGGCCTTAAAGACAAGGAGAAGAGATGGGGAGGATCTGAACACTGTTTGCAAGCTATGCTAGGTGGGGGGAGAAACCCACATCGTGTTAACTCCTGCGGCACCAGGGAAACATGGTGCGCATTCTTCCCCTACCAAAGCAAACCCATTCTCCTTATACAAGTTAGAAGTTAGATTAGCCTCAACCAGAGCCAGGGCCTTTTCAACACTGGCTCATGAGACCAGGGCCCTGCAGGATCTGATTTCTTTCCGCAGGGCCTGGAAGACAGAGTTGTTCCGCCTGGCCTTTGGCTTGGAATCAGTTTGATTTCCTTCCCCTCTTTCTTTTTCCCTTTCTCCTCCTGTGATGGAACTCCTATTTGCGGACTTCCCTGGCTTTTTTCTGGTCCATGTAGGACCAGTCTGGATAGTTAGCCTTGGTGAAGATTTGACGTTTTCATCCCCAAAAAAGTTTTTGATTTGAGTTTCCATTGAAATGAGGCTGCATTTTAATGTTTTAATATTTTAATGTTGTATTTTAATCTTGTTTTTTATTTCAATCAATTTGTTTTTATATCGGTTGTTAGCCGCCCTGAGCCCGGTCTTGGCTGGGGAGAGCGGGGTATAAATAAAATTTATTATTATTATTACTACTACTACTACAGCCAAATCCATTCTCCTTATACAGCCAAAACCACCACCCCACAAGGTCTGCAGAAATACAAAGAAGTATTTGCAGGATGTGTTGAACCCTAAAGTTGTGGGGTGGGGCCCAAACAGCCCAGTGAGGACTGAGTGTGCTGAGTGGCCATTTCATGTTGGCTGATTTTGGGGGGGAAGGGGGTGAAGAGAAAACCAGAGGGAAGAGAGAATGGAGTGTTCTGGCAAAGGCCATGGAATGCTGAACAGGAGTACTGCACCCTGCAAGGGTTCATACACCTGGCAGGGATGCTTTAAGTTGAGATTCCTGCACTGCAGGGGGGTTGGTCTAGATGACCCTCGGGAGTCCCTTCCAGCTCTAAGATTCTGTGATTCTAAAAGCACTTTGAACTGAGCCCAGAAACTCAAGAACTAACCATTGCAGTTGGTGTAAGATTGGTGCGATGAGCTCCAATCGCTGCACACCTACCGACCTCCTAGCAGCCGGGTTTTGTTTCAATATCCTATTTATTGCTTCATAGTACAGTCGTACCTTGGAAGTCGAACAGCCTCGTTCTCCCAACATTTTGGCTCCTGAACAATCAAAACCTGGAAGTGACTGTTCTGGTTTTTTTAATGTTCTTTCAGAAGCCGAACGTCCGGCAAGGCTTCCGATTGGCTCCAGGAGATTCCTGCAGCCAATCAGAAGCTGCACTTTGGTTTTTGAACGTTCTGGAAGTCGGACGGACTTCCAGGACGGATTCCGTTCAACTTCCAAGGTACGACTGTATTTCTAGACTGCCCTTTCAGGGGAAACCCACCCAAAGCGCCCCCCCCCCCCGTAAACAGAGCTGTAGTCTTCCGGTCTGAATGCGGCCCCCCTGCCTTGCCGCGTGAAAAGGCAGGGACAAAAACGTGCTCAGCAAAGAGGACTGTACCTCTTTGTTGCTGCCATTGTTCTCTGAGCCGGGCTTCTTCGAGTCAGCGCTAGCAAGCAAGGAAAACTGCCCCAAGGCTTCCACCGCACTGGCTCGCACGTAGCTCTCTGGGTCGGCCAGGAGGCCCTCTGCCAGCGGCAGCACTTCCGAAGAGAGAAGCTCTTGCCAGAACCACTCCTGCCCTGTGTAGAGATGAACACAAAAAGGGAAAAAATAAACAGTGCCTGATCCCATCAGCCCTCTGTCCCTACCATTAAAGCAAATGCCTGGCCCCGGACAGATCTTGCCAAGAGCACACAGGCTTCCTAGGAAGGCTCACAGTCTCCAGACTGGCCCCCGCAGCGCACAGAGGTCATAATTCGCTCCATCAGATGTACTGATGCCTGGAATCCTGAAGAGGGAAGCATTCCATGCTACAACGTTTTGTTGCAGCCGCTTCTGGTGTGCATTTAAAGTCACCAACCGGAACGGCTTTAAAACAGGGTGACAAAATCACGGGGGAATAAAGCTGTAGATGGCTTGTACGCCTCTGATTGCCAGATGCTGAGAATCACAAGAAGGGAGAGGGTTCTTTTACTCATGCCTAGCTTACGAGCTGACCGACTGTGAGAACACGATACTGGACTCAATGGGCCTTCTGCCTGGCCAGCAGCCAGACTCCCCTGACGTTGTCATTGCAAAGCCCAAAGGCAGGGGCGGAGGCAGGTGTGCAGCCAGGAATTCTTTTTGCTGAGACATTCCTGGCAAGGAAGTGTCAGCTAACTGGGAGCTCATGGGCAGAAAAAGCCCCCAACCAGAAGCTCATGAAGTGTGAGAGCCCCCACTTTCCCCCTATCCTCTCCTTCTCCACCCCCAATCAAGGCATGCATTTTATTTACTGACTCCGTTTATAATTCACCCAATAAGTAAAGTTGTCTGGGTGACGTACTGGTTAAAAGAAATTAAAAACACAGCTCCACTAAAACACCCTTTCTGTAGCAGCACACACAAAACGCATGAAGCCAAAAGCCTTACAGTGGTGCCTCACAAGACAAAATTAATCCGTTCCGTGAGTCTCTTCATCTTGCGGTTTTTTCGTCTTGCGAAGCACGGCTATTAGCGGCTTAGCGGCTATTAACGGCTTAGCGGCTTAGCGACTTTAAGAAAAAGGAAACAAACTCGCAAGAACTCACAAGACGTTTCGTCTTGCGAAGCAAGCCCATAGGGAAATTCGTCTTGCTGAACGACTCAAAAAACGGAAAACTCTTTCGTCTTGCGCATTTTTCGTCTTGCGAGGCATTCGTCTTGCGAGGTACCACTGTATCTTAGCAGATAGCAAATATTTTTTATAGTACAGGGAGCCATGAAAACAATTTTCCCAGAGCTTTTAGGGGGGAAAACACACCTCCATTCTAAAACTGCAGTGAATGCAAGGATTAATCAAGCCTTCCAGCTGTTTTGGACTACAACTCCCATCATGCCCACCCAGCCTGGCCACCACACATGACATGAAGTTAGAGCAGAAGAGCAGGGCCAGCCCAAAATGCCCCGGCAGACCAGGTTGGGCCAGCAGTCCTCCTCTTTTGTCAGGGCCGTCTTTAGCGTATGTGCCACCGGGGTGCAAAGATCTGCCCAGCGCCCCCAAATTTAGTCAATTTCGTGTGCATGGCACCGTTGAGAATGACAAGCGCCATCGTTGAGTCTGACAAGCACCACCACTGCCACGGCGCATATTTGGTAAATGAGCGCACAAAGTTGAAAGTCCTTTAGTGAAACAGTAGGTATACATTTCGGTAATACCTAGGTATATACAGTGGTATCTCTGGTTAAGTACTTAATTCGTTCCGTTCTTAACCTGAAACTGTTCTTAACCTGTAGCCCCACTTTAGCAAATGGGGCCTCCCGCTGCCGCTGCACAATTTCTGTTCTCATCCTGAAGCAAAGTTCTTAACCCGAGGTACTATTTCTGGGTTAGCGGAGTCTGTAACCTGAAGCATATGTAACCTGAAGCGTATGTAACCTGAGGTACCAATGTATGTGTTTTGTTTTTCTAGCTTGATCAAAATTATTTATTATTTTGTAACAGGTAGATAGTTAAGAGCTTAGCCTGGCGCCCAACAGAATTCGGTGCCTGGGTGACCGCACCCCTTGCACCCCCGGGGAAAGACGGCCCTGTCTCCTGTTTTAGCTCATCAAGCCCATTGACGGTTGTGGACTCTCCTTCCTTGGCAGTTTCTAAGGAGAGGCTGGATGGCTGTCTGTCACGGATGCTTTAGCTGAGATTCCCGCATTGAAGCGGGTTGGACCAGAGGATGCTCAGGGTCTCTGCCACTCACTCTGTGCTTCTAAGGGGGACTGCTCCTTCGTCACCCAGCTGTGCCCCCTGCCTACAGGTTCTGCCTTCCCTGCACTTACCTCTCAGGCGCTTCATCACTTGCGTGAGATGCTCCAGGGCCGAGTCGCGCACTTCCCAGCTGGGGCTGTGCATGCGCTTCTGCAAGATGGGCAGCATGTCTGCTCCAAGGGGGTGGGAGACAGAGAGGGCGTCACAGACAGAACTGTTGCAGCTTATGAAACAACGTCAAGTCTGCCAAGCTTTACACATTGTGAGTAAAGTCCCATTGAACTGAATGGGGGTCACTTCTCCCCCCCCCTTTTAAATTTAAATTTTTGATTTTATTTTGACAAAGTTATAATCATAAATAAATAAGAATAAAAATGTGCACCCCGCCACTGAGACCATTCCATTGTAACTACCCAACCTCCCAAAATTTCAACACCTCTTGCGATGGTTTGACCCCCTTTCCCTTTTAACAGTACAAATTCTACAAACACCCTCCATATCTCCTCAAAATAATTTCTCCTGCATATTCCACATCTTACCTTAATGGTACATGTCAATTTATCATTAATAGCTATACCCCACACCTCTTTATACCGTTCTTCCATTTTATATTCTGCTTGCCCCTTCCACTTCCTAGCTATAATAACTCATGCAGCTGTCAATAAATGTGTGAGCAAGTCCTTCATAGCCTATATACCTTCCACCCCATCGTAAATTGATTATAATGCTGCCTCTGGACTTTCAGTCAGCTTTAACCCAGTGACGTCTGTTACCTGGGGGTCACTTCTGAGTAGGACAGCACTGTAAGTTACAACCCCATCTGCATCTGGGGGTGAAGACAAGTGAAAGTCCCCAGGCCACACTGAACTCTTTGAAGGAAGATCACAAAAGAAGTGGAACAGTGTGGCATTTTGTTACAGCAGGTTCATGCTCTGGGTTTGAGATTCCCCACCCCTGCCATAAATAAGAATCTCGTAAGAGCCCTGCAGGATCAGGCCCGTGGCCCATCTAATCCTGCACCCTGTTTTCATGGTGGCCAACCAGACACGTGTGGGAAACCCACAAGCAGGACTTCAGCACAAAAGCCCTTTCCCCTCCTGCAATTTCCGCCGACTGGGATTCAGAAGCCTTGACTGTGGAGGCAGCCCAGAGCCCTCTCTCCCTTCAATAATTTGTCTGCTCTTCTCAGTCCAGTATATCTGAAGGAGCGTCTCCACCCCCATCGTTCTACCCGGACGCTGAGGTCCAGCACTGAGGGCCTTCTGGCGGTTCCCTCCCTGTGACAAGTGAGGCTACAGGGAAGCAGGCAGAGGGCCTTCTTGGTAGTGGCGCCCGCCCTGTGGAACGCCCTCCCACCAGATGTCAAAGAGAAAAACAACTACCAGTCTTTTAGAAGACATCTGAAGGCAGCCCTGTTTGGGGAAGCTTTTAATGTTTGATGCATTACTGTATTTTAATATGTTGTTGAAAGCCGCCCAGAGTGGCTGGGGAAACCCAGCCAGATGGGCAAGGTATAAATAATAAATAAATTATTATTATTATTACAGCCACCTGGGTTGGTGACCATCGCTGCTTCCTGTGGGGGTGGGGGTGAGTTCCGTAGTTTAACTTCGTGCTGGGCAAAGAAGTACAGGGGTACCTCGGTTTAAGAACAGCCCTGTTTACGAACAATTTGGTTTACAAACTCCGCAAAACCGGAAGTAGTGTCCCAGTTTGCGAACTTTACCGCAGTCTAAGAACAGAATCCGAACGGTGGAAGGGCACTGGCGGCGGGAGGCCTCATTAGAGAAAGCGCACCTCGGTTTATGAACAGTTTCGGTTTAAGAACGGACTTCCGGAACGGATTAAGTTCGTAAACTGAGGTACCACTGTAATTTCTTTTCTCAGTCCTCGTTCTTCCAGCACTCAGATTCACCGGATGTCCAGTACACTGGCTGTAATGCTACTTAGGCCAGAAACAGGCTTGCAAATTTACCTCTGAGAAACTGTTTGTGCCGCTGGAAGTCGCCAGCAGAGTCAGATGCTTCCGAGGTGCTTGGAAGCCACTTCAGCGTTGCTTGGAATGCCTTCTTCAAAACCTGAAAAAGGGGAATGCTGTGAAATAAATCCCCCAGGATGACCAACATCCTGGTACTTTTACTCTGGCCATCCCCAAATCACTCCTTTTGCAACCAAGAACCAATGTGGTGTAGCAGTTGGAGGGTCTGGCTGCTACCTGGGAGCCCAGGGCTCAAATCCCCTGCTCAGCCGTCATGAAGCTCCCTGGCTGGCCTTGGGGGGCCCAGTCACTGCCTCTCTATCTAGCCTCCCTCACAGGATTGCTGTGGGGATAAACCAGAGGGAGAGAAAAACGTTTCCCACCTTGAGCTCCTACTTCTGACTAAAGAATCTATACTCACAGCAGGGCTGCTATCAGGACTCTTCAGGTACACAAGGAGGATGTCAAAGATTTGTTCCATGACTTCGTCAGAAACTGAAGCTAAAACACACACAGAGAAGGACAGTTGGAAGTTATTTTATTTACTTATTTATTTACTTTGCAATTTATATACTGCCCTTTAACCAAAGATCCCGGGGCGGTAGACAACACTAAGGAAAAAATATATAATCAGGAACTAAACGGAACTCTGGAACTCACTGTGGCAGTTACAAATATGAATATGTGTGTTTATTTTAAAGGGAAGGGAAGGGTGGTTCAAATGAGGGGGGGTCCTAGAATTGCCCCCCACCATAAAAAATGCAACTGATTTTGCAACCTGTTGTGTTTGTGTTACACGCTTCAAACGTCTCAGGGGCTGCCGCATGGAAGATGGAGCCAGCCTGTTTTCTGCTGCTCCACAGCCAAGCACCAAAACCAATAGCTTCAAATTACAGGAAAAGGAAATTCAAATAAATATTAGAAAGAACTTTCCTGACAGTAAAAGCTGTTTGACAGTAGAAAAGACTCTCTCTGGAGGTGGTGGGTGTGGGAATGTTCAGGGAGGCAGGAGAGGATATATTGTTTATTAATATCCTTCCTAACTTGCACTTGCAAGATCTATAACTCAGCAGAGTTTTAACAGTCCCCTTTGAACGCACAGAGGGTAGCTGGTTGCTAGCTTGTTTAAGCTTCTCAATATAGATTCCTGGTAAGATCCCTTATTTCCCTCTTAAAAGAATAAACATGCCACAATCTTGTGTTAAGTATATAAAAGTAGTTTACTCATATTCTTTTCACAGTTGGATCCCAGAAGGCAGATTTAGTTACAAAGATATATACATGTGGATCTATCCCATATGGGGGGTTAATCCCAGTGACTGAAGACTGGCAGTCACTGCAGTTCAGATGACGAAAGGAAGATGGAGAATGAGTGAGAAGGGCTGTGTGCCTTGTGCTTTTGTTACCTGCACAGGTAAGGTCACGCCCACCTCTCGTCACATGCAAGAGGAAGTATGCTCCAGTCCAGGAGGAGACAGGAAGTTCTGACTGGCTGGACCAAACATCCACCTGCATGTCCACTCTAGGAAAACAAGGAATGTTGTATTTGACTGCTCCTTCCTTCCTTGGAGATTTTTAAGCAGATGTAGGATGGTCATCTGTCAGGAAGGCTTTCGTTGAGATTCCTGCATTGCAGGGGGTTGAACTAAATGACCAATGGGGCCCCTCCAACTCTACAATCCTGTGAGAAGCTGGAAAGGAACATCAAAGGAGCCCTCGTTCTTCCCTTGCCTCCCAGGAGGTTTCTTGCAGGGCTGCGGTCACCCTGGAATCGACAGGGAACACCGAGATAGCAAGGGAGGGGGAGAAACCATTGACCCCCTGCTGATGAGGCTTGCTGACCTCCCAGTAAAGCAAAAATTCGATCTTCTCCTGTTAGGCAAAGACCACAAGACGACCCGGATTGTCGCCAGATTCTGCACACAGATCTGTAGGCGCAGACCATCCCCCGATTCAATCTAGTTTGTTAAGAAAATTCCCAAACCTGGATCCACGGGCGACTTTGGGTCATTTCTCTAAGGTAGTCTATTTTAAAGTTTTTATGTGTTTATATGCCCATCGCACTTTAAAATTTAAAACCCATTGTTGGATATTGTTTTAAATGTTTGCTTTGCTATTGGGATTGAAGTTCCATTTCTGTTTCTCAAGCTGGTCTCTGACCGTAATAAATTTCCTGTACTTACTTGCCCAGCGAGACAGAGCTCCCAGGAGGCCCAGGGCTGCCCGCTGAACTCGGAAGCAGCCGACCAGGAAGTTGCCGATCTTAGCTGCCAGAGGGGAGACTGGAATGGCGAGGCCAACGCAGAACTGCAGCACAGTCACCACGGACTGGAGCAAAGGCTTGTGGGGAAACTCCACTGCCAGAGAGGCCTGGTGAAGAAAAGGGATAAATGCAATCTCAGCCAATTTGCTAGAGGTGTCTTATACACAGGCTTCTGAGTATGCTGCAGCCCCACTGCACAAGGGCAAAATTTGGTAAGGAAGCCAGAGTTCAGCATCTCAAGAGTTTCAGCTCAATACTGCACAAGGATGGTACATTTAAAGCCTGGAGAGCTGATTTTTCCTCCACTCTTCGGCAGGAAAGGCTCCCAGCATGGCTTACAAATATTAATAATAAGAGAGTCCCTGCCCACTCGGCCTATAATGTAAAAGATGCAGCACAAAAGGAAAGAGAGAAGAGGAGGAAAGAGGAAAATAAGTGAGTACAGGCACCAGTTCTTAAAAGTTCTTCTAATGACCTTTTCCCTATAAAAAGCTCAGGGAGGAGGAGGAGCCAAAGGAGGTTGGGTCTTTGCTTATCTAGATCTTACCACATACTGGACTTCCTCCAGATGAGCCAGAGTCTGGCACAGGAAACTGACACACGAGGCCCTGGAGGACAGAAGAGACTCCACAGAGGCAGATTCAGGCGGCAAACCTGGAAGTGGAGAAAGGGAAGCCGGAGGACACCAACAGAGCAAAAGGCTTCTCTGAAATGGCTAGTAAAAGCAGCCTTCCCCAACCTGGTGCCCACCAGATATTCTGGACTACAACTCCTAACAGCTCCAGCTAGAGCAGCCTGGCTGGGGCTGATGGGAGTTGTAGTGTAAAGCAGTTGTAGGGTACCAGGATGGCAGAGGGTTAATTTTTGTCTAGTGCACTCCCATACAGAAGGGAGCAGAATCCACCTGGGACATTCTAGCAAGGCCTGTTGTTCTTTGGATCTGGGCCCAGGCGAAGTATTTCAGGGCCTGTTAACTGTACTTTGCTCCCTTAACCCACCCATCCCGCTTAATTCAATATGTGCACATAAGAAACTAGGAAGAGCCTGCTGAATCAGGCCTATGGCCCCCCTAATTCTGTACCCACAGTGGCCATGCAGATGCCCCCAAGGGAAGCCCAAAAGCAGGCCCCGGACACAAGTGCCCTCTCCCCTCCTGTGGCGTCCGGCAATTGGTATTCGGAAGCAATTGCTGCCTCCTAACGCGGACGCAGAGCCGAGCCACCGTGGCTGGTAGCACTGAGGCCGCATCCTAACTCAGCAACGCACCTGGGAATTCTAAGGATGGAGAAGCGCCTCTCAAGACACAGCCCATTGGCTGCAGCAAAAGGCCCAGACCTTGCACCTGGATTGCCTGTGGGCTTGAAGGAGGAGAGGGAGCAGGTTAGGTCTCTCTTGCATCCGCAGCAAGGCAGCATCTCTGTGGTGTTAATGTAGGTTACGATACGATAATCTTTATTGTCATTGTCCCATACAGAACAACGAAATTGAAAAAATCTACACCAGACATTCAAAAACCCACAAGCCTGCTATCCCAGCCTGGTTAGCCCCCTAAAAACTCTGATACCCCATAATTAAATACAATACACTCTCATAGAGACTCCTTACACCGCGTTTAAAACCAAAATCGCATTTGGACAGAAACTGTTTCTCAGGCGGCTAGTCCAAGTCTTTATGACCCTGGACCTTCTTCCAGAAGGCAGAAGCTGAAAGAGATCATTTCCGGGGTGCGCACTATCCTACACTATCTCTGCAGCTTTCTTATGACACCTGGAAGCATAGATTTGATCCAAGGTGGGAAGAGTGTGCCCAATTCTTCTCTCTGCAGTCTTTACAACCCTGGACAGAACTGCTTTTCCCCGACTGTGAAGCTCCCAAACCACACACACAGACACTCTCAATACACTCTCAAAATACACTCTCAAAAGTACAATGGTAAAATACCATCAACAGGTCCTCTGAGAGATTATTTTTCTGGATGATTCTTAGAAAATATAACCTCTCCTGTGCAATCTTCATCAGGTCCTTGCTGTTTTCTCCCCAGGTTAGGTCCTCTCTCAACTCCATTCCCAGAAACTGAAACACCGAGATCTGTTCCACGCACTTCCCCTCAAAGCTTTATTCCATATATTAATGCAAATGCATGCACAAACGCAATAGTCCCGTCTTCCCCAGCCAGGTGTTTTGGGTATCAGCCCCGCTTGCAGCTGCAATTTGTGAGGGGGGAGAGGGTGGGAGGGCAGGAGAGGCAAGAACAGCAAGGAACGTGCAGCTCTCCCCTGTGCTTGGGGCACAGTCCTATGCCATTTTAGTCAGAAGTAAGTTCCATTGCTTTCAATGGGTCTTACTCCTCAGTGAAAGGTACACAGGGCTGCAGCCTTAGACTTTGTTGCAGCTGCAGGTGAAAGCTAGGAGGTTAAGCATGGCTTCATAGAAAAGGCCGGCTTGAGAAGGGATTCTGGGGACGGGGAGTGGCCGCCGAGACCATCATCATCATTTTTAATTTGTATACTTCCTTTCTATCTTACAATACTCAAGGCGGTTTACAAGCTGAAGAAACAAAAAAATGTACCGGTACATCTAATAACCATCTAATGCAATACAAAAACATGATAATAAAGCATAACACCAGTCCTCAAAGACCTACATTGGCTCCCAGTACATTTCCAAACACAATTCAAAGTGTTGGTGCTGACCTTTAAAGCCCTAAACGGCCTCGGCCCAGTATACCTGAAGGAGCGTCTCCAACCCCATCATTCAGCCCAGACACTGAGGTCCAGCGCCAAGGGCCTTCTGGTGGTTCCCTCCCTGCAAGAAGTGAGGTTACAGGGAACCACGCAGAGGGCCTTCTCGGTGGTGGCGCCTGCCCTGTGGAACACCCTCCCTTCAGAGGTCAAGGAAATAAACAACTATCTGACTTTTAGAAGACAACTGAAGGCAGCCCTGTTTAGGGAAGTTTTTAATGTTTGATGTTTTATCATGTTTTTAATCTTCTGTTGGGAGCCGCCCAGAGTGGCTGGGGAAACCCAGCCAGATGGGCAGGTATAAATAATAAATATTGTTATTATTTTATCTGTTAAAGGAAAACAAGGTCGAACAAAATACTTAATGGTTTGGGCTTTAATATTGAAGGGAACAAATCCCTACCAGGCTTCCAGTTTCAGGAGTCCCAAGGCCAGAGGGCCCGACTGAGTGAGACTCAAGGTCTTCAGAGCAAGTGCCACCAGCTTCCAGAGGCTGCATTCGGGGCAGCTGAATGCAGGAGACCTACAGGAGGGAGGAAGATGCATTAATGCGCGTGCATAACCTTTAGATATGTATTTGTTGTTGCCAGCAGGCTGTCTCAAGAGACCATGGCGTGTGCCTCTGGGGGTGAAATCAAACCACTGGAGAATCGCACCGCCTGCTGTGGCTGCAGAAACCTGGAACTCATAACTTTTGCCTCCTGTGCTGTTTTTGCTGTGTTAGCAGCAATGAAGTGACCTCTCTAGGCACAATCTTGGGCAGTGTATCTGGAGGTCCTGGGCTGCCCAGGCGACAAGACCCGTCCCCCTGGCCAAGCCTCACTGATGTGGTCCAAGGGAAAATAGAGCAAGATGTTTGGCACCAGCTTGGCTGCAGGAGTTGCAGGAAGGAGTACAAGGCGCCATCCAACAGTCTTAGAGACTCCGCTCCTGCTTTGTGTAGGGTTTACTCCTCAGCCTTTTCTTCTGCTAAAGATATCCCACAAGGTAGTGGAGATTTAAAATCTGAGTTTTCTTTCTCCTAGATGAGTGACCTTCCTGGGGGCGGGTGGGGCAGGTGGAGTTGTGGCAAATGAAGGCCTCTCCCCAAGCCACCCTACTTCATAACTTCCTCGCTCCAGAGCACTTTTGCCTGGCTGGGTGGGATGTGTCCCTGACCTCTGATGATGCCTCTTGCTTGCTTGGATGCAGGATAGAGAGCCGTGTGTGAGTGTGTGCAGAAACTGGCCTACTCTATAAAGGTAAAATTGACACCTGCTGCCCTGCCCACTTTTGCTCTGGCCCCGCCCACCACTAGCTTGTTGGTCCCAGAAGGTTGTCCCAAAGGGATGGGAAAGGTTCTCTGAAGGAATGACCGTCAGGTGTGGAGCACACTTCCACCCGCAGACAAGCCACAGCTGTCTGAACCTCATACCCCCTATCTAACCTTTGCTCTCTTAGTGGTCTGCTGTGCCCTGTCTGTGACCTTTGTCTCCTTCGTTATACATTGTTCAAGGGGGAAATGACATGGTGGAAACAGGTGCCAAAATAACTTTGTACCCCCCCCCACGATCGTGTGATTGGAAGACGTGTAAAGGGCACAGTCCAAAATGTATCTGACTGGTTTTGCATATTGTGCTAATAAAAAGAGCCTCGGCAGAGCTAGCTGGCAGCTTGCTTATGCACAGCTCACCTGCATTACCAACTCCCGCCTCATGCCTTCACTTCAGTTCTCCACTATAGGTTCCCACCAATTAGCAGCATCTCCCCGGGGTTTCTGGTCAGTGGTCTGGAAATGTTGGAGACTGAACTCTGGAGCTTCTTTTGGCAATGCAGCTGCTGGACCACAGGTCTTCCTCTTCCCCAATGGCTCCCAATTCTATTCCAAGCATAGCTCAAACTATTGGTTTTAACCTTGGAAGACCTCTTTGATATAGATCAAGATTGGGGAACTGGTGGCTCTCCAGCCATGGCTGGATTACAACTCCTATCTTCCCTGACCACTGGCCATTCTGGCTGGGAGCTGATGGAAGCTGGAGTCCATCAATCTCTGGAGAACCACAGAGTTCTCCATCCTTCGCCTCCCCTCACATTAATGAAAGCCACTGTGCAGGCGCCTACCTTGCCATGCTGAGGAACAGATCCACCAGCTGGTGCCCAACTTGGAGCGGCTCCTCTGTCAGGAGGGACTCCACCGTTCCTGCGATCCGCAACCAGAGCAGTTCAGTCCAGGCGTCCTGGTTGTGCTCAAACAACGTCGTCAGCAGCTGCAAGGAATGCTTGGCCCGGGAGGCCGAGTGGGATTTGAGGGACTCTTCGACACGAGCAACTATCATTCGAGTGCAAGCCGGCCAATCGCAGTCCATCGAGCTGAGGAGGCGAGACGGTTCGGACTGAACGGAGAAGATGAGCACGCGAGCGAGAAGGCGGGTGGCTCCTGACGCAACAAACAGGCTCGGGTCTCCTTGGAGAGCGAAAATCACATCTAGGGAACCTGGTGTTGAGGGAGACAGAGAGAGAAGGGTGCAGAATAATTTTGTAATAAGGTGCCCCCTGTCCATGATGAGAAGTGGCTTGAGCACTGGGCTAGGACCAGAGGGGAGGGTTCAAATCCCACACGCAGCCATGAAACTCACTGGGTGACTTTGGGTGAGTCACTCTCAGCCCAGCCTACCTCACAAGGTTGTTGTAAGGATGAAACAGGGAAGAAGATAACCATGTACACCACCTTGAGCTCCTTGGGGGAAAAGGTGGGATATCAATGTGATAAACAAAACAAAAAAAGAGAAGAAGAAGGAGAATACTATAAGAGTTTGGATTTGATATCCCGCTTTATCACTACCCAAAGGAGTCTCAAAGCAGCTAACCATCTCCTTTCCCTTCCTCCCCCACAACAAACACTCTGTGAGGTGAGTGGGGCTGAGAGACTTCAGAAAAGCGTGACTAGCCCAAGGTCACCCAGCAGCTGCATGTGGAGGAGCGGAGACGCGGACCTGGTTCACCAGATTACGAGTCCACCGCTCTTAACCACTACACCACGCTGGCTCCCATCCAGCATTTTCATCTGGGTGATGCTTCCCTTGTGCATGTGGGTGGTGCTGTTTTGGCTACGTAAGCAACAGGACTCACAGCACAAACATCGGAAAGGGAGAAAGCGAAAAAGGGCAGCTTCCATCTGTTCAGCAGCGCTTCTCCAATCGCTAGTGAGCTCCATAACCCAACAAATGACCCTACTAGCCATAAGGGGCAGCAGACATTACAAAAGCATGCCGACCCAGAAAACAAGTGGCCCAAGGAAGGCTGGGGAGATCAGAGTGAAGCAGCGCGAGGCCCAAGACAAAGGTCCATCTCTTTCTCATTGTTACAAGCCAGACATCTGCTCTGGAATTATGAGGGTGATGATTTCCATGTCAGAGCCATCAGGGCACATGATGCTTCACAAAAGACAAGGCCTTGCCCCTAGGAGCTTACAAACCAACAGAGGAGAAACAACAGAGGAAGGGGAGCCCAGGCAGCAGGGGGAGACGGAGTGGGAGAAAGCCTGTGGCCCTCCAGATGTGGTTGGACTACAACTCCCAGCAGCCCCAGTGAGTGTGAGCAACTGTCGCGGATGATGGGAGATGTAGTCCTACAACATCTGGCTCCCCAACCCTGCAGGTTTGGGAGCTAAGATGTTCTCAACAGGATTCAAAGGACAGGTTAGCCATGGGTTTTCAGTTTTAGGAGGTCCCACTGCCTTCCTTCAGGGGGGCGGACACGATTCAGCAGCAGATCACCTCTCCAGTAAGACAGAGAGAGCCTTCTTCCAAAACCCTGGACAGATGCTGTTAGGCAGTGTCGAGAATACGAAGTTGGATGGAGCAATGGCCAGACACAGGTGCCTCTCGTGCCTCAGAGGCAGGCCCAGGGATGCTGTATAAATTTTGGCACTTACCAGAGTTGCACAAGAACTGGAAGGCGCTGTAGTGCTTCAGCATGCTGTAAACACCCTGCACCCAGCCGCTCCGGATGGACACGTCTTCCCACAATGCACTGCTCAGAGGCCCCGCTTCTCCAAAGGCACCAAAGACGACTTCTCCCTGCTGAAGCGAGAACAGAAGAAAGCGGGAGATTCTCACGGTCACTGACCTATGACTAACGTCCATTTCTGCGTGGGGGGAAATCCTGAAACACATGCAACCTAGCGCTGCTCTTTTGTGCTTTGTAGGTGGTTATAGTTTAAGGGTTGGACCGATGGGTCCGAAACCCTCAGCGAGTTAGGGGCTTAATAATAATAATAATAATAAATTTTATTTATATCCCGCCCTCCCCAGCCGAAGCCGGGCTCAGGGCAGCTAACAACAATAAAACAGTACAAAAGTACAGCATAAACAACACTCTAAAATCATTCATTATAAAATTAATTAATTCAAGCCACTGGCAACCATTGGGTCAGAGCTCCGCGAAGATTGCCAAGGGAGGGAGTCAGGCTGTGCCCTGGCCAAAGGCCTGGTGGAACAGCTCTGTCTTGCAGGCCCTGCGGAAAGATGTCAAGTCCCGCAGGGCCCTGGTCTCTTGTGACAGAGTGTTCCACCAGATCGGAGCCACAGCCGAAAAAGCCCTGGCTCTAGTTGAGGCCAGCCTAACTTCTCTGTGGCCTGGGACCTTCAAGATGTTTTTATCTGAAGACCGTAAGTTTCTCTGTGGGGCATACCAGGAGAGGCGGTCCCGTAGGTACGAGGGTCCTAGGCCGTATAGGGCTTTAAAGGTTAAAACCAGCACCTTAAACCTGATCCTGTACTCCACCGGGAGCCAGTGCAGCTGGTGTAGCACCGGGTGAATGTGATCTCGCAGCGAAGACCCCGTAAGGAGTCTCGCTGCAGCATTCTGCACCCACTGGAGTTTCTGGGTCAGTCTCAAGGGCAGCCCCACGTAGAGCGAGTTACAATAATCCAGTCTGGAGGTGACCGTCGTGTGGATCACAGTGGCTAGGTCAGGGCGAGAGAGGCTCGCATGCAAAGACAGGCTCTGGTGGATGGAGCCGGCAAGACCAAGAGCGGGTCCAACGGTCAAGAAGGCAGTGCTGAATACAGCACAAGATATTATGGGCTGTCCCGTGAATCCGCTGGATGAAATAGAAGAAGAACGTTGAGGAAAATTATCAGGGATGATTCACACCCTGGCCAGCACTTTTTTGATCTCCTGCCTTCAGGCAGAAGATATAGAAGCAGGATTAGTCACACCAACAGGGTGAAGAACAGCTTCTATCCTGGGCTGTTAGGCTGCTGAATGAAAAGATAACAACAGGGCAACTGACTTTTGGGTTTGGTGGGTGTGCGTCTGTAAATGTGGGGAATTAAGACTAAGAGAGCTGAGTGGGGGGTGCTCGTGTAATCTCACTGTATACAAGTTGTACAAGTGACAATAAAGTATTTCAATTTCTGCAGGTACTGTAGAAGGAAGTGAGGGGAAGATGGGGCTCGTCCACCTGGGAAGGGAGCCCATCCAGGGGAAGGAAAACTCAGGTCCAAACCCCCCACTGCCTTGCAGGGTATCTTCAGGGGGAAGAAAAGGAGTAAGCCCTACATAAATCTGGAGTTCCTAAGATGGCTGGGTGGCACCTTGTACGCCTCCTTCCAGCAACTCCTGCAGCCAAGCTGGTGCTAAAGACTTCACTGACCTGCAGGTGTTGGAAACTACTTTCGGAGGCAGCAAATATCCCAGTGAGCCTCAGGACGAAGGAAAGGATGGTGGGATTTGGCTCCTCTTGTCTGAGCACAGCCAGGACCAGCTCCTTCAAACACGGGTTTTCCTCTAACAGCAACAGGCTGGATCCTGGGAGGGGGGAAAGAGGGGCCAGCAGGGAATGACCAGATGGTTAGTTAGAAGACAAAACTTATGTAGGGCAAAGCCTCTGCGCTCTACTCAGAATTAAGTCCTAGTGATGCAATAGGAAGCTGCCTTGCTCAGTCTTCTCCGCACTGACTCTCCGTATTTTAAGGCAGGGGATTTCCTAGCTCTACCTGGAAACACAGTCTCAACCTGTTAAGAAATTTCACATGCCCCCAGCCCTTCACACCTTATACCCTCGGGAAGTGCTTCCTAACATTTAAAGCAAAATATCCTTTCTTGCTATTTGAACCAGCTGCTTCGAGTTCTCTGGAGCTGCAAATTTGCTCCATCAACTACAACAGGCTTCTCCAACCTGGTGCCCTCACTACATTTTATACGACAACCCCTGTCATCCCTGACAGTTGGCCATGCTGGCTGGAAACTGATGGGAGTTGGAGTCCAACAACATTGTGGGCGGGTGGGCAGATTGCACCAGGCAGGGGAACACTGGTTTCACTTTCTGTCTTGCCAGAGTGGTGCATGCTCTGGTTATCTCCTGCTTGGACTACTGCAATGCGCTCTACATGGGACTACCTTTGAAGGTGACTCAGAAACTGCAATTAATCCAGAATGCAGCAGCTAGACTGGTGACTTGAGAGTGACTGCTGAGACCATATAACACCAGTCCTGAATGATCTTCATTGGCTTCCAGTACATTTCCCAGCACAATTCAAAGTGTTGGTGCTGACCTTAAAAACAGCCTCAGTGCTGTATACCTGAAGGAGCGTCTCCACCCTCATCGTTCTACCCAGACACTGAGGTCCAGCGCCGAGGGCCTTCTGGCGGTTCCCTCCCTGCGAGAAGTGAGGTTACAGGGAACCAGGCAGAGGGCCTTCTCGGTAGTAGCGCCTGCCCTGTGGAATGCCCTCCTATCAGATATCAAGGCAATAAACAACTATTTTACTTTTAAAAGACGTGTGAAGGCGGCCCTGTTTAGGGAAGTTTTTAATGTCTGACACTGTATTGTTTTTTATATTCTGTTGGAAGCAGCCCAGAGTGGCTGGGGAAACCCAGCCAGATGGGCGGGGTATAAATAAATTATTATTATTATTATTATTATTATATTTCGGCTATCACCTCTTTATGATCTCTTTTCTAGGTTAGATATTTGTTAGTGTTGAATTAGGACCTGCGAGACCAGAGTTCAAACCCCCACTCAGCCATGAATTTCACTGGATGACCTGCTTCTCAGCCTAGCCTTCCTCACAGGGTTGTTGTGGGGCTTAAATGAAGGGGGGAGGGGAGAGAAAACCACATATGCTACCTCGAGCTCCTTAGAGAGAAAGGTAGGATATAAATGCAATAAATAAACAAACAAACAAATTTCTATACCACTTAACGCCAAAATCACAAGCTCCAGATAGAGATCCTGTGGCCGTCCAGATGTTCTTGGCCTTCAGCCTCCATCAGCCACAGAACACATAATGAATAGTAGATGGTCACCCATCCTCTGTTTAAAAACTTCTAAGGCAGGACATTCCACCACCTTCCAAGTTGATGGGATATGGAGGGCCACATGGTCTCAAGGCCCCTTGTTTTGTTTTTTTCAAGAGGTGGGTTCCTCTCCACACGTGTGTGACGCTTTAGAGAAGCCTTACAAAACAAACATCTAACCATGGAACTTACCAGTGTTAATCAGCATCTTAAACCAATCCAGCAACTTTTCCAAACAAGTGTCATCCGAAAGGGGGTGCCTTGGATCTGCCAGAATCGTACATACTGAAGGCAGAAGTTGAGAGCACTTTCTATCCATGGCGAGTCTCGGTCTTTCCGTTCTGTTTTTTTCCTCATGAAAGAGTGTAAGAACAAGGCAGAACTTACAATGCAGGAAAAACATGTTGTTTTTGAAGAGGAAACTAAACCGGAACATGGGATCTTGCATTTAAATCTAATGTCCCAACTGTACTCAAATGACAGCGAAGTGACCTGGTTTCACCCACTCTCATTTAGGATCGGACCCAAAGCTACTGTTTTGAGGGCTACGGAGGTGAACTTGACTAAAACTGGGGAGCATCAGGGGGTGGGACTCACGGGTTCCATTAAGCCCCTTCTTTCCTGCTCCGTGATCAAAGCATTGCAGCTCAGTGCTGTACCTGCTTACTCAGAAGTAAGGCAGCAGAAGCAACGAGTTCAGCTTGAGTTTATTATCAAGTACAGTAAGTGCACCTCTCGGGGTCCCCTAGGAATCCAGCTCTCCGCACGCACAGCTCGGCCGGCGCGATCAGTGATTACTCAGAAGTAAGTGCCACCGACTTCCACAGAACTAGCCTCCCCAACAGTTTGTGCGCCTATCACTTCTGCTTTAATTGGGAATAAGCCACAGGAATCTCTGGAGAGTTCACCAAGCAAGCATGCAAACGCCGCGATCCTGGAGAGGAACCCCGCTGAACCAAACGGGACTTGCTCTCCGAGCAAACGTGGCTTGGATCGGGTTGCAATGAAATCCTCGCGCGCTGCTATCGCAAACACCTTACCTGCCCAGTTTCCCTTCCAAGCGCTACTGGGCATGCGCAGTTCATCTTCGGCGGTGAGCATGCTCAGTAGCGCAAGCGAAGCCTCCCGCATTCCTGCCTTGCCAGCACTTGGCCTGAGATTCTCCAGGCTCGCTAGCCAAAGCATCTGTGGAGAGCAAGGAGAGCCTTTTTCCGAGGCGCGACTGCAGGGCATGGGTTGCACCAGAGGGATCTGCCGGAATCGGGTCAGAGAGGTTTATAAAGAGAGAATTACTCCAACCTCCAGACGTTTTGGACTACGTCTCCCTTCAGCCCCTGCGACTATGCCCATAAGGCCTGTGGTAGCTTGCAGGGGCTGATGGGAGTCGTAGTCCAAAACATCTGGAGGGAACCAAGTTGTGGAAGACAGATGTGAGATGTGAGTGTTATATTTAGGTATAACAGTGATGGCCAAACTTGGCTCGCCAGCTGTTTTGGGACTACAACTCCCATCATCCCTAGCTAACAGGACCAGTGGTCAGGGATGATGGGAACTGTAGTCCCAAAACAGCTGGAGGGCCAAGTTTGGCCATCACTGACATATAAGCTAAACAAGCTATAGCTTAGGGTCCCACTCTCTTGGCGCCCCCCAAAAAATTAAAGGGAAAAAACCTGGGTGTACATTTCCAAAATATAAGATAAAAAACAAATAAAATAAAACCTACATACAGCAAAAGTGTTATGTGTTGTGTAAGCTATTTGTTATGTGTAAATGGTTTTAGATACCTATTAGGTCCATAAATTACCGTATAGCATATATGCAACACAAAAAACAGCGACCATTTGTTGTTGACAAAGGACAGCTGGACATATAAAGGGCCCCATTACCTTCAGGAGCTTAGGGCCTCATCAAACCTAAATCCCGCCCTGGTTACATGCACATGCGCACACGTTGACAAAGAAGTTTTGGATCTTAGGACGGGAAATTGTTTCCATTTGGTTGTGTCCTTTTTGATGTGTTTGATTGATTGTTCATGGCTTCTGTTACGTTTGTAATTCTGTAAATCTTGTCATGTAGGCCGCCTTGAGCATAGTTTCAACTATGGAAAGGCGGCATACAAATAAAATGATGATGATTTATTTATTTATTTTTGTGAGCCACCTTGGGGGCGGGGCACCTTTGGCCGAAAGGCGGCACACATACAAATAAAAGGATAGCACATTAAGGGGGGGGGGGCTTTCAACACTTAGGATCGGGACAGCGGGCAGCGGCGCAGCCAGATCCTGTGCACATTCTCTCTTCCCGTCTCCCCATTGCCCTGCACGCCCAAGCCAAGAGCAGCAGCAGCGAGAGATCCTCTCCCCAGAGCCAGCCTGCGCTCGCTTCTGCGCCTGCGCGCCTCTCAACCAGCAGCAAGCGCGGCACTTCGGGCAAGCTCTCGTTCGGCCCGCGCCTTTGTTTGTCAACTCCGGCGGCGGAGCCTCCCGGCCCGGGCTCGCCCCGCCCCCCATCCGGGTCCTGGTTGCCGCGGCAGGTTGCCATGGAACCCGAAACCCGGAAGCGGCGAGGAAAGGCCGCCGGAGTCGGAGAAAGGGCCGCGGCCGCCTCGGGTGAAATGGTGGTTTCGCTGGCCCGGCCGGCGCTTCCTCGCTATGTCTCAGAGCCCCGACGAGGCCGCCGCGGAGCGGGAGCTGGTGAGGGGCGAGGAAGGGGGAAAGCTCTCCCGGCAGACAGGCAGGCAGGCCGGCCTTGGGGGAAAGGGAGCCTCTCCTGCGCCTCGCCTCTCTCTCTCTCCCGGCTGAGGGGAGGGGAGGCCTGGTGGGGCGGGAGGCCGGGGGTCGAGGAAGGGGGCAGCTGCGGGACAGCCAAGCCTTATGGCGAGGGGGGAGGCAACATCTCCCTCTCCACCCCACCCCCCGCGATGCCCCCACTATCCGCCCCTCCATTGAACTCAGAGGGGCTTCCTCTGGGGCAGCAGGCGGGTCAAGGGTTGCCCCATCCCTGCGTGGGATCCCTCAGCTGCCCCAGTGCCGGATTTACGTATAAGCTAAACAAGCTATAGCTTAGGGCCCCACTCTCTTGGGGGCCCCAAAAAAATTAAAGGAAAAAAACAACTGGATGTACATTTCCAAAATTGTATTTCACTTCAACAATTACTTTGATAAAATACATATTTTGTTATGTGCAAATGGCTTTAGATACCTATTAGGTCCATAAATTACTATATAGCATCTATTCAACACAAAAACCAGCAACCATTTGTTGTTGACAAAGGACAGCTGGACATATAAAGGGACCCATTACCTTCAGTAGCTGAGGGCCTCATCAAACCTAAATACGGCCCTGAGCTGCCCCCTTTGCTCTGGCAAAAGACAGGACAGGGCAGTGGGTGGACGATGTTTTTTTTTGGGGGGGGGGGTTCACAAAGTGACTTCAAAGCAACCTGTTGCAATCTATTGCAGCCTCACAGGATGGTTCCTCTGGAATTTATCACACACAAACGCATGGATTTGTAAATCTGCCTGTGCTTTGCGACCCAGAGCTTAAATAACACGCAGCCCTTCATGCCCCCTTTCCAACACGTGCATTTGGAGAAGGTCCCTAATATGGCAGAGAGAGAGAGAGAGAAGACCTGAAATGCAGGGCAAAACTGTATCAATACAGGACATAGCATTTTACATTGAAATAAATGGGACAATCCTGTATTATACAGGACAGGTGGCAACCGTAGCCTGCTGCTGCTTCCTCCTCCTCCTCATCTCTGTCTCCCACCCACCTACGCTGGCAAACCTAAGAAATAAATGAATCCAGCCTTCAAAACTGATATGCACCGTTCATAAAGGCTAAGGCCACATTCACACTGGACATGTAAAGCCCGCGATGCTGCTTTAAACAGTTGTGGCTTCCTCACCGAGAATTTTGGGAGCTGTAGTTTGTTAGGGAGGCAAAGAGTGAGTAGGAGGCCCCCTGCTCCCCTCCTACAACTACGGTTCCCAGAGTGGTTTAACAGTCTCTCTCCTTCACAGGGAACTCTGAATATTGTAACTGTAGAAAGGAAAACGGGCATATCCCAAAAACTCTGCACCCTTAACAGACTACAGCCCCCAGGATTTTGTGGGGGAAGCTTCACAAGAACTTACAAGTAAAGATTGACCTTCATGAAACTGGAGCTTTTTAGCTGAAAAAAAATATGGAGTGGGGGTGCAATGTGTTTATGTAGGACATGGGCAAAGACAAATCTTTCTGCTTCCCTTTTAATAACCCATCACAGTCACCCAGTACAATAGGTGATGCAATATTAATTTGTGGGACTTACCTACAAGGTGCGGTGGTGGCTTAAAGGCTTATGCAAATTTGGACGAGCTTCTTACAACTAGATGGAACTTTTGTGTTCAGAATTGCTTCCAATGGCAACCAGTCACAAGCTGGACTTGAAAGTCGTGCCTGTATTCTGTTGTTTGTCCTCAGTATCTGGTACATAAAGCAGGTTTTTCCCCACTGCAATGGTCTATAGCTATTGACAGACCTATTTTCTATGACAAATACCTTCTTGTGCATGCCAGTGATCCCAGGATCACACAAAGGCACCAATTCTCTGCCCCTTCTATCCTCCTGATGTCTTGAATTTAGTCTTTTCCACAGTGCTCATTGAGTTTATTTCTATTTATTGCCCTTATATCCCACATTTTTCTCCAAGGAGCTCAAGGTGGTGTGCATGGTTCTGCCCCTCCTCATTTAATCCCCACAATGACCCTGTGAGTTAAGTTAGACTGAGAGGTAGTGACTAGTCCAGAGATCACCCAGTGAGCTTCATGACCAAGTGGGGATTTGAACCCTGGTTTCCAAGGGCCTAGCTTGACACTCTAACCAGGCATAGGCAAACTTGCCCCTCCAGATGTTGGGACTCCAACATCCCTGACCACTGGCTCTGTTAGCTAGGGATGATGGGAATTGTAGTCCCAAAACATCTGGAGGGCCGAGTTTGCCTATGGCTGCTCTAACCACTACTCTGCACAGCTGGGAATATGGTCCTTGCAGTTCTATCATGTGATAAGAGGACTAGCTTTAAATTGCAGTGCCTTTTACCAGAGCCCCGTGCAAGAATTAGAATAAGCTTATTTTAGGAATATCCCATAACTTTGACATAACATCTCATATGTTATCTTTATAACATTGTGTGCAAGCCTTACCCTCAAATGTCCTATGAGCAGATTAGAGGGAAAGCTCAGTCCTATGCATGTTCACTCAGAAGTAATTCCCAATGTGTTCAGTGGGGCTTAGTTCCAGGTAAGCATGCATAGGAGTGCAGCCTTAGGTGGTTTATTTATCATTTATGTCCAGATTTGGAATTAAAGTGAAGCCTCACAATTTATTTACTGCATTTTTTTCTTCTCCTTTTCAGACAAATGTGGCTCACATCAAAAAGAACAAAATCAGTCTTTATTGTTATTGTAATGTTTATTAGAAGTAAAGTGTCCCCCTAGGCATAATTTATAACTCCATGGATTAAAATTTCCTGACCACTATAAAATAGAGGCATCACCTAAAGTTTCAGTTGATTAATCTGCTGCTTAAACCAGTCAAACACACCCTTAGTTCTTCTTTCTAAGCTATCTGTGACGTGCAGATTGCTGTGTTTTCTGTTCTTAGCATTAGCACAATGGAAATCTTCTTCTGAAAGTTGTTCCATCACTGTCTCTTGAGATTTATATCTCTTTCATTTAATTCCTCCCAGGTAACGGGAGAGACCAGCTCTTAGAAATTTCTGCCTATGCTCCACTCTCCTGGAGGTGGTTATCCATCTGCCTTCAAGCTCTGCGGTCCTTGCCTCTTTCACAGTCTGATCACTCACTAACATTGCAGGGCAAATTGGATAGGGAGATATAGCCTGAGATCAGATGCCTGAAGGATAGCAAAAAAATAATCTGCCAGTATGCCTTGAAGAATGTGACTTCAGGAAATTAAAAACTCTGTGATGCGCTGTGTGGCCCGTGTCTGCCTGCAGTGAGCCACCAGGAAGCCAGTTTATCTCTCCATGCCGCTATCCAGGCTGTAAATACCAGCCTCCCCCCTCCCCCCGCAATTCTGCCTTTTACACAAAGCAAAATCTAGATCTAACCTAAGGACCAGACTGGTGGGGCTTATAAGTATGGGTGAAAGCAGCAGCAGAAATGAACTGCAAGGTACTTCTTTAGAGAGTGACCTATTTGCAAAAAATGGGTGGGGGACAACGCCACTATTTTTAAAAGAAATTTTAAAAATATTGGGAAATGAGACTAAATCCAACCTGCCCCCCCCCACCCTACTAATAACATTGTGTCATGTATTTCCACAGCTCTCCTGGAAATTCATGCAAGCAGATTTGAGTTGAAATCTGGTGCCTCTGAATGGTGCCAGGACATTATGAAGAAGTTCAGGGATAGGGAACCCAGGGCCCATCAGACATTGCTGGACTACAGCTCCCATAATCCTTGAGCATGGAGATGCTGGCTGGGCCTGGTGGGGGTTAGAGTCCAACAGTATCTAGAAAGCCGCAGGTTCGCATGCAGAAAAAGTCCTATACGTATGCATTTTTATTCTGCAGGCAGAGGACAGTCTTTCTGCAATGACGTTTGAATCTGACACAGAAACGGTGAGTTTTACAAGGCTGTTCTCTTTCTGTACACTTTACATACTCTTTCAGTGACTGCGCTTTCATACAATGGTAAACCAGTCTCAAGTGCTCTGTGGATGAGCCCAGAGCAAGCCAAATTGTCAGGCTGGCACTCGCCTTGCTCCCCGTGACCTAGAGCTAAACATTTGACAGAGTTTCATTTCATTTTTAAGGAATCCCAACTTAGCCTCATGGTCATATCATGGGATCCTGGTTTTAAACAAACTACGGTTAGTTTCATAACAGTATTCATAATATTCCATTTGGACTGATTTGTGTACAGCATGGTGATGATATTGATGCAGGTGTTCTTGAGTTTTTAAAACACCTTGGGAGGAATTTTCTCCTGTTATATAATGTGGTAGTTTTTTTCCCCCCAGCAGCAAACTTAATATAAGGCATGTAGGTGTGAATTTGTTTCATCTATTGTGACTGTTTGTTTCCAGGCAACAATTCTGGGCTCATCTGGGTATTTCTCTGGACCACTCCACTAATCCCAAATCTGCAGCATTCATTGTTCTAGTAGTAGTTGCTAATATATAAGAAGCTGTTAGTAGTAAGCCTATTTTTACAAAAATAAGTGGGCTTTACTTTGTCCCTGGTGTCTGTCTGTGTGTGTGTGTGTGTGTGTATATAGTAATGCTACTGTAATATGTAAGTGTAAGTGAGAAACCTGGACAAGGAACAAAATTAGATGTTTTACTTTTACAGCATTGTAAGATATTGTTTTGTTTATTGCACAGAGAGGGAGCATGTGGTGCTTCAGCTGTTGTTGGGTCCAGCATCATCTGAAGGGCCGCAAGTTCCCTATTCCTATTTTATTGACTTATTTTGATGAAAATTTCAGCTTTCAGGTTAGCAATTTGTTGATAAAGTTTTGGAACTTTAGTAAACCTGGCTGGCTAATTAGAACCCCACTTTCTACATACGTATAATGGCAGTGGTGCTGTTGTTCCCTGCTCAGAAAATAAATATACTGTTTGTAGCTATCATGTGAATCCAGACCAATGAAATTGGTGAATTTCAGTGCCAAATAAATATTTATTTCAGAAACTGAAGAAGAAAACATCTCGCAAGCCTCCAAAATCACCAAGTAAGCATGACTAGACCGTTCCCTTTCCCTGAAACCACCTAATGACAATGCGTCATTTGATTCTCTGTCGTTCTCTAGCATGAAATATGCTTCAGTGCAATGAGGAGGGGAGTCTGAGCGTGCTGGGATAGGGAATTGAATGGTCTCTCCAAAAAAGCTTTAAGATAGGAAGATAACCTTTAAGATAAATATTACTGGCTGCTTTTACCTGGCTAAGGAATTCAGCCTTTTATTATCTTGTGGTTTACATACTTCTCATTATATGTACATTACTCTGAACAATAGCATCCTATATCCAAGTAGCAATTCTAAGGCAATTAGTTCATACATCCTTTGCAGCTTTACTCAGATGGAATGTTAGAAGCTTATTGCTGCTGCAGTTTTAATCCATAGCACTGACAGGTGTGTGTTTTTTTTCTTGCCTCAGAGTCTCCGTACACCTCTAGCACATGTTTCCATTCTAAAAAGGCTGGATTTCTGAGAACCTTGAAGGGCACAGACAGTAAGCACTTTGAAATCCCCTTGGTTAAACCATCAAGGCAGCTGTGGCACGGATCGTTCAAGCAAGGTATCCACATGCAAAATCAGTTCCTTCTACAAGCTTCTTACTGCATAATCTTTGAGATGTGGGAACAAGGGCAATATATCTCTTTCCCATGCCGTGAAGGTTAAAAAAAAAAAAGAGTATCCAAAATGGGAGGAGCTCCTGCCAGCCCTGCCCCACTTTCTGGGAGGAGCTACCAATGGGCTCCTCCCAAGTGACCTAGGGGTTCTTCTGTTACCTTTGAATATCAGTTGCTTCACCATAGGATGACGCATCACCTCCGCCAGCTCTGTTCTTGCCGCATGTAGATTACACATTGCTTTGTCCTATTACTGTGACTTGCCACTCTTCCAGCACTGCTAACATGGCAGCCACTTCACAACCTTCACACCTCCTGGGCTGTGCTGCTTTTGTCTTTCTATAGCAATTCAGTCAACTCTTCTGCGTTCTCCCCTTGCCCTTTCACTAGGTGCTTGGATGAACCAGACGAAGTCGGACCCTGACGTGGGTCCTGTGCTGACCGCTCTTCCTGGCAGCACACCAGAGTATCTGAAGGAAGCTTTGGGCATGAAGAAGCCAAAACACGCTCGCTCTGCCGGCAGTGGTGAGTCACAAAAAGGGAACAGCAGCTTTAGGATGATCCGTAATGGCGAACAGGTTGCATTTCAGGGTAGCTTAACCTTGAGAAAACCTTCATGTGCTTTCAAGGACTTCTGAAGCAAGGAAAATCTGTTTTGGTCCTGTGGTGCCCGTCAATAAACTTGTGACATAGATAAATTCTTAGAATCAAAGGATTGTAGAGTTGGAAGGGACCCCAAGGGTCATCTAGTCCAACCCCCTGGAATGCAGGAATCTCAACTAAAATATTCTTAGTAAACTTGCAATGACAATAAGTCCAGGTGCAATACCAAATATAAGTGGTATACGATTTTAATTAAAGGTAAATGCTCCAGTGAGTTTGCAACAGGTGCAACTTTTTAAACTTGCAAAAAATGTAAAAATCAACTGTCTCAGATGTTTTCTGAGATTTTTATAATGGACAGGAAGTCATTGCAGTCTTGGAATATTTCTACCATTCCTTTTGGCTCCCATTTATTTATTTGGGGATGATCTTTTCCAGGCTACATCCCTGGAACTCCAGACTACAAAGAAAAAGAAGATATGTATGATGAGATAATTGAATTAAAGAAGGTATGGATCACAAACTCAACATATTTATTTTTTTCTGTTGCACCTTTCAACCCAAAGGTGTCCAGGGTGGTACACAATATTTTATAAAATGCATGCACTAGTACAGAGATAAGAAAACCAACAATATACACAAAGTAGGTTTTTCTTTTGTTTTTTAAAGCAAAGTCAAAAGGAAATCCAGCAACACCTTAGGTCTTACTTCAGCCATTTTCATAGGCCTGAAGAAACAAGCATGTCTTGACTTGATGCCTCTGTCTCTGCACCAGGCAAAATGCAGTTTCTGAAGACTCTTAGCTGTAAGGGGGGGGTGGAGCTTGGGCTTAACGGATGCAAAGAAATCTCTGCAAATCTGTAGGGAGTATCTGCTCAGGATCTGAACAGCTGCTGGCAGGATTTCCAGGAGGGAATAGTAATTAGGCTCCAATAATAATAATAATAATAATAATAATAATAATAATAATTTATTTATACCTCGCCCGTCTGGCTGGGTTTCCCACCCAGGGCCCCTGTTTGGGCTGAACCACTTTCCCTTCCTGTTTGCCTTCTACTTCCATATTCCTTGACCTCATATTCTGACTTCCACTGCCCTGTCATTTAGCACATCATCTCCAGTTTCCCATTCCCTAGTTGCATGGAAGGCCTTCTGGCACAGTGGAGAAAGCGAGATGGAGCTGTGGGAATGGGGGAAGGATGCTGCGCAGGGCAGGGAGCCTGGGTGAAGAATTGTGGGGGGTTTTTATTGCTTCATCTACTCTCTCCATTAGTTCTGTTCTGATTTTTGAGATCTGGGGGCCGGCAGTTCTGTTTTGCTTTTGTAAAAACAACAACAACAAGCAAATGCAAAAGGAAGAATGTCACTGATGTTTATTTACCGTGGAGCTGCAAGGAGAAATTTGTCAGAATGGATGTTCTGGCTCCACTGTCAGAGGCAGTGTGGCTGTGAATGCCAGCGGCTCGAAACTGCAGGGATGCTGGACTAGATTAAGGTTACCAGGCGTCCCCGTTTCCTGGGGACAGTCCCCGGATTTACAAATCAGCCCCCTGACAAAATCCTATCATTCCTACTGAAGTTGAAAAGTGTCCCCGGATTCATTGAAAAAAGTCTGGTAACCTTACACTAGATGGGCCATGGGCCTGATCCAGCTGTGCTCCTCTTAAGTCAGCACAAGTAGTGCACACAAACCCTCTTTGTTACAGACAATACAAGCCCAGAAAAGTGAAGCAGATCGGATGAAAACCAAGCTTCGGCGACTCGAAGAGGAAAGTAACCGAAAGGACAAACAGATTGAACAGCTCCTGGATCCCTCCAGGGTGAGTTGTGCGCTCCTGGGTAAAAAAAATGCAGTTAAGGGAGAAAGGTTGAATCTATTCACTTCGCTCTTGGTTTTCTAAACAGGACAAGGAAAATACTTCCTAACTGGGGCAAGAAAGGCACAGTAATGTCTGTCTGTAGTATTTGTTTGTTTTATTTGTACAGTTGTAGGATAGAGAGAAACGCCTGCTTTACTGTTGTAAATCACCTTGATGTAATGGGTGCTCACTGTTTTAGATACATTATATAATGAAATAACAACAACAACAATAATAAACTTTATACCCCAAAAAGATATAATGGTTGCTCTGTAAAAAATAGTAATACAAAATTAAAGATTCCAGTTGCACAACTCTGGGAACATTTTTGTCCTTTAAAAATTTATATCCCTTCCTACCTTCCTTTTACCATCGGACTCAAGGCAGCAGACATCTAGTGTCTCATCCAGGCAGTGACCAGACCCAGACCTGCTTTGCTTCACAAAGAGAGCTGCATCATGTGCCCTCAGACCATACCTTGGTCTATTTATAGCCAGAAAGTCTGGAGGATGGCAGCTTGAGGAATGTAGTGAAAGTTTGTCAGTGAGAGCTAGAAGCATGGGGCTGAATTTTGTCCCAAGAAAGGTGCCTGGTTCAAATTTTTCCTCTACTATGATCTCACTAGATGATCTTAGGCAAGCCAAGTTCTGTTTTTAGCCTCAGCCACCCCACTCCCCTCAAATCTGCAAGTTGGGGATAAAAAATTTTGGGTGAGGATCACAATAAAAGGACATGAATTGCTATGAAAAGGGTCCATCTTCATTTTTTATCTTGTGCAAAGCACTTGGGTTCATGAAACACCTTGTGAATAGTGAATAATGTTAATGTTCTTGTTTTTACAGTGGTCTGAATTTGGCTGGATGCGGACAGAGCAGAAAAATGATACCAGCTCGGTATTGTGCCTTCTCTTTTCCCTATCTTCCTTTCTAGCTTAAGAATTGTTGGTGGACCAGAACATACTGGGTTTGTAGAGTGACCAAGTGGCTAAACTGTGTATTACAGTACACAAGGTGAAAGTGCTCATGAAATGCCAGAAGGTTTTCTTTTGTTTTTAATGTGGATGTGCTTGCATCTGGATTCGGAACTCGGTTTATTAAATTGCCCTGAATTGCAAAGCACACTACAAAAATGAACACAGAACCTTCCTCTAGGCTTGCAGCCAAAGAATAAAGACAAGAAACGTTAAAGAGGAAAATCAAGTAAGTAGGCAGGAGAGGCCAGAATATGCCAGGATGAATGGATGTTCTAAAGCGGAAGAGAGGTGGGTGTCAGGTGAAAGGCTAATTTGAGTCCTGGGGAGATGCAGAGAGAAACAGGCAGGGAATAGAGAAGGCAATGGGGGACAAAACTAGAAGAGTAGCAGAGCAAAGGGTTCAAGGAAAAGCATCTAGGGAAAGAAGGTGGGGCAGGACCATTAAGATGCTCAGTAGTAAATGCAAGAGGCTTATACAATACGTGGGGGGGGGGGAGCCAGCGAGGAGAATGGCACAAAATAATAGGATTGAAACAGAAAATACCAAACTAGCAGCAGCATGTTATGGTAGAGTGACGTGGCCTAAGAGTTGGCGTAGGAAGACCAACAAGAGAAGAATTGCAATAATCAAAGGAGAAAATAATAAGAGGGTGGATTAAAGTGTTGGCAATGTCTGTAAAAAGGAAAGAGAAAATGCCAGATGTATTAAGTGGTTGAAAAGACAAGACCTGGCAAGAGCCTGGACATCAGCAGAAAAAGGAAGAGAATGGCTTTTAAAAAAAAATAAAAAAGGGAGGAGGAGAACAGAGAACCAGATTATCAATGTGAGGTTAAAAAGGGCTGATAAGCAAGAAGAAAACAGCTCCATTTTAGTACAGCTAAGCTTGAGGGAAATGGGCACCCGTCCAATGAGAGGTGGTGAAGAAAGCAGCAGAGATTGAGGCAAGAGAGGAATGGAAAGGTTGAGTGAAGAACAGCAGAGCTAAAGGTCACCCGCATAAAGGTTGTATCGAAGGTCAGGAAAATAGATAATGAGACCAAGACACAGCACCTAGAGAAGAGGATGCTGGGGAACTTTGATAGAAAGAGGGAAATGTGGTTTCTGTTTTCCTTTCCTTTATTTTGTTGTATTCCCAGTTGATCCCTTTGTCTCAGGAGGTTCATACTGACCTGCCTTTTGCTGAGACTGCCCTGCCTCTCATGGGTTTGTAGGCAGCGCAGACCAATGGTGAACTGTGTACGCACAATGTCTTAGGCAACGTGTGCTTCAGGAGAGGCCCTGTGTGCTTTCTCTTTGATAGATGCTCAACGGATTGAAGCAGAAGATCCTTAAACTGGAGCAGCAGTGCAAAGAGAAAGACAACACTATTAAGTATGCCAAATTCCATCTGTTTGTTCATTTAATAGTTTTCACCCTGCTTTTCCATCCTTGCAGAAGTTCAAGGTTGCTAGCAATAAATCAGTTACAAAAGCATGTTGGAAACATAGGTGACAATACCAGCAAGCAAAATTGAGCTAAACCAGGAGCGAAGCCCATGAAAGGACCGAGCAGATCAGGGGCACCATCTCCTAGGGGCTGAGCTCTTTTGCCCCGCCCCATAATTTGGGGGGGAAGCCATCCCCTCCCCCCAGTTTCAGCTGGAGGAGGCAGAGAGGAGGAGCCGCCAGCCATTGAAGCCGTGCTGGCGCCATGTTTGGCTCCTCCCGGTTTTGTGACACCACGTGCGTATGACACCAGCCCCCAACCCAATCTGAAACAGATAGTTACCATATAGGCCCAAAGCATCCTGAAAAAACAGCATCTCGTCCGGCGGGGGGGGGGGGGGGAACGACGACCAATTAGGCATTCCAGGACAAAGGGTTTCACAGCACACACCACCAGTGGGAAGGCCTTGCTTGCACACCTGTTATGGCAAAACCACTTGTGGGTTGTAGAGCAGGGCCTCTGTTGAAGTTCTAAGCATTCATAGGGGAGGAGGCAGTCCTTACGATGCTAAGGTTCCCAAGCGTGGCGCTTGCGTTGAAGATTGTATTGTGCTGGGCAGAGGGAGATGGCAAAAGCATTATGTGTCGGAGGCAGATGCTATGGCCACTGCAATCCTGTTCTGGAGCAAGTGGACTTTCTCTGATGCTGCTGAAATATAGATTGCCCCACGAATGATTGCTCCATTTCTGACAGCCATGAATTATATGAAAATGCAGTTGCTAGGAGAAGAATGGGAACATCCTCTTACAAGTGTGATGTGCTTTGGTTCCTCAGGGCAGCCTGAGTGGCCTGGTGGCCTCGCACATTGTCTACGAGAATCTAGTGCAAGTCAGTAGACTAGACCAGGGAGATGACACGCCAGTTGGTGGTGGCATCTGCCCCCCAGAGAAATTTTCCAAAAGCCTTCTTAAAGCAATCAGAAACATTGGTTACGATCAGTACTGTTGGTGATAATTTTGTTTTACAGTAAGGGGCGAAAAAGGAATTCCTGCTGGCTTCACTGTTAACAAATGTTCATGGTTAATTTATGTCTCTTCTTCTGTTCTGACGGTTTCTACATCTTTTATTTTTCTAATGTGTGTTTTCTATCGCTAAAAAGCAAACTCCAGACAGATGTGAAAAGCACTAATGTGGAAGAAATGAAAATTGCCCTGCAGACCTATTACGAGGAGGTACATTTTTCTTTTGCTCATGCTAAAGGGGGAGAACATAATTAGAAAATTTCAGTAAAAAGATGGAACCAACTTAGGTTTGGATTCTGTGTCCCAAATGGGTTCTCCATGTTTCCCTCCCAATGAATGATGGGTAAATGTGTCCATTGTTCATGCTGCTGGATCTCATGCATTTCTTACAACAGAATTTCACCATGGAGAAAATGCTTCTCCGTTACATGGGCAACCCAAATAGTTTCTTAGGGCTGTGATGTATAGGGGTGTCAGAAAAGCATTGTGCAACCTGAGAGGTATGTACACCCAGATACGGCGATGCAAACTTAGATGGCCACAGACGATGCCAGAGCTGTGCTCTGGGAACCCTCTGCAAAATTGCAAGGCTTCCTAGTTGATTTCACGGTGCAACTTCTTAGTTACCAGAGTGTCACCATCCTATCTTCCTGCTCTCCTTCGCTCCTTTTCGCCCACCTGATGCAGCTTGGTAGCAAATGCTTATGAAGCAGCTTCCTTCGCACCTTGGTCCTTGCTCTGTCTCCCTGCTAACGCAAGCCATCCTTTTACAGATCCAGCGACTCCAAACCCTACTGGCAAAATCGAAGACGGTGCAACGAAAGTACGTTTATTTCTTCGGGGCTGTATGCATGTGTATAAGTTTTTGCTCGCTAATTTTTATACTTCACTAATAGCGGTGAAGTGAGAAGATGTTAAGAGCTTTAAAAAAAATATCTCATCACTTAGACGTTGTTTTGGGTTTCTTTCCCCAATGATGGATCTTTCATGTCCTACCTATGTTTCATTATTTCCAACTAAAGAGAAAAGGAAGTTTGTTGAAGGTATTTCCTACTAAGGTATGTCACCAGGTAAAGCAGGGGTGGGGAACCATATTTCTGATGAATAGTTTATCTCTGAGGTAATCTGCCAAGGGCTGTATGCTAATAGGGGGTGGAGCAGAAGTCGGAAGTGGGTGGAGCCAGAGTCAATAGTGGGTGGGGCTGCCCCTTCTCTTTCTTTTTGACATGCCCTTTGCTGTCTCTCTCTCTTTCTTCCCACTTAATGGGCTGCTGGGGGGAGGAACAGGTTACTCTTGTCAGAGGTGTGAACTTGCAGAGGGCTTTTGAAATTAATTCAAGAGTCTCGTGAAATTAGGCAGATAACTGCAGTTTCTGACCTTTGCAGTTTTAGGTTCACATCCACATATTATGAAAACTGTACTCTTAAGTCAAGACAATGGCCTCTTAAAGGCTAAAATCTAGTTGGTTGGCTGGCATTCCATCTCATGAAACAATTGAATTTAAGGTAATTAAGGCTGCAGCCTTGATACCTTCTTAGGTAGAAATGGGTACACTGAAATAAGTAGGATTTACTTTTAAGATGGAGGCTCAAGTCACACTGAAGTCAGTACCCTCCCTGATCCTATAAGTCCTATTGATTTTACTGCACCTTATTTTCCGAGCTCCAGTGAAAGCACTTCAGACTGTAGCTAAACCATTTTGAAATTATCTACTTCCTTTCCACTGCATTATTATCAAGTTAAATTTTAAGAACATGTTCCTATGGAACAGCAAAATATATTTCATAGCAGGATCAAGTTGTAAACCATTTGAAAACAATCAAAAGCAGTGAAGCAGAATTCTGAGATAGCCTTTAATTTAAGCAAATAACCCCTCATCCTGACCCCAAAGAAGGCTGCCTTTAGAAATTGGTAGAATTCTGTGTAGTCATCTAGTCATTTAAGCGTTCTCAGGTGAATGTGTCATGGAAATTACATACCTTCCAACAAAAAATAATCCCACAGTCAGGGCTCCCTATGTATTCTGCAGGCTTAATTATAAGTATCGATGTGGAAACTTGAGGTTCCCCTTTTTCATTGGTTAAAAATAAATAGATGTTTCCAGTCCACATGCTTACAAAAAGAGAAAAGATTGGAAACATACAGGAAATTTTGATCTACCCATGTCTTGGGAACAATTGAAGCTCTAGGACCAGCATGGGGAACCTGTGGCTCCCAGTTCCCATCAGCCCCAGGCAGCATGGCCAATAGCAAGGGATTATGGGAATTGTAGTCCAACAACATCTGGAGGGCCTCTGATTCACTGCCCCTGCTCTAGGACATGGGCAGCACCTCCAGCGTTTGGGGCAGAGTCTCAAGTCCTGTGCAATTATTCCTCTACCCTACATGCCATGCTTGCAACAAGCCTCTAAGCAAGTAGGTACCAGTTGAATCTGCGCCAAGAAGTTTGGGAATATCCCAGGTTAGTTGATCTGGGGGATCGTGGGGGTGCACATCCTGCACCCAGATCCAAAGCACATTGCAAAAGAGGGTAGATTAAGGGAACGCTTCTGTATAAATGTGGTGGAAATAGCATTTATCCTTTTTTCCACTGAATGAAGGTTCCCAAATCCATGTTATGCGATTCTTCCTCAAATGCCACATTTCTACCACTCCTTTGGTTCAGTCTGGCGGGTTGCAGTTTCCCCCACCTAAATCCACTTACCAGTTTTTCATAATCTCCCCGCTACACATACATGCATAACTTCCCTGTACTTGCCTCTCATCTCCCCTTGAGCACTTGCAAATACACTTAGTGACATATACATACAAACTCCCAAGTTGTATGTATACTGACACATACATACAAACTCCAAGTCCTGCCTCAATCCCAGCTTCACTGAAGGGGGCAAATCAATGGCTTAAGGTTCTGGGTTGTCACTTCAATCAAACTGAAGTATCTAGAGGTAATTTTTAGTCTGTATTCACCATGCAGAACTTTAGGTTAACCCGGAAGGGACCACAACCTAGTGATAAGACTACAAGTTTGCATGCAAAATGTCTCCTGGATCCAGTCCCTAGCTTCTCCACGTACAAGGGCTCAGACAGCAGGTGCTGGAGAAGGAAACCCTTCCAAGCTGATGCCCATCAGAGTAGACACGACTAGGTTCAATCCTCATACGGCGCAGCTGCATATTCCTGCATTGAAGGGGGTTGGACAAGATGATCCTCAGGGTCCCTTCCAATGCCATATACCGTATTTTTTGCTCTATAGGACACACTTTTTCCCCTCCAAAAATGAAGGGGGAAAGTGTGTGCGTTCTATGGAGCAAATGCAGGCTTTTGCTGAAGCCTGGAGAGTGAGAGGGGTCGGTGCGCACCGACCCCTCTCGCTCTCCAGGCTTCAGGAGCTATCCGCAAGCCTGCGGAGCCCTCCGTCTCATTGTTCTAGCTTCGGGATGGCTGCGCAAAGCCTCCGCAGGGCGGGGGGGGGGAGGCACCCCGCCACCCTGCGGAGGCTTGAAAGGCTGTCCCTGAAGCTGCGCTCCAAAGGCTTCAGGGATCTTTGAGGTTGGCGGTGGGGGAATGCGCTGCTTTCCCCCACCGCCAGCCCCACAAGCTCGGGGGGCAACGGCAAGGCTGCACACAGCCTTTGTGCTGTTCCCCGACCTGCTCTTGAATGCACCTTGAATGCACCTTGTTTTTGAGGGGGGGGACAAGAAAAAACATTTTTTTCCTGTTCTCCCCCTCCTATGGTCCGGTGTGTCCTGTGGTCCGGTGCATCCTATAGAGCGAAAAATACGGTAATTCTCAGATTTTATGATTGCCCACGGTGCATAGTTAAGCAGTGGAATTTGCTGCCATGTAGTGATGGCTGTCAACCTGAATAGCTTTGAAAGAGGATTAGACAAATAGCTACAAGTCATAAGGCTGTGTCGTCTTCAGTACTAGAGGCAAGGCATCTCCAGTTCTGAATTCCAGTTGCTGAAGGATATGAGCAGGAAAATGCTATCCTGCTCATCTGGTTCCCCTGTGGGAACACGATGCAGGACTAGACCGGCTTTCTGCCTGATCCAGGTGTTGTGTTGTGTTCTTACTGGATAGCCCAGGGATCAGCAACCTTTTTCAGCCGTGGGCTGGTCCACCATCCCTCAGACCATGTGGTGGGCCAGACTATATTTTGGGTGGGGGGGAATGAACAAATTCCTATGCCCCACAAATAACCCAGAGATGCATTTTAAATAAAAGGACACATTCTACTCATGTGAAAACACGCTGATTCCCGGACTGTCCACGGGCCGGATTGAGAAGGGGATTGAACCGCATCCGGCTTACGGGCCTTAGGTTGCCTACCCCTGGGATAGACAAATAATCTGGCCCATGATAAGACACCTTCATTTGTAATGGGTATTGTGAATTATTGATAATAATAATAATAATAATAATAATAATAATAATAATAATTTATTTGTACCCCCGCCCATCTGGTTGGGTTTCTCCAGCCACTCTGGGCGGCTTCTAACAAAGATTAAAAATACATTAAAATGTCAAACATTAAAAACTTCCCTGAACAGGGCTGCCTTCAGATGTCTTCTAAATGTCAGGTAGTTGTTTATCTCTTTGACATCTGGTGGGAGGGTGTTCCACAGAGCGGGCGCCACTACCGAGAAGGCCCATACCTGGTTCCCTGTAGCTTTGCTTCTCGCAATGAAGGAGAACAGTAATGCAGAACAAAGCAACCCAGTTTTGAGAAGAGCACTTAACACCCACATGCAGAAACAGAGAAAGAAAGAGAAATGGAGATAGTTTTGAAAGTAGAATAAGCACTTATTTTGTTGTTGTTCCTTTTTCAAACCCTGAGCCCTTGGTAAATAGGAGTGTTTCTGTAACTTGAGTGTTTGGGGAGCCCAATTGGAGGTGAATGCTAGCAGGACTTCCTGTTCCTAGAAAAAAAAGACTCTTAACTCTAAAAGTTGCCCAGATACTATAGACATCAGGTGAAAGATGCAGAGGAGGAAGAAAATGTTGGAAGTTCTGAAGGAAGAGGCAAGAGAGAGAGAGAGGTCTGTGCAATCGGAGGAAGACTGGAGGATTGTGGAGCTCAAGGTAGTGTGGGGAAGACGTCGAGTAAGATTAACATTATTCTGTGTCTTGAATGCTGCTAATTTGACTGAATTCACAGTAAGACCATTGAAAAGATTCAAGGGTAGGGATTCCAGACTGAATCTCTGAAAGGGAGAGGCTTTTAGGATCAGCCTCCTTATCTCAGGTGTAAATAATAGATTCATCAACTGCACCCACCTATGCTTCCACGCTTTGTTGGAACAAGGGGGGATTAAGAACTGACGCGGGTGGCACTGTGGGTTAAACCACAGAGCCTAGGACTTGCCGATCAGAAGGTCAGTGGTTCAAATCCCCACGACGGGGTGAGCTCCCGTTGCTCGGTCCCTGCTCCTGCCAACCTAGCAGTTCGAAAGCACGTCAAAGTGCAAGTAGATCAATAGGTACCGCTCTGGCGGGAAGGTAAACGGCGTTTCCGTGCGCTGCTCTGGTTCGAATCCAGAAGCGGCTTAGTCATGCTGGCCACATGACCCGGAAGCTGTACGCCGGCTCCCTCGGCCAATAAAGCGAGATGAGCGCCACAACCCCAGAGTCGGTCACGACTGGACCTAATGGTCAGGGGTCCCTTTACCCTTTACCTAATAATAATATGACATTTATATCCACTTTTTCTCGTAGGAGCTGCACATAGCTCTCCCCCTCCCCATGTTATCCTCATCATAACCCTGTGAAGTATGTTGGACAGAGAGATACTGTGATTAGCCCAAGATCACCCTGTTTGCTTCATAGCTGAACCCTGGGCTCCTAGGCCCTAGTCCAGTGCTCTAACCGCTGCACTATACTGCCCCTTGTTACCAGCAATGTGTGCTGAGCTTTGCACAGTACAAGAGGACAGGCTCCTGCCCCAATGAATTTAACCCCTACAACTTGACTTGGGAGGAAAATGGAGGCTGGGGTAAAGAGGGGAAGGACATGCAGCTATTTCAACAGAGTCTTGGAGCATAAGCTTTCGTGGACTTCCATCTGGCATCCCCTGAAATGAATGGAAGCTTTTCATGGCATAATAGATGCTTTAGTCTTTAAGGTGCCGCAAGGCTTTTGGTTGTTCCTGCTGAAAGAGGCTAACATGATTATTCCCCCCAACATGTTGAAATTTCTTATTGCTACAGTTACATATATTTATTCCTAGTGTGAGGATCAGAGTTGCTGTTTATTTCCAAAGGAATTGAGGGAAAAGGTGGCATTTTGAGGGACAGTTTGAAGGAAGAAGGGAGAAATGGCCTTGAGAGAGCAGGAGAGCTCTGGGTGCTGCAAGAATTAAAATCACAAGCAGAGGTATATCCAGCTATGAGGTGGCGTCCGCAAAAGGATTTTGACTTGAAGTTGTCCGAAAGAGATGCAGGATTAATCTGAGCTCAACAGCACATTTGTTGATACAGCTGTTGCTTGGGCTTAGTTTTAAGTTGAAGCCATTACACTTTTTCATTTCTTTGGCTGTGTTGCATATCACTTTTGAGGTGAGCAGTTCCTGATGATTTCATCAAGGGCAACCTCCAGAGAAAGGACTTTCCCTTCTCAGCCTTCAGTATCCTGGCTTTCCCCTCCCCCCATCCGATTCTGATACACATATTTAAAATGAAATTTACGGTGTGCTCAAAAGCTGGAAGCCCCAATCTGGAAACAGTATAATTTTATCATTAAACGATATTCTGCACATACAAAGTGTTATAAAGTCTATTCTCAATATGAGACACGGCAGCAGGAGACAAGTAACTCCTATCTGCAAGCAGAAAGCTACTTAACTGAGAGGCCACTTTTCCTTGCAAGGGACAAAAGTTTCGGATGAACCATCTCCCAACCTCAGCTGTTGTGATGCATCCCGTTGGTTTCCCATTATTAAATAAGCTGAGCAGCCTTTGCCCTCCAGATGTTGTTGGATTACAACCTGCAGCAGCCCCAGCTGGCACAGCCATCTAGTTCAAAACATCTGGAGGGCACCAGGATGGTGAAGGCAGAACAAAAGCAAGGGTTTATTTTTCCCTTCGTATCCCTGGATAGTTCTGCATGCCATAAAGCAGGTATAGGGGCACCAGGCCATTTACAGGGCTGACTTTGTGATGTACGATTTAAGGTGCAAGATAGAAGCATGTCCCTGAATGCTGCCTTGTCCAGCGTTCTACTGATTTTCCTGAATCTAAACAGCTTCCTGATAGCACGAGCTCCTGCCTGAGTTGCTGGTTGTTGTTGTTGTTGTTGTTGTTAATGTCCTATCAGTGACAACTCCCCAACAATAAAATAAACGCATAAGTAGACTGTCTTTTCCTCTAAGGAACACCAGTCATAGCACTTGGGGCTTTTCCTTTGTGGGGGGGGAGTGAGATATACATTTAATAAATCAATAAATAAAATGAGTAAAAATATTGTAATGACCTGATAGAGCATAACTGGCCCAATGCCACCCTGAAAATTGGATTGCTTGGTGTGGATTTGATCCTGTACACTGTATACTGAATCCAGTATTCTGTATGCTTCACTGCACTGGCGCTGAAGTCTCCTTGGTTTGAAAATAATCAGGGGGGCATGTTTGCCATTGGTCGCTGTGCTGCTGCGCTGTTGCTTGTGCATACATCCCATCCAAGAGTCAAGACAGCTTGTTGATCCCAAGTCTAGTTAGATGCCGCCGCCCCCCTGCATTTTCAGTCTTGGCTACAGCTGTTCCTTCCCCCCATTTCCACACACAGGTCCCCTCCAGAGAGCAAACAGCAGAAGGTGCTCAACGCTGCCATCCTGCAGTTATCTAGGAGCATCAAAGAGCTGCAGGATGAGAACCGGAAGCTGAAAGCAGACCTAGAGCACGCGATGAGCAGCTCCCCTGCCTCCGGCAGAGCAAAGAGTAAGTTTCTCAAGAATACCAACTGTTTTGATTCTGTTGTGTAAAAGAGGAGTGGGTTGCAGTGCTGTGGTCCTCATGCGGTGCCCCCCCCCAGGTCCCTGCAAGTGGAAGCGTCTGGGCATGCGAAATCTCCAACCCCCAGGGAGAATATGTCATGAGCTGCTGTGGCTAAAACTGGGAGCCGCTCAGCTCTTTGGCATGGCTGCCTTGTGTGATGAGCCAGCAGGATTGTAGTCTGGAGGGTTAGGTCAAGTGTTGTCTGTCCAGACAAGGCTATTATGGCATATATTATTATTATTATTATTATTATTATTATTATTATTATTATCATAATCATCACTATCCCGCCTTTTCCCTTACGGGACTCAAGGCAGCTTACAAGAACCACTAACAACATAGAGAAAAGAAATCATTCAAAAACAATTAAACATTGATAGAATTAAAACTACATAAATATATTAAAAGAGCTGTTGAAAACATACAGATCATTACAGTAATAACAGCACAGCACCATCCCTTTCATTGAAAGCAGTCAGTTGCCAAAAAGCCTCTTGGAACAAGAAAGGTCTTCACCTGCTGGCGGAAGGACAGCAGGGAGGGAGCCAGTCTAGCTTCTCTAGGGAAGGAGTTCGAGAATCTGGGAGCAGCTAGCAAGAAGGCCAAATCCTGCATCCCCACCAAACATGCCTGTGAGGGTGGTGGGTGGGAACGTCTCAGAGCCTGGGCAGGTTCGTACAAGGGAATACGGTCTTTCAAGTAGACTTTTAGGGAGAAGGAGCAAAAAAAGGCTCTGTTTGAACTCAGACTTTGCCTGGGCACTTCCAGTTTTCCTGGCTCTGGTGTGTTTTCCTTATTTGACTCCTGGTTATGTCCTTAAGGGATGCGGGTGGCGCTGTGGTCTAAACCACTGAACCTTGGGCTTGTTGATCAAAAGGTCGGCGGTTCGAATCCCCGTGACGGGCTGAGCTCCGGTTGCTCAGTCCCAGCTCCTGCCAACCTAGCAGTTTGAAAGCATACCAGTGCAAGTAGATAAACAGGTACTTCTCCAGCGGGAAGGTATATGACGTTTCTGTGCACTGCTGTGGTGTCAGTGCTCCATTGTGCCAGAAGCAGCTTAGTCCTACTGGCCACATGGCCCAGAAAAACTGTGGAGCAGACAAACGCCAGCTCCCTCGGCCTGTAAAGTGAGATGAGCGCCGCAGCCCCAGAGTCGTTTGCGACTGGACTTAACTGTCCGGGGCCCCTTTACCTTTACCTATGTCCTTAAGAGCTTGGCTGCTGGGACAGGGCAAAGGACCATCTAGTCCAGTGGCCAACCAGATGCCTCTTGGAAACGGCCAAGCAGGCCCTGGGGGCAGCAGCCACACTCTCCCCATCTGCCAATCCCAGTAACAGGCATTCAGTGGCATCCTGCCTGTGCCAGTGGAGGTAAAACCTTGCCATCGTGGCTAGTAGCCATTGACAGCCTTATCACCAAGCAATTTGCCTAATCCTCTTTTGAAGCCATCCAAGTTCGCAGCCATCACTACCTCTTGGGGGAGCAAATTCCTTGGTTAAACTATGCGCTGTGTGAAGAAGCACTTTCCTTTCACCAGTCCTGAATCTTCCAGCATTCCCTTTTATGGGATGGCCTCGGGTTACAGCATTAATAATAATGATAATAATAATAATTTTTATTTATACCCCGCCCTCACCAGCCAAGGCCGGGCTCAGGGCGGCTAACAAGCGATAATAAAAACAAGTTGAATGAATACAACTTAAAAACAAGATTAAAATACAACATTAAAATATTGAAACATTTAAATATTAAAATGCAGCCTCATCACAGGAGGAGGGGGGGGGGGAAAGAAAAATGAAAGAGGGGGAGGGAATCAAATTGGCTCCAAGCCAAAGGCCAGGCGGAACAACTCTGTCTTACAGGCCCTGCGAAAATAAATCAGATCCTGCAGGGCCCTGGTCTCATGAGGCAGAGCATTCCACCAGGCCGGAGCCAGTGCTGAAAAGGCCCTGGCTCTGGTTGAAGCCAATCTGACTTCCTTAGGGCCTGGGACCACTAGGGTGTTGGTATTTATGGACCTTGAGGCTCTCCGTGGGGCATTACGAAGGAGAAAAACTTCTCAGGGCCCACCCTTTCTCTGCCAGGCAGTATCTCATAGCCCTGTATCACACATCCCCACCCACTTTACACTGAAGAAGTCATGTCCTTCAGCATCGACTTCTGACTCTCTGTTCTTGGCTCTGTCCTGATGGCTGCTTACAGCTCTGAGCAAACTGGAGCATAATTGACCAGACTGTTCTTACGTAGGGTGGATGGGAGTGCAAACAGGAACATAGGAAAACAAGCTTTTGTGGAGCCAGAAATGATCAGGGCAACCAGGGAGCAGACAAAAGTAGTTTAATGGGCTGCCACCTCTAGCACTAGCCAAAGGAAGTGAGCAGAAGACCCACACGCTCCATTGGCTCCTACCCAACCCTCAGTGCAGGCTGATGCCTTGCTTTTCTTCTCCCATCTCAAAAACCTGCTTAACTATTTCCTGCCAAAGCGGATGCACTACCAGAGACAGCTGCCTTAATAGCTGCCAATACACTCTCTGGTATTTTGTCCATTTTTGCACACGGGGCATGTCGCTCCCTTGCCCCACCTGAGCTTCAGCCAACAAGAGGCAGCTTGATTGGATGTCAAAACATCTCAAGATTAATCTGCTGCTCCGGCTTTTATAAATAGCGTCTCTCGGATGCCCTGCAGCTCTGTGGGCCTCTCCTTTCGGGGATTTGTGTCTCTCGCAATCTGACTTCCACTTTGAAAACCTTGTTAACTTTCCTCCAGATTACACTGAGTGGAGCAGACAGAGGCTGGTTCGGCGGATTTCAAGGCTGGAGAAAGTGAGTGATGGGAGCCCGATTGCTGTCTTAGCGCTGCTGGGAAAGAAATGGTTGCAGTTGCTGAACCCCTTGGTCCATTTGCTTCAGTCTATTGCAAAGAGACTAGACCCAAGGAACTTGCTTATATAGGTGTTTGTGTGTGAGAAAGAAATGCCGATTGGCGTATTTTTAGGATGTGAGCATTACCCTTACCGAGCAGTTGTTCGGGGGTCACTGGGCATCTTCGTTGAATAGACTACGTAGGACAAGGCTGAGAAACTCAAGGGACGCATCCCCTTTTGCACAACCTCCTGGGAGCCGCATGCCAGCAGTGAACCTGGCCAGGTGCAGAGGTGGCCACAGCAAGAGATGCATCTCTTACCTACACTTAAGCCACGTAAAAGCAAGAGAGAAGCATTTTCCATCCAGGCAACCAAGAGGCATCATCACACATCCCCAGGCAGGCAAACGAGGGCACCCAAGGAGGGCATAGTATAGGGCTGGTGTGGGAGGTGGCCTGAGAAGATGGAGCACGATTTGGGGAGAGTCTCCAGGGCTGGGTGGAAAGGCCTGGACCTTTCCGGTCCCCCTGGTGCAGAGTAAGCACTTGGATTAATTCCAAAATCACAAAAGTTCTTTGTAGAAAGTGCTTATGGTGGTGATGATTTGAGAGGATAGTGTAGCTTATAAGCAGCTTCAGTTGTCAACCCTCTCTTAGCCACAGAAACTGCTTGAATCTCTAGAGCAGCCTTTCTCAACCTTCCTTGGGTCCCCAGATGTTGCTGGACTACAACTCCCATCATTCCTTGCCAAGCATGGCCAGTGGGAGTTGTAGTCCAACAATACCTGGGGACCTAAGGTTGAGAATGGCTGTTCTGGAGCGTTGAGCTGGTGGTTGCCACTGGTTGAATGTTCTACGACCACAGATGATTTCTGCACACCAGGGCAGGGTTTTGTGTGCCCCTAGATCAGTAGACTGCTATAATGCTATAATGTGCCTCACTCTTTTCCCTTTCCATATTTCCAGAAAATGGATGAGATGCAGAATGGCAGGCTTTCAGAAAGTAGCACTTCAACGTTGCTCTCCCAGTTGGGTCAGTCAGCTGCTGAGGAAGGTGACCCTCCAGAAGAACGTGAGCGTCTTCACAGACTAGTGAACAAGCTGAAAGGCCAAAAGAACGTCCTTCAGAACCAACTGGCTGCTAAAGAGTTAAGTCTCTAGGTATCGCCAGAAACAGCGCAGCTGCCTTTGGTTGCAATCTTGGGTGGTACAGTCATATGTATGTAAATATCTTTTGGTGCTCTATGCAAGAATCTTTTTGCATTTTTAATTTTGCCATTTCCCCCAGTTAAAATTAAAAAGTGCTTTAAAAAAATCCAGGCCCTGAGAATTCTGCTTTCCTTACAGCAAATATGTGCAAAAGCGAGATTTGCTAGCAAATACCTGAAGTTGTAAGTGTGTTTGTTTATTTAAAAATATTTGTAGCCTGCCCTATACAGTATATCATATGGATCTCAGGAGCAGGGTACACAAATGCAGTTATAAACAAAAAATTCATTGTTATGCAGAGCGGATAACGCTAAAAACCGCACAACGGCAAAGTGGTTTCTTATTACCGTTTTCGTCTGCACAATCAATGAATCATAAACGCCTGCAAGAACGACCACGTCTTGATCTGGTGCCAGAAGTAAAACAAAAGTGGCGCCAGACGTGCCTTCCTTACTCACAGGGTGATTGTCGTTCCTCCTCCACAACCTTGACAAGTTGGTGGAGCCTGTGACCCTGCAGAGTCAGACCCACTAGGAGTTGCAAAAGAGACTTGGCAGGAGTTGCGCAAGAGCATGACTTCACAGCAAATGTGACTCTGGCCCAGAAGCGCTATCAGCAGAGCTGGCAAAATGTTCCCATTTCGGCACAGTCAAGACTGTTGACCTGTTAGCACCGTGTCCTTTCATTGTCAATTTTTTGGCAAATCCCTGAGGTTGTTGAGCTGTTATCCCCGTCTTCTTTCTTGCAAGACTCTGCTGGCGAGTTAGAGGTTTGTGGCTAGGTGGTGGCTGTGCACCCTCACTTTGAACATGGGACTGAATGTAGCAGGATTTGTTCCCTCCCTCTGCTTTGAGGATCAGAGCAGTTGCCCTGCCTGGTTTTGTTTCAGGGGTCCTTCTGCAAGTTACTCCAACCTTCCCCAATCTCCTGCTTTGTTGGAAGATTCACAAGATCCAAGTGGTGTGCCTCAGGATCCATTCATGAGGTTGCACGTGCTACTTCCTTGGTGCGCCCCTCCAAAAGTAGACACCCCAAACAACTCCTTGCATTGTGTGCTCTGTAGAGGCGCCTGCAGGTTTCAGAGTTCTATGGAACTGGAAACTCTGTGCAAATGATTTGTTTTGTACTTCTGCAGGGAAGAAATCCAGAAGCTGACAGAGAAGGTGGGAGAACTGGAGGGAAACCAAGAAGCAAACTGTAGGTTGGCTGGAATTGATGCCACAGAACCTCCCAACCAGGTAAAAAAACCACAGTTCGATATGTTTGGTACAGCAGGTCACCTAATATTAATTGACTTCTGTTGAAACTTCTGTGCAGGCTGCTTGGCATGGATTTCAGAGATTGCATCCCTTCTAAACCCTTCCTCCAGCCAAGTATTGGATTTTATGTTTATGGGTATGAAAGAAAGGCGGGGGAAGCCTTTTATATTCTTACTCTAGGTGGCTAAAGGAGAATGATGTATGACCTCCTAATAGCTAAGGCTGGCTTGGAGGAAATGTGTAGCTTAGGGATGTGAGTGGAGACAGAACACTTAATTGCTGGTAACTTGGCTGGGAAATCTCTGTCCCCACTTGTTCCTTCACTGATTTGTTAATAGCAGGAAAGTCCTCTGTACTGAAAGGCAACGCCATCTTTTTGCCTTGGCTCTCACAGTGCTTGGAATTGGCAGTTATTCTCTCTTTCTCTCCATCTACTCCTTCCTCTTCTCCCCCACTAACTCTCTCATTGTCCCAATCCTTTCTTTCTCTTCTCCGCTTACCATATTGTGCTCCTTCAGTTCTTTGCCACATTCTTCCTCCATGTTTGCATGACTTCTTTTCCCTCATTCATTTGTTGATCCTTCCAATTTCTTGCTTCTTGCATATGTCTCTACCCCCTACCCCCTTCATTCTTACAAACTAACTGCTGTTCCTGGTTTAGACATAATGAGAAGCTGCAACAAGTTTAAGCCAGGAAGCAGGTGCTTTCATATCTTCTCATGCCTGCATCAGAGGAGGAGGGTGGAAGGAGTGAGCATGCAAGCCCAAGACTCAAGCAAGTTCATTTATGAAACACTACACCAGGGGTGCCGAACCTCCACTTATAGGCCTAATTGGGGCTGTAAGGCTATTTCAGCCAAGCCATGCCCACCTGCCAGGTAAAGGCTTGACCTGGATCCTGCCCACCTGTCAGTTGACCAGCAGATGTGTGAGAGGAATGATCTGGCCCAACAGCTGGAACCACTTCCCACAACTCCATCTAACTATGGCTTAGTGTTGCATCTGAACAGAAAGAGCCATGTGTGTCCAAACAGATACATACTAATTCTTATGTCATTGCGGAAGAGCACAGCTGAGGGAGAGTCCTCCTTCGGCACTGCTCCATATTTTTTGTGGACCCCCAACTCCTGGACCATGAAGAATAGAGAGTAGGCTCCAAAGAAGGCGTCTCCCTCAGTGCGTGACTCAGAACTACCATTCAGCTAGGAACAAACAGTTCTTTCTATATAATTCAAAAATTTCCTGAATAGTAGTCAAGTGAACTGGTCAGCATGCCAACCTTTTATCTTCACTTCTCTGAGAGGTTTATGGGGCTTTTTAAGGTTTTGTGTGGACGCGGCTAGCGCTGTGGTTTAAACCACTGAACCTCTTGGGCTTGCCGATTGGAAGGTCGGTGGTTCAAATCCCTGCGACGGGGCGAGCTCCCGTTGCTCGGTCCCAGCTCCTGCCAACCTAGCAGTTCGAAAGCACATCAAAGTGCAAGTAGATAAATAGGTACCGCTCTGGTGGGAAGGTAAACGGCGTTTCTGTGTGCTGCTCTGGTTTCGCCAGAAGCGGCTTAGTCATGCTGGCCACATGGCCCGGAAAAACTGTCTGTGGACAGTAAAGCGAGATGAGCGCTACAACCCCAGAGTCGTTCGCAACTGGACTTAACTGTCAGGGGTCCTTTACCTTTTTAAGGTTTTGTGTGCTTGTGTGTATTACAACAAAAACATTTGTTTTTTGCAGCGCTGGCACAAGCAGTTGTGTGTATTACAACAAAAACCTGTGTGTATTACACGCGTGTGTATTACAACAAAAACTTTTTTTTTTTTGCAGCGCTGGCACAAGCAGTTGCTCATTGGTGCTAGCATGCCATTCTTCCAAGCTGTCCCTTTGACAGCAGCAATCACCATTCCTCTGGATTTCTGCTTCTCCATTCATACTTTCTCCAATGTTATTTTAAGGGCCTGCAGAAATGTCAGCCCAGCTGGCGACCGTTGAATCCAGCATGCATGCTAAAGTTCAGAGGTTCAGATTTGGAGTGCTCACCTCCTTGCTCTCCTGAGCATCACAGAAAGGAACAAGCTGCTCGGGTCATCCAGAGACAATGGAAGGCCTACCACACCAAGGTGATGCTCTTTCAGCTGCAAAGGGAGGGTGAGGTATATTTATGAAGCAGAAGAGTACAGAAATCGGAGGACGGGAGGAACCGGGATGATAGTTACACCCTTTGGCATGTGAGACTCTGCACCTCCTCACCACTCAAATGCCAACATGCTTTCAAATCTATCCTTTTCCCTTTAAAAACAAAAGCCATCCGCTCCTGATTTCTGTACTTGTACAGGGCAGTTGTTAAGGATGCTGGATATAGCAAATGGGCTTTAAATCATTATCAGAGCCTCACATTTTTCATGCAGAAGGTCCCACGCTCCATCTCACTCCCTGTCCTAGCCACTGTGATCCACGCGACGGTCACCTCCAGACTGGATTATTGTAACTCGCTCTACGTGGGGCTGCCCTTGAGACTGACCCAGAAACTCCAGCGGGTGCAAAATGCTGCAGCGAGACTCCTTACGGGGTCCTCGCTGCAAGATCACATTAACCCGGTGCTATACCAGCTGCACTGGCTCCCAGTGGAGTACAGGATCAGGTTTAAGGTGCAGGTTTTAACCTTTAAAGCCCTATACTGCCTAGGACCCTCGTACCTACAGGACCGCCTCTTCTGGTATGTCCCACAGAGGAATTTACGGTCTTCAAACAAAAACATGTTGAAGGTCCCAGGCCACAGAGAGGTTAGGCTGGCCTCAACTAGAGCCAGGGCTTTTTCGGCTGTAGCTCCGATCTGGTGGAACGCTCTTTCACAAGAGACTAGGGCCCTGCGGGACTTGACATCTTTCCGCAGGGCCTGCAAGACAGAGCTGTTCCACCAGGCCTTTGGCCAGGGCACAGCCTGACTCTCTCCTTTGGCAATCTTCACAGAACTCTAGCCCAATGGTTGCCATCAATTTGATTTGAATTAATTTTATAATGAAATGATTTTAGAATGTTGTATTATTTTATTGTTGTTAGCCACCCTGAGCCCGGCTTCAGCTGGGGAGGGCGGGATATAAATAACTTGTATTATTATTATTATTATTATCTACAAAGATGTCCTGGAGGAGAGGCAGACATTATACCCTTGTCTGAGACCGTGGAGAGCCACTGCCAGTCAGAGTTGGCCAGACATGGCTAGGTGGACCAGTGCCTTGACTCCACATAAGTCTTATGGTCATACATAACTGCTCAGATAATACCAAGGAATATGAATTACCCCGGGTGGGAATACAACTTGGACTTAATCTAAGATCAATATACGTTTAATCTCTTTTATTGTTGTATTTGTGCATTTCCTCACAAGCTGCTTTGGAACACATTGTTCGCAAAACCAAGGTATAAATAATTGTAGTGATATAAAACACAAAATGTTTGATGAGCCTCTGAGCACCAGGGGCATACACCAAATCCAGAAGTAGAATGAACAAGTTTAGCTGAAAAGAATTTAAAAGGCTCCATTTCAGTCCAATGTTTATCCATTTCAGATTGACAGGGCTGCACTGGATGAGGTGAGTAATGTAAACTCTTCTTAGTTGAATTGATTTTTTAAAAGTTAATCTAATGGTTGCAGGCCTACAGCTAATAGTTTCAATTGCTTCTGTTCTCAGTCATTCAGGTCTTGTGCAGTTTTTCTGCAATTTGCATCACCTGGAAACATGAATCTGATGTTCATATCAGTGGCAAAGTCTAATGGGTAGTTGGAGACCCAAGACATTAATTGTAGCCTTGCCAATGAAATGTTCGCTGCTGAGGTGTGATTTCATTCAGCAGATTTGACTGTATGTGAATTTCCAAATTAACTTGTGCATAAGTCGGTTTCTTTTATCTTTCATTGGCCAGGACCAACTTTTGAATTGGAGATCAGTAGTTCAGCTTGCCTTTTGATTGGCAGGAATACCTTTATAGAGCCAAGAAAATAGTCCTTTATAGAACACAATTTCTTCCTGGGGCTGTGCATGGAATGTGTAGCTGCCATCTTTCAAGGGACTTAACATCCATTCATTTTATTCTCTCCCCCTGCGCTCTCTCTCAGGCGGTTGTTGTGCTCCAGGCAGCTTTCAGGGGACACTTGGCTCGGCAGAAACTATTATCAATTAACGCACAAGGTCGAAACTCTCCCAGCGTGCCTCGAACAGGACACAAGGCAACTATCAGGGCAAGTAGAGATGCAGCCGCAGCATGTTTTCCCCTGATATGCAGATGCTCTGCAGGGCAAAGGAACAGGATCCCAAGCTCTTTTGTTGTTGTTTAGTCATTTAGTCGTGTCCGACTCCTCGTGACCCCATGGACCAGAGCACACCAGGCACTCCTGTCTTCCGCTGCCTCCCGCAGTTTGGTCAAACTCATGTTAGTAGCTTCAAGAACACTGTCCCAAGCTCTAGTCCTGCTATAATACTGGAACTTCGACTGTTGGCCTTGTTTGCTTCTTGTCTTTATATACCTTTTAATAATAAAATCAAAACCACATGGATTTAGTTTAAAACAAATAGGAACAAATTTATCCCGTGTCTCTATCAAGCCAGTTTACTATTTTATTGTTGGCATTTCCCCCCTTCCCCAGGAGGGCAAACTGGCCTTTTAACAGGAGAAGAGCCAAAGGTCTGGATCCGTCCAAAGGTCCATCTAGTCCAGCCCATGGCCAACCAGATGCTTCTAGGCAGCCCACAAACAGGACATAAAAGCCTTTTTTCCTCTCCCCCCCCTGCCCTCGGACACCTCAGTTGCCCGGCAGCAGCCTGTATTCAGAGGGTAGATGGCCTCTGAATTAGGCTGCGCCCAAATTGCTGTAGTTGCCCAGGACTTTAGAAACTACCAGCCATTAGAAGCTGTCAGAGACCATTTGAATTAGGGGCTTCTAGCCATCAGTGCCCAATAAACTCCTTTTAAGTATAAACTGTTTCTAGACTTTTGTATAAGCATTGTGTATCCCTTCGCTTGACATAAGATGACAGCATTTCTGTTCCTTGGAAGTCGCTGTTTTATCCCATCCTTCTAAGGGCTGTTCTCCTTATGCCCATGTTTAACTTTTCCATTCTTTCCTTAAACAAAATCTATGGGTAAAAGCATTTTTCCAGCATTATACAACAGATGGCTTTTCCGCTGCTAAAAAGTTAAAGCTAAACTCATTCTGATGTTTACTGTCAAGTGACCAACCAAATTTGTTGTGAAATAAGCTTGAATAACGCCTGAATCTTCCTGCCAGCATTTCCTAATTTTGCTCTTGCATTATGCAGGAGGAGGACCAAATTAAGAAAATAATGTTTTCTTTATAAGTAGTTTGAACAAATAAAAATTAAAAAAAGAAAATAAGGTCCTTTTTATGAACTTGATTTGGCTGTTGCTTTTGGTTGATTGGCATTTTTGGCAGTGATCGATAACCATGGACAGAACTAGAATACAGTATGTGGTTGGGGGACCAACATTAAGTGAATGTTCAGTGTTGGGAAATTGCTGAATCCCTTCCATATTCAGCCAGCCTAGTGAAAGCTGCTGCTTCTCAACCCAGAGGTGTCTCATCTAAAGGCCAGAATATTTGATAGCCTGCATCCTTGCTCCTTTGTTCTCCCATATTTATATATCAACGATGACAAATTTCTCATTGAGCAAGCGGTAAGAAGGCTGGAGCAACTTTGCATTGGCAGCCCCAGAAATCTACTGGCATTCCCAAACTACTACAGCTGAAAAGCAGGCCAGTTCTTTTTTCTTTCTGTTGACGGATAAGGAATGCTTTGAGGTCAGAAACAGCAGAATCTGTTCAGTTGCCAATTGCCATATTGAATGCCAACACCTTGTTCCTATTTGTGCTCCTAGAATTCACTTTCGTCTCGTGGGTCCAGCTCTTCACAAACAGCTGCTGATTACAAAGCAGAAGAAGATGCTGTGAGGCTTGTGCAGTCCGTTTTCAGGGCTCACACGGCACGCACACACCTTGAGGAAAGGTAAGCCAGGAGTGGCTTGTTCTAATGAGATTTGAGTTTCACAAATCTTGCAAACAACTTTGGATCAGAAATGGTTTGTTTACCTGCACAAGGAATTCCAGGCTGTTTCCATCTTTTTTTTATGATTCCATGTGATCCTGCTGACAGCGTAGATCAGCCCTAACTGGCCTAGGTCCCAATCCCACATGTGCCCCACAATGATTTGTTGTGCTCCTTAGAGTAGGCAAGCCGGCCTCTTCTGATGGGAAATAATAGTGGCATGTGTGTTAAAGGTTGAGCAATACCTTAAAGATTTCAAGTGCTGTGTATATTCTGAATTTGTTAAATAAGATACCTCATGGGGATGATCAAGCGAAAATCACTTATCTTTGTTTGAGTCTGAGAAATTCATGGCAGAGTTACAGGATTTGCTGTAGCTGCCCCAAAGCTGTGGTTTTTTTAGGGTAATATGGTGATTTGATTGGATGATTTTACAATAATGCCATGGTACACCTGCATCAACACAACCAGAGGCTTTCATCTGCCCCAGCTGCAACAAAACTTGTCTCTCTTGCATCAGTCTCTACAGCCAGAGCGGGCACTGCAACCTTCCAGTGGTTTGACTTCACCCCCCAAAGGCGCACTCTTCCAATATCTCCCAAGACAGATGCCAACAACAATTAGTCCCTTTAACCTTTTCTATTTTAATATATATTTTAACCTTTTGTATATTATTATTTTAATATAAAGATATATGTTGGTAGTTGTTGTGTTTAAATATTGATGTTGTCGCTGGCATCCGCCTGTCTTGTTAGCATCACATTCTCCCGTACCCTTTTGGAGAGGTGAGCCACCGCCGTAGCTGCCTGGCCAGTGTGCTTGTGCAGTTCAGCATCAATGGGCAGGTTGCTGGTTATGGTGGAACCCAGGTAGACCAATTTGTCTTCCACTTCAAGCGTGTGGCCACCAATGCTGATGCATGGAGAGCTGGCGACGTCCTGATCTTCCTTGATCTTCGTCAGGCTGATGGTGAGGCCAGACTCCCCACAGGCTTGGGCAAAACGATTGCTGAGTCTCTGTAGAGCCTCCTCGGCATACAATGTCAAAGCTGTGTCATCTGCAAACAACATTGCATATAATTTTTTTCTGCAGTTGATATGACCATTATGGTTGAAACAACAACAATACACTTTTTTTGTGCTGTGTAAAAGAGTGAGGTAGCAGGACCTTTTATGTGATCCATGCAGCTATTCTGCAGCACAGCAGAATGCGTCAGCACAGCATCTTTGCTCTAAGACCATGACAACCGATGCTGCTTCCCATTCCATCACTGGTGCTTGGCAGGGTGAGGTCAGAGTTCCTGCCTTTGCCTCGCCCTCCTCAGTGGTATTAAAGAAAGGCCCTGAAGATCTTTTTTACTCCACTCGGCTTTCGGGTGGTATGTGGTGTTGTACCTGCTGCCACTATTTAAAGCTGTTTTCTCTACTGCTAGTATTCTTATCTAATTTAATTATTTGCTTTTTAATGCTGTTGCTTTTGTTATCTTTGCGTAAGCATATTATGTTGCTTTTCTGACTACCATAAACTACCTCAGGAGGGTTGCTTGTGTATTATATTCAGTGCTTTTCTTCTGGGGGGAATCTTTTTGTGAATCTTTGTACTTTTGTCCAGTTACTGTATTATTTTTCCTAATACGAACTATAAAATGGCGATTTTCTTCAGTCAAAATGAGAGTACCCCTAAACATTTTTTTTAGAAAAAAGCACTGATTGTATTTATTATCATTCATTGTTTGTGACTTTTACCTATGTGTAAAGGTTATTTTTATCTTGAAAGGCAATCCAAAACCCAGGCAATAAATAAATAAATGTAGCAGTATAATGCTTGAGTCTTAAGCAGGTGGCCCATCCTGAGTTCCCAAGGTGTGTGTTACATTTAGGAGCCATTTAACAGACTATGCCAGAAAAACCTCCCCACTTAAGGTATTACAAAATTGTCTTCCATCTTTGAGGTGTGTCTTTCCCAAATAGCAGGAACGCAGAGACCTGGGATCTTCAGGCTTGCTCTGTTTCTCTATGCCCGTTCCACAGTGTACTGCCCAACATAGTGTAAGTCACGTTAGATGCCTTCCACATGGAGATTAAACAAAACGATGAATGTAACAGAATGCTTGCCTGCCTGCCTACCAGTGAACCTCTGCATCTGAGTTAAAGCCCCAGGCCTGTGCTAGTTATTATCATAGGTCTCCTCCTTTATGGCTGGATCTCTCTGACTCTGGGCCCAGTTTCTGCTGGGAGCTATTTTTACAACTCTTGCCAATTCTCCACATATTTTGCAGGCCTCTGATCCTTGGTCCTGGAGATGAGAGAGCAAGCCTAGCAGCCCCTGACAGTGGAGAGAAGAAGCCAGTCTGGTCTCCATTCAAATATTCGCCTCTAGCGTTCACCTCAGCTGTTCATGGTAATCTCATTTACTTCCCCAGTCTGGGCTTATAGTCAATCGTACGTTTTTGCAGTGGGCTCCCTTGAACTTTGGTTCTAATTAATCTTGTCCAAAAAGGGACTGCTGTGTACAGTAGGCTCAGCAAGGTTCCCAGTACTTCCACTTTGTCAATCAGTTCCTCCCTGTTGGTGAGGTCCGGGTCCAGGATAGATGACCCCCTTGTTGCTACTTCCACCTTCTGGGAAATGAAATTGTCAGTGAGGCAATGGAGGAATTTGTTGGACCTTACATTCTTGGCAGAATTTAAGTTCCAGCAGATATTGGGGTGGTTGAAGTCTCCCATGACTACTATATCTCTCCTTTTTGAATGTTTGGCAATCTGTTCTAGGAAGGCATCATCCAAGTCTTCAGTCTCAACGGAGTTCAAAACAAACCTGAGGCTAAATAGGGGCTCAGTATTCAATCTTGCAGCAGAGTGACGGCTTCATTGATTTTCAGTTGTTATAACTTTTATTTGTCGACAGCCACTCCATCACATTGATTTTTGTTTTTTGCACAGGCCTCTGAGTTAGGTATCAATTACTGTTTACTTCACAGGGTTGTTGTGAAGGTTAATAACTATCATTATTTAATTGCTTAACTGTTCCAGAAGAAAACAGCGGCCCAAGATGTAATTCAAACATATACAGGGGGCCATCACACCGGGGGGGAAATAGATTGTCTATTGTGCTACTGCTATTTATTACTTGAATTGGAGTTGAATTGCTAACGTCCAAATGGATGACTTTTCTAATTAGTATTCATTGGTGGTTTCCTCCCGTTTCTGCTTAGAGTCTGCTTTTATCTTGTCCCAGAAGAACCTGTGGGTGCATTGGGGGCAATCTTCCAAACCATGGCTTGGAGGGTCATGCAGGAGACTTCCTGTGCTGGCATGCTCTCTCCCTCCTCCCTTCCTGTGTTGTAGGGCTTAATGCATTTGATCAAGTCATAGGTTACTGTATTTTGATGCAGTGGAAAGCAATATATTTCAAAATGAGGAAGTAGTGCAGTGCCATAGGAGAGAAGGTGGAGCATGCACTCTCATTTACATGTAAATCCTGATGATTGGTTTAATGCCTGCCTTACTTTTGTGCAGGAGAGGTTGTGTCAGCGTGGAAACAGAAAAGGGCAATCAAAATTATTCATAACCCATTCTGAAACCTTGTTATTCTTAACAGAAAGACTTTGGCCATTTTTATCCACTCTCCTGCTTCGTTCGTTGTTCTTTCAGCCACATCCTCCCGTGATCAGCTGCAGCCCTCTCCCTCGCCACCTGCAGATGAAGTTCAGTCGGATGACTCGGATGACATCATCACAGTGTCTCCATCACCAGTGAAGAAAGCGTCATCTCATGATTTCACCAGCCATTTGTCACATTCTCTGCTGCACTCCTAGCGTGACAATGAAGGACGTTTTAGTCTTGCTTGGTGAAGTGAAGTTGTCCAGCCTATGCCACTCGGCTTAGTTTTTCACAAAGGAGAAAGAGAGAGAGAGAAAGAGCTAAAGATGGTTAAGACCACATTTGCGAGGTGGTTCCTAAGGGGCAGGGGAGAGCATCTTTTGCAGATCCATTTCCCTATAATTCACAGGTACTGGCAAATTCTGCCCCTGCTGGTCCGCATGGTAGGAATTCAAACTTGTTTTGGTACCCCAAGCCATCTCCGGCTGTTGTTTCTAAGTTATCTTTTATTCTTGCTTCCCACAGTTCATGTTTTGTACCCAACTTTTGGCCATGCCAATTCACCTTGCAATTGGACGCCCCAGTACAAGGTCCTTAAAAGGTGAGGGCGCCTTCCTTGTAATAGGTAGTGATGCCCTTAAACAAATAGTTCTGTGGGACCAGTGCTTTGGCACGAAACACAGGAACCCTGTGAATTTCTGAGCTTTGCCTGGTTCTTGAACCAAAATCAGTTGGAGCCGACTTGTTCAAAGACTCCAGAACAAAAGGATATGTCCAGGAAGGGGAGATACAACTCACTGAAATTGTAGAAGATGAAGGGGCTAGGAGTCAAGTCTGGCTTTAAGCTTTTTGCTAAGTACAGTGGTATCTCAGGTTAAGTACTTAATTCGTTCCGGAGGTCCGTACTTAACCTGAAACGGTTCTTAACCTGAAGCACCACTTTAGCTAATGGGGCCTCCCGCTGTTGCTGCGTCGCCGGAGCCAGATTTCTGTTCTCATCCTGAAGCGAAGTTCTTAACCTGAAGCACTATTTCTGAGTTAGCGGAGTCTGTAACCTGAAGCGTATGTAACCTGAGGTACCACTGTAATATAAAATCAACAGGCTCCAGACTTCATTATCTTCTGGCTCTCTCGCAAGACTCCCAGCTCCTTCACTGGAGATGAGCCTTTATCTCCAAACCTGTGGTAGATTAACAACCATACTTAACTAACATAGATAATCTCTCCCTCTCTCTCTCTTTCTCAGAAGTGTTCATTTTGCCCCAAACCAAGAATTGCCTTGTGCTTGCATTTCAGTCGGTAGCTTTGTGTGATCACCTTTGTATGAAAGAACTTCCTAGGTTCCTCAGTCAGATGATTGGTCTCTAAAGCCCCGGAGAGGGTACCCTGACTGGCAGCAGCTCTCCCAAGATCCTGATGCAGAGAAAGTCTTTGCCATTGCCTGCTCCTTATTCCTTTTCAACTGGAGAGGCCTGAGATTGAACCCGGGACCTTCTGCCTGCCCAGCTCTGCCCCTGAGCTATAGTCCATCTGAACACTGCTGCTGCTACTGCAGATAAAGTTGGGAATCTAAATTACAGTTCCTGCTTGGAGGAGGATGCTTCAGTCTCCTGTCTTGTCATTATTTGTGACTTGATGAATTATTCAGATTTATTCAGGAGCCATGGCAATCACTCATCTTCTTTGCTCGCCTTCTGGAGTGTAAGATGGAAGGGCTGCTCTTGCCCATTGATCATCCTGCTGATTGTACATGTGCCACTTATCAGACCCCCCACATTTGCAATGGAGGAGGAAGAAGCCCCTGCTCCAAACCTAACTGCCCTGTGCCGCCCAAAAGGCAAGTCCCAGATACTCTGGTGCTCATCCCTATATTAAGCGACAAGTTTGCATTAGTAAGACCACTTCCTAAGTGGCAGGCAAGCATGAATTGCTGCAAGATCTTGGAAATGCCTTTCCATTTCATACCAGAGGAAAGGATGAATGTCACCATCAGCCTAGTGGCGTTAGCTTTGCTGCCTGTGCCCTTAAGAGACATTTTTTATTGCAAAGTACCATGAAATACCTTGCTCTCCTTACCTGTAGCACTCAGAGGCTCCCTGTTACGTCTTGCGGGGGTATGTCGGGGAGAGAAGCTGTGGGGAGCTATTTTCCAAATCTTGCCGCAAAACTTACATGTTCTACAAAAATCTCTTCATAGAACTCTTCCTGGATTGTACAATTTCATCCTGCAAATGTGGGGTTGCTCCTGCACACACACTTGCAAGCAGAAAGCTAATGCCGCACACCTCTGGCATAACTCTCTGATGTTCAAGTTTCCAACATATGGGAAATCTTGGGTTTTTGTTTGTTTTGAGGTATCATTCAAAAAAGCACACATAACCCTTTGTTTGCATTTTAAAGTGGCACAGCCCAAGAAGATCTCTGCCACATGATTTTGCTGAATGTGTAAATAGGGGAGGAATGGATGCTTCCTGACAGATCTCCTCATATTTTGAAATGACCCTTTACTGTTCCAGAATGAGCATGAAACAGCAACACAACACCATAGCAAACACTTTTGGGACTTACCGTCCTTACAGGTGAAACAGAGGAAAAAACGTGGCACCCATTTTTGAAGTTCAGTAGGGATAGTGGAGCACAGATTTGCCGCACAAGCCAAGGGCTGCCGCCTCTGCTGTACATCATTCCTTGGAACAAATCAACATGGTTTCTCTGGGGGATTCGGTGTGTGGGGTGGCAGCATATATGATCCACTTGCGTGACAACAAAAATCTGTCTTATTGTAGGGATCAGAGAAAGCTACCTACCCCCTGCCAGCAATGTTTACAAATCAAAACGTATATCAAAATATTGCAGTGCTTTACATGGTTTGTGTCATGCACTGTAGTGTGTGGATCTGGCTGGCAAGCCATTAGCTGAGTGGTTAAATTCTTGCCAGATGGGGGGAAATGATGCCATAGGATATGTAACTATTGTTGTTGTTGTTGAGTCATTTAGTTGTGTCCACCTCTTCATGACCCCATGGACCAGAGCACGCCAGGCATTCCTGTCTTCCACTGCCTCCCCCAGTTTCGTCAAATTCATGTTGGTACCTTCGAGAACACTGTCCAACCATCTCGTCCTCTGTTGTCCCCTTCTACTTGTGCCCTCAAACTTTCCCAACATCAGGGTCTTTTCCAGGGATGCAACTATTATATTGGCACATTGGATATCTGCAAACACTCAAGTGGATCTTGGGAAGGTGAAGCCCAGTAAACCGACAGCACAATCCTATGCATGTGAAGCAGGCCCCATTGAGTCAAGTTGGGCTTGCTCCTAGTGTATGTATTTAGGGTTGCAGTCAGAGTTCGATTTGTTTTGAGCAAAACCAGTAACCATTTGTACAATACATTCAGTGGAGTTTCTGTGTGAGAGTGAGTTAATGCACAGAATCTCCCTAATATTTTTTTTGTTCTTCAAATTGGAAGCAAAGATGCCTGCTTGCTCACACAGCGAAAGCAGGATGGAGCCTGCTGTGTATAAACCTGTCCCCAGCCCTTCAGGACCGGCTTGGAGGAAATGCTTCCTTCTTTTGTGGGCTGTAGGGATGCGGGTGGCACTGTGGTCTAAACTACAGAGCCTAGGGCTTGCCGATCAGAAGGTCGGTGGTTCGAATCCCCGTGACGGGGTGAGCTCCTGTTGCTCGGTCCCTGCTCCTACCAGCCTAGCAGTTCGGAAGCACGTCAAAGTGCAAGTAGATAAATAGGTACTGCTGTGGCAGCAAGTTAAACGGCGTTTCCGTGCGCTGCTCTGGTTTCGCCAGAAGCAGCTTAGTCATGTTGCCCAAATGACCCGGAAGCTGTCTGTGGACAAATGCTGGCTCCCTTGGCCAGTAAAGTGAGATGAGTGCTGCAACCCCTGAGTCGTCCACGACTGGACCTAACGGTCAGGGGTCCCTTTACCTTTGTGGGGTGCTTCTGATAGTCTGTGCCAAAACTTGGGCCTATGCTGCCACTTGCACTATCATGAAACTAAGTGCCGTCTCCTCCATAAAAAGAGCCCTACGGGGTCAGGCTGAAGGCCCCTTAGGCCAGCACTCTGCTCCCCCCAATGGCCAGTCCAATACATTTGGGAAGCCCAACTAACAGGATTGGAATGCAATAGCCCCTCTTGAGGGTTGCTTCTCAGCAACTGGCATTCACTGGCCTGCAGCATCTTAAGAAGGAGATTCCAAACCACCATTAAGACTGACATTCCTGGAACATTGCCCTCTGGCTGCAGTCTTTCCCCTTTGGGGTTTTGCTGCATTTACCGGCCTGCTTATTAGCAATCAAGATGGGAACGTTGCATCTTGGCTGGGGCTCCTCAACCTTTGTGAGATTTCCGTTGTTTTTCAAAGACAAAAGAGGAAAACTTTCTGGGCTGTCATTACGACAACTTTAATGCATCGCAGGCCGGGAGGGGGAAAGGTAGCCTTTCTTTAGTGGCAAGTGGTTACCGTTAATGCGTCCATGAAGTCCAGAGCTCTGTCCTTTGGAAGATATTGCTTGTTGTTCTTCCAGTGCGTCTCTCTGCTCCCACCCCCCCAACGCCCCTCTACATAAAAGAGAGAAATTGGCTCCCTCGCTTATGCTGAATGCTTGTTAAGTCGGGGACAGAAATCTGTTCTATATCTGATACTTGCTATCATTCATGCCAGGACTTGCAGCCAAAAAGGATGGCTACGGTACAGAGCAGATGATTTTTGCTTAATCCCATCAGTGGAAACGCTGTTTGTAGGGCTTCCAGAGGCAGCTGCTGGGAGCTGTCCAGAGCCCAGGCAATCGGGAGAGAGGTTTACACCATCAGGTAAATTAATTCCATCCGCTGCTCCAGTCACATTGTCAGGGGCGCAGAAGGTAGCTCTGGTGTGCAGGCTGGATATGATTCCTGAACAGCTCTCTATATACGGCTAAGCACTGTCAATGACGTAAGCGGGGGGGGGGGGAAATACTTGCATCTATAGGCTGAATACATCTGATGTGCAGGGAGAGGAGGCTGGAAGCCTGTAATTGCGGCTCAGAGGCACCTCCGCAGTCCATGGCAAAACCCCAGGCTTTCATACAAAACTCGAAGTGTGTACAAAGGCCAAGACAGGAGCAAAATGTTTCCCAGACTCCAGTCCCTGGGGAGCTACTAGTGTGAGTAATTTGATGGAACCAGATCCTCCTTCCCACAATAGCAAGCCGTAAGAGCCATGAACAAAGTGTGTGTGAGCGAGAGGTGAGGGGGAGAGGTTTACATTTCCGCAGGACAACTGAGTCGCTTTCAGATTGGTGCTTGTTAATCTTTTCGGGTTTATGAGGGAGTTGACATTATAAAGGTGTAGGTAGAATGGCCAGCCGGTAAACTGGCTTGCTGCTGGGACAGAAAGTGGATTTTATTCCTGGTAGTGATGGTGGGGTTTTTTTTGGGGGGGGGGGTGAAGGGCAACTCAGAACATTGTGCTTACAGAGGCAGAGCAGCAAATGGTGCCACACGCTTGGAGAATGGGAAGATGGCGTATTCCAAGTCAGAACATTGGCCCATCTAGCTCAGTCTTATCTACACAGAATGGCATCATCTTCAGGGTTTCAGACAGGAGTCTCTTCCTGTCTTATCTGTAGATGCCAGGGTTTGAACCCGTGACCACTGACTTCCAGCTCTACAATTCTATGATTTTGTGACTTTCAAGGAACTTTCAGATCAGTAGCTAGACCCACATAATCTACACCACTAGGCTGCCTGCCTCCCTTTCTCATAGGGCAAAGATACAGACACCCAAAATCCCAAGACATCAGGCAGGGCCAGAGTGGAATATATGCACAGTACAATCACGTCTTACACGAAGGTATGGTTCCAAGCGGCATGTACCCCAAATCTTGGAACTGCCCCGCAGGTGGGGGGTGAGAGAGAGCAGGCCCAGCACTCCCAGAGGCCGTCTGCCAAGCAGGCTTTGCTCCCCAAGGCAAAGCGGAGAGCTTATAAACCTTTTTTGCATCATGTAACCAAAGCAGCACCCAGCACAGAAAAAGCTTTTAAGCTTTCTGCCTTGGTTGGGGCGCCCCCGCCCTGGAGGCTACGGATACTTGCATGAGCTCTTGCGGGAAGTTGGATGGCCCTGTGAAATCTCCCATACAGTCATAGGATGCTTCATTCAGTAGGGAGTAATGTGACCCCCCCCAAAAAAAATTGGTAGTGTAAATAGCCAAGGACTGGTTTGTACAGCTGAAATTTTTCAACCTTTGCGTTTGTTGTAAGAGTAGAGCAGGGTGCCAAAAGCACTGCTGAGGAGACATCTGGTGCATTGACCTCTCTCTGACTTCCTCTTGACTAATCCCCTGGCGCAGCTAAGGTCATAGCCTGACTTTCTGGCATTTGCCACAAATGGGGGAACAGCATGCAAATAAATAAATAATCAACCTCACCATTTTTTGCTTGCTGAGATCTCAGTTCCACATTGTGCAACTGCTAGATAGTTTGATGTAGCATGAACTATATTTCAGGGGTCTTAATTAAAAACAGACATCCGCATCCAGGTGGCTGAAGGTTTCCATTGTGTGAGGTTGCTGCTATGGAATCACTGCTCCCTGCCTCCAGTAACAAGAGTCACGTTCAATAAACACAAAAGAGAGTGTGCATTTTTGTTTTTCTGGCCTTGTACAAAACCATAGGGACAAACCCATAGGAAATAACGATGTATCATTCCCAAATGTGGGCTGTTTGCAGTGGAATTGCAATCTTTATAGCTCTCATGGAGAAATCACAACACAGATAAACCCACTCCTCAAATGCTGGTCCGCGTGAGGGTGGGGGGCGCACGGGGAATAAATATGCCTTTGGCACATCATGCAGAAAGAACTCATCAGCAGTCATATCACCATATGGCATCATCTTGCACGAGTTTTTACAACCACTGCTGCGACAGGGCTTTCCCTCAAAGGTAGAAGTCCATTTAAAAATCTTGACATCAAGGAAGGCAACAAGGTCATTATACTTCTAAGGGAGAGACACAGACATTCCTCTGCAACCACATGCATGTCTGTGGTGGGCAAATGCAGCCATCTTGCAAATGTTGTTACCTTATCCATTGCTAGCGGAGGAGTAAGTTGGTGTGTGCTGGGTAACTGCTTGCATACTGCCAAAAAAAGAGGAAATGCATCAACCTCCCCCCCCCCCCAAATGAGACAGATTTGCATTACAAAAATGCATATGTTAATTTATAGCCGTAGAGGTAAATGAATTAAATAGAAATACAATGTGCCTTGCCATAGTAAGGGAGGCTATGCCTTAGTACCTAGGTGACCTGGGAGCAGACATCGCCTTCACCACCTGCAGGTCTCATCCAGCAGGGCTTTTCTTATGAGAATGAGACAAACATTTAAAATGATGCCAATGAGTTTTGTATTCCTTTCTCTTTCCTGTTGCAGCTTCTAATTGGACACACTTGAGAGTGTTCATTCCTATGTGCACCTATCCCCACCTCCAAATTAGGCTTGCTTTTTAACATGCTGACAGAGAGGCTGCCTCAAGGACACCCCCCGCCTTCTGTAACTGTTGCTTCCCATTTTGGTTTTCAGACAAAACCGACAGGAGGTGTGGATGGAGAAGGGTGGCAATGTGGGAAGTGCCTTTACAATTATAGAGAATGGAACGCATCCCCGAGCCATAATTGGTAAGGGATTGCTCACCATCTGCTTTCATGTAAGCAAAATTTCCCAAATAGGATCAAGTTGATCCGAGAGATTAGAATCCCTTCCCCCGCCATATCTGGCTGCCGGCTTCTTGCCACATGGTGTAGTGATGATGCAGTCTGACAAAATGCCCACCAGAAAGTGGGGGTGCTGTTGAACGGCTCGCCTCAGTGTTCCCAAACTCTTCCTTGACCTGTTGCTTCCAAGCCATCATTACCTCTTGACTTAGGGTGAGGAATGTTTGGGTTCTGGGTATGCAAACCATTATGAGAGGACCTCTCCTATCCCCACCCCAACTAATAAAGCAGTTGAGCAGGAAGATGGTCATTGGAAGGTGATGATGGAGAAGTCTTGGTGCACCATCTAATTACTGTTTTACATGGATGATCACCAACTTGCCAGCGTTTTAAGCAGAGGCCCTCCCCCAGCCCTTCCTTGAGATCCCAAGGATTGAGCCTGGGATCTTTGGGCTCCTCAGAAGGTCTTTGGGGTGGGCTCTTGAATCTGCAGCTGGGTTGACATCTGATGTAATGTCACAGTGTTCTGTCACTGTCTGTGTTGATAGACTTTGTAGGTTGTGTTCCCAGTTTTGAGATTGTTTTAATCTTTTGCAAGCTGCCTTTAAAGTGCAGACTGGTAAAGATTTTAATAAATGTTTTGCCACTGGGAGTAATATAATGCCGCTTTTTCATGGCCCTGTCTGTTCTTGTGTATTATGGGCAATCATTCTTAAATTATACCTAGGCATTTCATTGATTCTTCACAGCAGGGTAACAATCAGAGTTAAAACAACTTTCTGATCAGTGACAGGTGAGTCTGAATTAATTCCTTTACCAGGAAGTGCAGATCTTTATCTAAGCATCTGGACCTGTCTGTAGAAATTTGCTGTGGGGACACTGGAATTGCTCTTTGTTAAGAGTGTTATGCTGCATACTTCCACCTGTGTGCTACTTGTATATTATTAATAATAATAAAATAATAATAATTTATTATTTATACCCCGCCCATCTGGCTGGGCCTCCCCAGCCACTCTGGGCGGCTTCCATAGAAACCAAAAATACAGTAAAATATCACACGTTATAAACTTCCCCGAACAGGGCTGCCTTAAGATGTCTTCTGAATGTCAGGTAGTTGTTTATCGCTTTGACATCTGCTGGAAGGGCGTTCCACAGGGTGGGCGCCACTACCGAGAAGGCCCTCTGCCTGGTTCCCTGTAGCTTTGCTTCTCGCAATGAGGGAACTGCCAGAAGGCCCTCGGCGCTGGACCTCAGCGTCCAGGCAGAGCGATGGGGGTGGAGACGCTCCTTCAGGTATACTGGACCAAGGCCAGTAAACCCAAATATTTGCAAGTAAACCCAAATACTCCCCCCCCCGAAATGTACAGTGATCTCTCCTTCTAAAGCTGGGGTGGGAGGCAACTGCGGCCTTCCAGATGTTGTTGGACTAATATCCCCATATACCTTTAGTAGTACTTTCTGACATTTAATTGCCTGCAAGGGACTGTTAAGAAATAAAGAGATGTGCAAAGGTACCAACTTTTGATAGTTTAAAAGATGGTTCAAAAGTTTTAAAATTCCACAATGGTAGACAGAGACTGCTGTGGCTTGGCTGGTTCTCTTGCTGAAGCTGGTTTAATTAGATTAGAAGTTTTCCAATTTTAGTATGTAGAACAGTTGAACGTGGTCCATGTAAAATTGACTAATCTCATTGTATGGGCTTTGTTACTATTTTCCCCCCCTCAGGCAACAGTGTCCTAACTGTAGCTAAGTATGTCACCACCACAACACATGAATACAGGGTTATTAAGCAGCTGAAGACAAAGAGATGTGGTCTGTAAGTCAAGCAGAAAAGCATGTGAACTGTGAGATGGGATCCACACTTTGGAAAAGTTTAAAGAATTCTCATGTTATACAGCCAGATTTAATTTTCATCTGGCACATTCTTTCCTAATGCAAAACATTTCCACAAAGAATCTCCCCACCTCCCTTGCCCACACTAATCTTTGCAAGAGGCCCAGCAGTAAATTTGGGATTTTTTAAAACAATGACTACTTGTTATCATGTTCTGTTTCTTTATGCCATCTTGAAGCTAATCAGAGCTAACTTATTTCTAGTCCTAAGAGGATATATTTCCCTTACATTCTGAAACAAAGGTTAATTTCACACAGCTGGGAATGGCTCTGGATTTTTCCAGCAATGGGCTGGCCTAGAGCCAATTTTATGTTGCATATGTGTTCCATGAGTCCATGATAAGCATGTGACCAGGGCTTAATTTCAGCCAGGGTGCCTATGGGCTGGTTCCAAAGCTCAGAGTTCGTTTTCTGTGCCAGGACACTCTCTCTCTCTCTCTGTGTGTGTGTGTGGAGAGAGAGAGAGAGACAAAGAAAGAGAGAGAGAAAGGAGGGAGCGTGCCTAAGTCTTTGTAGAAAATGGTAATTCAGAATTGGGTCCCACACTGATAGGAGAAAAATTCCAGGTCAAAGGACATGGGTTTTAGGTGAGATTCAGACTTATCACCTCAGCATGATAGGGTCCTAGCTGGTTTAGCCTAATCACTAGGAGAGATTAAGTGATTTTTTTTTAACCTGTGCTGAAACAATAATGGCTGCCCTTGCAGGAAAACCATTGCAGCTAACCTGAAATTCTGCTGGTTTCATGCTCCCAAAAGGGACAGCCATACCTGAAAATGTTGTCCAATTCTGCCCCCAAATAAAAAGTTATAGGTGTTTCATTTCTCTCTCTCTTAAAGAAAACATTAAAAGTGTTAAATAGCCCTTCTTCCCTACCCTAAGCCTATTTGCCTGTACTTTGGCAAACCTTATGCACTCTGAAGAGAATAATATGCCTGCAAATTCCATCCACTTCTATCAAAAGAAAAGCGAAGTTATAGCTGTTTTTAAATTTCACTGTAGTGAATTGCAGGGCTGGGGTGGAAGAGAGCAGACTTAGACAGTCCCTGAGCCAAATCAGGCAGCCCATGAAGCACCTTAGATCAAGGTGACCTGTTTTCTGAAGCACTGAATCTTAGGATCAGTAAACCAAATCTTGTGGTGACTACAAACTTTAAGTTTTTGCCTGCTGGCAGAAGGACCATCAAAGGGATCAAGTGAGCTTCTCTTGGGAGGGAGTTCCTAAGTCTGGGTTCAACCACTGAGAAGGCTCTTGTTCAAGTTCCCACCCAACATGTCAGATGTGGCAAGACAGAGAAAAACTCCTCTGTAGATCTTCGTGCCCAGCATCAGGCAAATAGCTTAAAAAAAATAGCAATCTAGGCCCTTTAAAATTGTTTGTATGAGCAGTTTAATTTCTACAAACCAAATTTTAGGATTTGGTTTTAGCTCTGTGAGGTGTTTTGTGGTTCTCATTATATGAATGTGGCCGAACCTACATTAACCTCGGCTCTGAAGTGGTTTGGTTCTTTCTATATGGTTTCCCCTGCTGTTGCTTATATTGATTGATGGTTTCGGATTTTAATTTGTCACCAAGAGAACTCTGGTTATGGAGCCATAAATAAATAATAAACATTGGCTTTCAAAATATTGCCAGGTGAGGCGAGGGAGCAAGGTAGAATTTGAGACTTTGGGATGGGACCAAGTAGGCTTTTATGGGCTGGGACAGAGCCTGGAAAACTAGACCATGATAAGTAGGGGGGAGAGGGAATTGCTGGGAAGTTTTAGACCCTCATTTTGGTTACCTGTAAAGATTGGAATATTGTTACCTGAAGAACTGCTTATATGAACCTGTCAGGGTTTAAAATATTCTTCAAAAACGCTTTTCTGAATACCTCCAGTGTCTTCAAAAGTAGGGTTTTGGTGTCCAACGCACGGGGCTGGCTGAAGACTTTTGGCACCTGCGGCAAATCACAAATGCCCAATGCCAGGGAAGAAGGGGTGAGTGAACATCTACATCAGGAACAGGGTGCGAGACCAGATCAAGCTTACTTGATGGCTGGGAATCAAAGGCTGTCGTGGTGGGTGCAGAGCCCAAAGACGCCCTCCAGGAGGCTAAGGACCCGCCCCCCACTGCCCAGGTTTGTGTCCCTGAGAGGTCACTTTGGTGCTGCAAACGCAAGAGATTCACTTCACCCTGGAGGTGCATCCCATTGTCTCTTGAGGCGAATGGATGCGGACAATGACGTCTTGTGTTTAGAGGCAACTTTCTGTGTGCATGCCTCTGTGTGCACATGTCTCTCTGTGAAGGGGGACCTTTAGACGCCTATGCCCATTGGTGTGTATGTGTGTGGAGAGCTTGTAAGGGGGCCTTTCATGCCTGTGTGTTTGTGTGTGTGTAGGTAGGGCCTTTTTTGTTTATATGCCTGTTTGTGTATGTAAGGGGGGGCTTTTGTGTATGTGCCTGTGTGTGGAGAGAGTGTGAGCTTTTAGTGCATATCCCCCTCTCACTGTGTGTGTGTGTGTGTGTGTGTGTGTGTGTGTGTGTGTGTAGGGGGACCTTTTGTGTGCATGCCTGTTTTTGTGTGTGTATAAGAGCCTTCAGTGTATATCCTCCTCATGCTTGTGTGTCTCTGTGTGTAGGGGATACCTTTTGTGTATATGCCTGTGTGTGTGTAGAGAGAGCTTTTAGTGCATATCCCCCTCTCACCGTGTGTGTGTGTGTGTGTGTGTGTGTAGGGGGACCTTTTGTGTCCATGCCTGTTTGTGTGTGTATAAGAGCCCTCATGCTTGTGTGTCTGTGTGTGCAGGGGATACCTTTTGTGTATACTGTATGCCTGTGTGTGTGTGGAGAGAGAGAGAGATCTTTTAGTGCATATCCCCCTCTCACCGTGTGTGTGTGTGTGTGTGTGTGTGTGTGTGTGTGTGTATGTAGGGGGGGACCTTTTTGTGCCCATGCCCTGTGTGTGTGTGTGTCTGTGTGTGTGGCCATGATGCCCCTCCGTTCCCTAGGCTCAGCAGCAGCAGCAGCAGCAGCAGCAGCAGGGATGGCGGCCAGGCGGCGCCGAGGGCCTGCATCCTGAGGCGCCATTTCTGCCCCCTCCGCCAGCCCACGAACACGCACGCGCGCGGGCGGGCGAGGGAGCGAGGCAGGCAGGGAGCGGGCGGGCGGGCGGCCGACTCGGGCGGCGCCGAAAGGGGGTCGGTGTGGGCGGCGCCATCCGGGGAGGAAGAGGCGGAGGCGGCGGAGAGGCGAACAAAGAGCGCCGGCAGCCGCGCCGAGCGGAGGGAGCGTGTGGGCCGGCGGGGCAGCGGCCATGTCGGGCACGGAGCCTCCGAAGCCGCCGCCGGGGCCGCGGGGCCTCCTGGGCCGCCTGAACCGGCGGAGCTGAGGCGGCGCTGCTGCTGCTGCTGGCATTGCCCCCTCATGGCCGCGGGAAGGGGCAGCTCCTCCGGGTGAAGGAAGGAAGGAAGGGAGGAAGGAGGCGGCGGCGGCGTCCCTGAGGGGGAGAAGGAGGCGGCGGAGGCGACCGGGGGAGGCGAGGCGCCTTCTCTCCTCAGGCCGGGCATGGCGGCGGCGGCGGCCGGCGTGAGCTACTCTCCTCCGTGGTGGGTGAGCCTCCTGCACCGCCTGCCCCACTTCAGCCTCCGCTGGGAGGCCGTCGGCGACGACTTCCGACCCGAGGACGCCGAGTACCAGCAGGTGAGAAGGAAGGAGGGAAGGAAGGGGCGACTCACGACCCGGCTCCCCCCCGGGTGTGTGTGTGTGTGGTTTTTGTGTGTGTCCCCACAACACACAACCGTGAAATACACCTACACAGAACCCATTAGGAGATTCCCCCGGCCGCTTCCCCTCGCCCGAGCCAAGCCAGAGAGACCTGCAGCCAACAGACCAGATTTATATATTGCCAGTCCCTCTCTCTCTCTCTCTCTCTCCCCCCCCCTCCCCGGCTTCGTCTGTTTATATTTAATTCATTTACATTAATTACCCGTCCACCCTCTCACTCTCCGTGCTTGCTTGGTTGATATTTATTTAGTTATTCAATTATATTTATTTATATTATCAGTCCACGCTCCCAACCCCCCCCCCCCGCCGCCGCTTTGTTTTTTCAGACTTGTTTATATTTATTTATTTACATTGCCCATCCACTTAATCTCCCCCTTTGCTTGCTTGCGTGCTTGCTTTATTTATTTATTTAAATTATCCAGCCTCTCTCTCCCCCGCCCCCATGCATACTTTATTTATTTATGTTTATTTGTTTGTATTATCAAGTGCACTCTCACCCTTCCACTTTGTTTATATTTATACATTTATATTCATTACCGGACTTCTCTCTCTCCTCCCCTCCTCTCCTTTTGATTTTATATGTTCGTTTATTTATGATCGTTGTTCTTAATAGAGATTTTTCAGAACACAATGTCCTGGCTTTGTACAACTGTGTGGTTTTCTTCATATAGGGATTTGCTGGTGGGGAAAGGACTGGCCGGCTCTGTTTTTATTTATCTTCTTCTAACAGCCCCTTCCTTTGATTTCATTTCCATTGCTTAAAAAGATCCTAAGCCACCCTTCATCCGAAGAGCTTCCAGGACTGCATGTAATAATAAAAAATACAATGCAGTAATAAGAGACCATATAATGAAATAGGATAACGTTTCCCCATGTGAGTGGCAGCTGAAGTGTGGGGCAAAGACCATCCACATCCCTTCATTTCAACCTCCAACCTCACCACTTCCCTCATTCTATCCCATATGGCCCCCCTCCCCGGAAACCTTTCTTATTCACTCCCCTGTTTTTATTTATCCTCATTTAACCCTGTACCTTCTCCCCCCTCCCCTTACCCAAACCCCATATATGCAGGCAGGGAACCTCAGTTCAGACAGAGGCGAGTTTCATCTTATCCCCATTTTATATTCATCTACCTCTCATCCACACCTCATATTTTCTCATATTTCCCCATTTTGCACACATTTCCCCACATGTACAATCTCCCCCATACTGGTCTTTTCTCTGTCCACACTTCACACACACACACACACACACAGAGAGAGAGAGAGAGAGAGAGAGAGAGAACCAACATTTCCTCCACATATTCCCCTAATTAATGTTAGAATTTTGAGGGGAGAGGCAATAGTGAAACTGACAAGTCCCTTTCCATTCCTTCTAAAAAATGATAACTGAGGGGGTTGTCAGAAAAGGAAAGAACCTCTATAATCTGAGGATAGGCTTTTATACATGCAGTCAGTTTCAAAGGAATTTTGCCATAACCTTTTTAATCACCTTTTCCAAACCTCATCTCTCCCCCCCCTTCTACACTCACTTTCCTATAGTGGTTCAGGCTGAGGAGACATTTTCCTGGTAATACAATTTTCTGCATTTATGTGCACCTTCACCTTTCACTGTCCTCCATAGATCTCCATTATTTCAGTTTCCTACCCATCCACCCCTGTCTGGCAAGTATAATATATTCAGCAAAATCAAGGAATAAACCCTTTTCCTCTAGACTGTACCACTTGAAGGTCCAAGTGGGGGTTTACACATTCAAACCGTTCCCACAAACAAATTGCACACTGAACTGCGGGGGGGGGGGGAGAGAAGAGGAGAAAGCTAAATTTACCTTTTCCCCATGGCATGCTTGTTTTCTATATGCAGGGAGTTTTGTTTGTTGAGAGCAAATTCTGGCAGGCAGTTTCCTGATTGCCTGACCGTCAAACATAAAAATGTGGGCTTCAGAACAGCCTTCCCCAACTTGGTGCTCTGCAGATGTTTCTGGGCTATAGCTTCTATCATTGAAACCGTTGGCCCGGATGGTGAGAGTTGGAATCCAGGCTGGAGAAGGGTATTTCAAGCCTTAGGATAGTTTGGAACAGTTCTTGTATTTATCCTCCACATCTTTCTCCTTCAATTCTCCAGTTCTCTTTCTTATAGCAGTTCCAGTTGAGGGCAGTTCTGCTTTGGCGCCTTCGTATTTACTGTCATCACCTCTTATCCTTTCTTTCACCCCACTCAGTTGCTGCTACCCAAAACAATTGGGGGAAATAGACCAAAGTCTGTTACACACTAAAGTATTTGGGGCTATGAAAAGAGCTGTTCCCCTTTCCCCCACAAATATTTCTTATGAGGTTACTGCTGAGAAAGGAGTGCCTCATCCCATTTGCTTTGCCTCTATACAAGAAGTTGAGTAAGAGTGACTGTAGCATAGAGACATCCTGTCTGAACCTGCTTCCCTGGGGATGAAAGTAGGGGTGTTACAAATTTTGCACAAACCCGTCCATTTTGCCTCCCATCTTTTCAAATCTAGAAATGCAGAGGTAGCAGAGGCGGAATTCAGGCTTGGAGGTTGAAAGCAAGTCTCTGTTTTACTGGGCTCCTCTTTACCCATTTTGTGCATGCAAAACATTAATCCAGAGTGGTTCATGTCATTACGTCCTAGGAACTTGGGAAGGACTCTGGTGGTAGTGGGAAAGTCTTCCATATTGTATTTTACCCTTTGGTTTCATCATGTATATTTACTTCTGACCCAAGTATTGGTGTTAGTCTTTCACAAGGCTCATGTTCTGGGTATGTACCTAGGAAAACAAAAGGAATTTCACATTGAATTGGGCAAAGGGTACATCTAGCCGATGCTTTGGTCTTCTAGTTACTTGGAAGCCTATTGTCACTTAGGAACAGCTTGCTGTATACTGCTTTTATTAAAATGGATGACTTACTATATTATAGCTCTGTGTTGAAATTGTAAGGATTTAATAATGGAATACTTAATTCTCCCACCTGCACAAAAAATAGAAATCTCTGCTCTTGGTTTGACTAGCCTTCTAACTGAAATGCCTTTTACTTTTGCACCCTTCTTCCTGCCTTTCATTTTTTGAGTGGAGCCAACGTGATTGCTGCCTTGTATAGCCATGATCTTTAGCTTGGAAAACATCATTTTGCACCTCTTAGTGCACTTGTTTACCTAAGGTTCAGCAAAAACTGAGCATAGAAATGTTGTGTATCTATGCCTCCCTCTTGAACCTTGTTTCATGCAGAAAGGCATTAAAGCAATCTGTTGACAAAATTTAAAATGAAGTGCAAAATAATTAAGAACCTTGCTTCCAGCCCAGTCTTTTTTCTGTATGTATTCTGTGGCTTTCATTTATTCCAATGATTTGCTATGTGGAGGCACGTGAAGGGGAATTCTTCTTATTCTGTTTTGATACCAGTTTTGTGGCCTAAATATTATAGCCTGTCGTTGATACAAAAAGTGGCACCTTCTTGGGGGAATGAATTAGATAGCCCAACTGATATTTTACATTGATATGAAACTTGATTCTCTAGGCAGTTTTCCATGGTTAATGTTTTCTGTTGCAATAAATGTATTGCAAGATCCTTAAGTGTGTGAGCCTTTGAAGGATCTGGATGTAAAGAATCGGTTAGGTTATGAAGATTAAAGATGTGTATAATCTATTGAACAAGTGTGAATGCAATTTCAATAACTGGTGCATGAAAAAAAAAACCTATACTGTATCTGTGATTGCAATTGAAAACTCAGGACTTTTGCCCATTCTTAGTATATTGTAGCTTACTTCAACAGTACCAGAGTAGGGGGAGTGAGAGGATAAATTGAGGGTAAAATCTCCTTACAGAAGAGAAGAATGTAGTTGCAGTGGTGCGATTGTGTATTTGTGTACTGTAATGATAAACCCTTGCAACTTTTCTGTGCTGAACACTAGGTTTCTATTGCAGAGACATTTTTCAGTTAAGTTGGCCTGCTGAGAAATTTGGCGTCAGTTTTTCAGATGCTCTTTTGTGCACTTAAGTGAGATAAGCATTTGCATCTCCTGTAAATTTTCTGTTGAACTTCCTGCTGGATGCAGTTGTATGTATTTTGCTGTTTCAGATCTAGCACTGTTTTTTCCTGTTCTATGTCCTGTCATGCATTGTGGGCAAGACAATAGAAGACCACCTTAAAGATCAGTCTGTTGACATTACAAACACACCAAGCAACTATCTCTAAACAGGAAAGTTAATAATACCTGCTTTCTCCTCTATTAACCCCTGATTGTGACTGAATGCTTGAAAGTTTAAAACAT